TAGAAATTTTATGAGAATCAGATCTCATTTGCTTGAGATCTGATTCTCATAAACTTCTTTTGATTTGTAATTTGATTTGACTTTTGATTTGACTTTTGATTTGTAATTTGATTTGTAATTTGCTTTCTAATTTGATTTCTAATTTGATTTCTAATTTAATTTGTAATTTGATTTGACTGCACCCTTTTCATCTTGCGATTGATCACAAAATCGAGTCCACAAGTCAAAAAATAAGGTCCATAAATGATGTAGGGAAAGAAGATGTATCCCCAAATTCCATCAATAATTGCCTCGTTGAAAAAATCCCTCAAAAATGACATTCCAATTCGAAGAGCTATGGATATGGATATGGAAGAAGGACTTGAAAAAAAGGCCATTTCATCGAATCTCGAAAATAGGCACCGTCGAAAGCGCGAGCGAAGAATCGACTGAAAGAAAGTTGATGGTAGACATGGAATCCTAGGCTCATATTTCCGTTATTTGTCGGCTAAAACGATTCATTTCTTTTTTTAAATGAAAATTCATATCGTTTTCTGTATATGTTCAAGATTTCATGACCATAGCATAGATAGATAATTTTTTTTCTGAACACTCAAAAATTGCTGGTCAAAAAAATAACGAACCGGGTCCCTTTATCGATGATCTTAAAGGTCCTCAGTTTTAATGTAAGGTAATCCTCAAATTCTTTTTTCTCCGTGATTCTGGAAAACTCTGTATACAAAAAATGATATGAATTTTCATTAAAAAAAAGAAATTAAACGTTTCTTTTCATTAAACCTCAACGAGATACAGAATTGACAATATTGTGCAATGTCGTCCAAGCTATACCAAACAAACCAATGATTGGTGATATCGCTGATCACAGAGAAAAGTCCAATGGGACATCTAGAAAATCGAATTGTCTGCTAAAAAAGAAATTTTTACTCAAAAAATTTTTCGGTTGATAGAGCACAGAGATTCATAATCGAAGAGGAGAGAGCGAGGAGAAATTTATTGAAATTCTCGGCTGTAGCAAGGAGCCTAAAAGGTTTGCGATAACCTTTTTCTGATGTAAATTTTAAATCTAATGATGATGATATGATCCAAGATGTTAATTTCACCTAATCGGTGGAGACAATCGATCGTTGGTGCTAGCAGAATACATAGCAATTGGTGATGTGAAGAGTGAGAGGAATAATACCTAGAGAGACGCTTACTAGTTACCGTAAATACTGTAAAAGTACCCCACTCCCCTCTCGTACAGTCGCGTAGTCGCAAAAGTTTTTTCGTATTTCATTTTTTTCAAAGCACCCGTACTTTCAAAAAATGCGTCTTTGGTATCAAAAAATAGCTGAAATTCAGGGCTATTTTTTGATACCTAAGCCCGCATTGTAGCATAAACCAGTGTCGAGAAAAGCCTCGTTCAAAGCTAGACTACGCAACACTCCGCACCGTCATTATGGGGCTGGGATACTATTACAGTATTTACGGTAGGTTATTCGTTGAGAAAAAGGGCATCGAAGTTGTGCGTGAGTAACTAATAGACGTAAAAAAGTTTGTTGCCACTGTCCAATTCCCATCACCAAGCCCGCATTGTAGCATAAACCAGTGTCGAGAAAAGCCTCGTTCAAAGCTAGACTACACAACACTCCGCACCGTCATTATGGGGCTGGGGGTACTATTACAGTATTTACGGTAGCTAGTTGATCAATCATTTTCCATTTTAAAATATAATGATAAAATGATCTGATGAAAGATGTTAATTCAATCGAATTTGTTCATTTTTCTATCAATTTTCATCAATTAGATAAAAAAGAATTCTTTGTAAATTATTTCAAACAATTGATCTTGATCTTGTTATTCAATCGAGAAATCTACAAGTAAGTAAGTCAATGACTTCAATAGTGCTTTGAAAAAGGATCAAATATCTTGGAGAACGTTTCTTTTGTGTTCTTGAATGAAAAGCAACATCAAAAAACACAAGAACTACTTTTATCCTTTATAAATAAATTGTTAAAGTGATTAAAAGTTTAGAAAAGCAAATCTCTTCAAATTACTCTTTTACACATCCTTAAAAGGATGCCTTACACATCCTTAAAAGGATGCCTTACTCATCCTTAAAAGGATGCCTTACTCATCCTTAAAAGGATACCTTACTCATCCTTAAAAGGATACCTTACTCATCCTTAAAAGGATGCCTTACTCATCCTTAAAAAGATGCCTTACTCATCCTTAAAAAGATACCTTACTCATCCTTAAAAGGATGAGTAATGCACAAAATTTTTATTGATTTACTTTCTTTTATTGCAGAATTTACCACAGCTCCAGCGTTTTCGACAATCGGCTCAAAGTCTTCTGTGAAAGCGGTGGAGAATTTGATTGGGCGAACCAAGAGGCACCATCCTTGATCAAACCAAACCCACAAAAGAGCATAAGTGGCTGAAATTGAGTTGAAATTTGATAAAAGAAAGCCAACGAACTCATTAATGCAAAAGCGATCATCAAAATGACGAACACATCCTGAAATTTCTCCCAAATCGACATAACCAACTTGATTGAGTGAATTTTTAGAAATGATTTTCACCTTGAGGTGCTTTCATTTGTTGAGTTTCGTTGTGATTTTGTTGTGAATTCAATTATTATTTGAAATCTCTGTTCTATTTTTTTTCTGTTTATCTGTTCTTATTTTACTTTTATCTCTGTGGATTTGTGTTTGTCTTTGAGGTAAAAAAATGATAAAAGATTGTTTTTATGAAACGGAAACTTTGACCCTACCATATCCAAAGCCACTAAGAGAGTTTATTTCTGATTCTTCAGTTTCAGCTCAGCTTTAGCTCTTTTAAAAAGCTTTAGCTTCAGCTTTAGCTTCAGCTTTAGCTTCAGCTTTAGCTTCAGCTTTAGCTTCAGCTTTAGCTTCAGCTTTAGCTTCAGCTTTAGCTTCAGCTTTAGCTTCAGCTTTAGCTTCAGCTTTAGCTTCAGCTTTAGCTTCAGCTTTAGCTCTTTTACAATGCTTTACCATCATATGTGATATCAACCATTTTAACACTTAAAAAATGATAGTCTAAGGCTTTTGTCTACCCACTGAAATGCATTACAATTCGGTATAGATATCGATTTAGATTCGAATACTCCGTTGAATACCTCAGCTATTCAACTGAGTATTCGAGTTGATCACCGGCATATTTAGAGGAGAAAAACATTGCAAAAGGTTTGAGACTATAAAAACTGTATAGCAAAATATAAACTTCGTCGAAAAGTAAAGTATTTCAGCTGACTTTCAGCTGACAATGTTGCAAGTTTAAAATGTCGATCCTTTTGCGGATGATTTGGTGCCAATTGAGGAACGCCTTTGAGAAAAGTTTCATTCGAGAGAAGCTCTTTAATATCTGACAGAGAATAAAGTAATCCAAGTTTAATAAAGCTTCATCAAGAATTATTGAAAAACATGATTTGAATTTCTTCGAACGGTTCTCCATTAACATACCAAAATTGGGCTAATAGTAAGTTGCTCAAAAATGTACCTAATTCACAAAAGTCTCTATATTTTTGTTTGTATTTGTATTTGTAGTTATTTATAAAGTATTCAGGTGAACCGGATGTGATGGACGACATCGATTTGGTAAAGAAATGTGTTACAATAAACCCTGGAAATCGAATTCAGCTGCTTACTCGATATTGTTGCCATATTTTTGCTCACTTGAACGTAGCCTTTACTTGTTTTTTTTGCTTAGAGCTATACAGATATAGTAAATTTAATTCTAAAACCGTAGCATAGCTTACTCTTGCTTTTTTGAGACGTAAGTTGACATTTTGAACAGTAGAATGGCTGATAGCTTGTTCTTGTTTTGTTGTCCTTTTTCTGATTGTTTTGATTCTTGTTTTTGAAAGAAATCTTTTAGTTTACTTTTTTAAGCTACTGCCTAGGCTGTAGATTATAAAACTTATAGATTTCTTGACTTCTTGACAACTTATTGACAAGAAGATTTTGCTCAGAGCTTCCACCCACTCGACCCAGTGACCCGCATTGCCTAGATGAACAGTATTATTTCGACAAAACCGACTCTTGTGTTTGGTTGCGGAATCGATTGGCAGTGTTAGTTTTAATGTTTAAAACATTAAAACATTAAGCAACTAAAACGTTAACATTAATCTACATTAACATTAATTCAAAAAGAGGAATCGCTCTGTGTTCTCTGTGCGAGAGCCCAATCGCACTCGATCTGGCATATTGCACTTACACATATCGTTCTTTTTTCAAACCTCCAATCGGAAGCGTCCATTTTGGGTCATCCGGTAACCAATCCGTTGTCTGCCCCATATGGTCACCGCTTCCCAAAACTAACCACGGTTGTAGAATTGGCAAACCCAATTCCGGCTCATTTTGACCACAATGGTGGGTTCTCCGCCGGTCGAAATGGGATCCCAAGTGCCCGTAAAAGGGTGCTGAAGGGAGCCGCTGTGAATTTTTGGATTCAACCCAAGGATTTCGGTCCGCAGGGGCAGCAAGAACTCATAAAATGAAACTACGAATTGGTTCAAGTATCGGCAAATAACGAAGATTATGTTGCATAAACAAATCTCAATTATAAAGCATGCAAAAGCAATACATCAAAAACTTAAAAGATTGTGCCGATTATTGCAAGCAACCTCATACCAAACTTTGATAAAAGCTGATATTGTATTTTTTTCTAATTTTGTACACCAAGTAATCGTTGAAACAAAAGCAAAACTATCAATTGTACCCAGAAGTCTCAAAGAGTAATGCCTGTACAACAAGGAATGACTTTGATAAGACGATACACGTCGTATTTATGCTCTCAAAGTTTTTTCAAGGAATTTCCAAGTCTTTCTTAAAGCAGACATTGCATTCCATAATCTGGTAATTTTTTCGGCCATTGGCAAGAGGCAATTAATTAAGCAATTATGCTAGACATTTTTCTTGAAAAAGAACAGTCCAAAAAACCAGAAAGTAAGATTTGTTCTTCTAAAAATATTCAGGATTTACCTTTTTTGATTCTAAAATGACGTTTCCCTTCTTGAAATTGCCGAAAAAATTACGTGAGTTCGTTCGAAAGCAACTGATCCCCGTCGATTCGTTGAAATTCCTACAAACGTGTAAAAGCCTTCGTCTCACGATTCTTGTTTATGGCCCAATTCCGGAAAAGATTCAAGATCTCTCTATTCGATTTCCGTATCCAGATGATGATGGGAGTATTTATGCTCAAGCAGATTGGAAGCAAAGGATTGGAGTTTGCTTTGAGGTATGGGCATCTTAAAAGAATATTTTACATTTCTTAAATTTGTTGCTTGTTGCTTAAATTCTTGAGCTTGAGCAATCCTTTAGCCTTGAGCGCTTCTTGAGCTTGAGCGCTTCTTGAACTTGAGCTATTCTTTAGCCTTGAGCGACTCTTAAGCCTTGAGCAATTCTTAAGCTTGAGCAATTCTTAAGCTTGAGCAATTCTTGAGTCTTCAGCGATTCTTAAGCCTTGAGCAATTCTTTAGTCTTCAGCGATTCTTTAGCCTTGAGCAATTCTTAAGCCTTGAGCGATTCTTGAGTTAAAGCGGAGCAGGGAATTTAAGCCTAAATTTAAGTTGAATTAATCAGTGAAACAAATTTAAGAGGAAAAAAAAGTTGCTAACAAATTCATTTCATTTTATTTAGATAAACCCAAACGGCATCAAAGTGTTTGTCACGGAGGATACATTTCGCGATAGTTTAACAAAACGACGGCTGGCTCCTCACCCAACGAGTCGACCTTGGCTCTTGGTGAACTTGGTAAAATCGGCAAGAAATCTATCGTTTTGTCACATCACAGGCCAACTCAATGCCAATCAGAGAGATCTTCTATCAAAAGCCTCCACATTCCTTGCACCGTTTCGTCATTTTCAGAGAGTTGAGTTTGACGGAAGAAAAAGCGAACTTGAGATCCTAATGAAAGAATTCGATAAGAAAACGATTTTCGAGGTCGACATGGGACAACACTGGTATCTCCTGAAAGATCATCCATCAAATGAAATCACCATTCTTAACATTCGAGAACCAGTGAAAGAGTGGAATTTCGAGCTCCAGGCTCAGTACTATATCTTTCGAGATTACTCAGACTATGCCGCATTTGATGAGGTGACAACGTGGTTGCTCACTTCGACATGCATGGAGCATCTAAAAGGAACATTTGTCTTTCACTACTCAACCGATTACCCAAAAGAAGTGGAGAGGCAATTTCTCGAATCCTCTCCAGAAGAGGATAACTCTGAGTATTTTTCACAAAATGACTGTTTAAAGAAATTTTCTCGAAACACTCAAAAAGTGAATGATGAAGAGGTAAAAGTCGAAAAACTAGCAATCAGTAGGCTCTTCGATGGTCAATTCAAAAAATTATTCAAAATCGAAGTAAACCTTGACGAAAATGAGGGGTATTTTGGAGTGGAGAGCGTAGAAATTCTGGATTTGTTCTATGTCAAGACTCACTCAGCTTCACTTCGAAAAACCCTTTACTGGTTGACTCTGGAAAGACATCGACAAGCCTTTTATGGTGGTGATGAGCGGTGGTCGATTCGAGTGATCGCCAAGAATTTTCCTCTTCTTTGATTCTCCTTTAATCCCTTCTTTGCTCTTTGATTAAAATAGGAGCTTATTATTTAGAGATAAAATAGGAGCTTATTATTTATCGTAGATACCGTAATAGTACCCCACCCTCATAATGACGATGCGGAGTGTTGCGTAGTCTAGCATTGGACGCGTTTTCCTCGACACTGGTTTATGCTACAATGTTCGCTTAGGTATCAAAAAATAGCTGAAATTCAGGGCTATTTTTTGATACCAAAGACGAATTTTTTGAAAGTACGGGTGCTTTGAAAAAAATGAAATACTAAAAAACTTTTGCGACTACGCGACTGTACGAGGGGGGAGTGGGGCACTATTACAGTATTTACGGTATCCTTTTTATAAATTCTCTATACATGTCATTTGTTTCTAAAATTTAAAGCCATTTTTTAACTCTTTTAACTATAACTTCAACTACGTTTATACCTGTTGATCTAAATAAAAAAAAAATAAATATTTGAAAATAAAAGCTGTTTGTTGATTTCCCTCTTCATTTTATCTTTGCGTATAAGTTCGAATTGAATGAAAATAATGAAAAATGTTAGATAATAATAATACTTAACGAAAAGGAGAAGGGGAAAGACAGTGTACACAAAACAACGAAACAAAACATCGGCAAAGCCTAGCGTAAAGATAATCCGATCTTTCAAGCAACCTTTAGAACAGATAACATAATAAAATCTGAATTTTAACGGCCATTTTTTTTCACAAAGCTTTAGAATATTAAATCTTCACTGTAGCCCATTTTTAGTGCCTGTGCTACTTCGTGAACGCTAGCCAAAAAGCCCCTTTTTCTCCGATCCAGCTAGGCCGAGTTCTTTCGAAAATCTCGAAATTTTTTGCAAGTTCATTTCACAAAAGTCAACAAAAATGAAATACCCTGAAGATAAAAAGCCTTAAATCTTATTGCCCAAAAGTTTTTCCCAAAAATATCTTATTGCCCAAAAGGTATGTTTACAATAACAGATTTTATCAAAGTTTGGTATGAAGTTGCTTGCAATAATCGGCACAATCTTCTTGGTTTTGATGGATCTTCTTGCTTTTGCATGCTTTATAATTGATCTTTGTTTATTCAACATAATCTTCGCTATTTGCCGATGCTTGAACCAATTCGTAGTTTCATTTTATGAGTTCTTGCTGCCCCTGCGGACCGAAATCCTTGGGATGAATCCAAAAATTCACAGCGGCTCCCTTCAGCACCCTTTTACAGGCACTTGGGATCCCATTTCGACCGGCGGAGAACCCACCATTGTGGTCAAAATGAGCCGGAACTGGGTTTGCCAATTCTACAGCCGTGGTTAGTTTTGGGAAGCGGTGACCATATGGGGCAGACAACGGATTGGTTACCGGATGACCCAAAATGGACGCTACCGATTGAACAAGTGAAAAGGGAACTATATGTGGAAACCTTTGATGCCAGATCGAGTGCGATTGGGTTCTCGCACAGAGAACACAGAGCGATTTCTCTTTTTTGAATTTTTGCAAGATTAATGTTAATGTTTTAGTTATTTAATGTTTGTTTAATGTTTTAATGTTTTAAACATTAAAACTAACACTCTCAATCAATTCCCCAATCCAACACAAGAGTCAGTTTTGTCGAAATAATACCAGTCATCTAGGCAATGCGAGTCACTGGGTCGAGTGGGTGGAAGCTCCGAGGAAAATTTTTTAATTTTATTTTTTATTTCCGAAAGCTTTCCTTATCTAAAGAAGTGATATTTTCAAGATTTACCTCAAAATCTGAAAAATATCACGTCGAAGCCATACAGGAACCAGAAAACAAGAAAAACTAGTCATTTAGGGTTTCCTGTGTGGATTCCCTTTCTTTCCAATTTCCTTTTTTTCAATTATCGGAGCGGAAATTAAAATTAGTATGACCAAGGTTTTTTGAAAGTTTTCTTTGCATTGAGAGAAAGTTCTCATTCATTCAGTAATCTTTTGCTTTCTTTCAAGAAACATTGACCATTGCAGAATCCAAGTTGTGTATTTGCGGCAAACTTTTCGATTGCAAGCCTTATCTGCTAACAATGAGGTTAGTTTATTAATAAACTTATTTAAATCAAAGCTAATCAGGAAAGCTAGGCCAGGAAAGCTAGGCCAGGAAAGCTAGGCAGTAAACTAGCCAGGAAAGCTGACCAGGAAAGCTAGGCCAGGGAAGATAGCCAGTAAACTAGCAAAGAATAAATACCAGATATGGTTTTTAAATTGAATCGAATCGAATTGGTCCAACTTGGTCTGATAAATGCTATTTACATATAGGAACAAGAAACTACAACAAGAAACAACTACAACAAGGAACTACAACTTTTAAACTAAAATTCGATTCTAAAGATTTCAATTTGAGAAAAAGTCAGACCTGACTAGTAACCGTATGGTAAACAGGAAAATTTCAGTTCAACAAACGAAGCTGAGATGCGTGCAGCTTTCAAACTCTTCGATAAAGATGGAAATGGTCTTATTTCTGCTAAAGAATTGCATCAAGCGATGACCGATCTCGGCAAAATGGTAACCTATGAGGAAGTCGATGAAATGATTCGTGAAGTGGACAACAACGGTGATCGTCAAGTCAACTATGAAGAATTTAGTAAAATGATGACGAAAATGAACAAGCAATAAACCCCTACACTTTAAATGCTGAAATTTTCTATTTAAATTTTAATTATCGTTTTAAAATCAAATTCATTTCATTATTATTCACATTTATATCTGGAAAACTGTTATGTTTAATAAAAAGTATTGTACTGAAAAAGAAATAAACAAATTGACGTCATTTACCTTTTCCCGGTCAAAGTTTCCACTTCAGCTGTATCACTAAATGATACAAATGATCTTTAACTATAATTTAAATTATTATTTATTATTATTATTTAAATTACAACTTAAACTAGATTACAAGAGTTATTCTTTAACGGTTTTTGTCTACAAAACCAATTCGTTGAAATGTTGAAACGTTGAAATGGTGAAATTTCCAATTTCATTTCATTTATCTTTTAATTTTCGTTGAGAGATAGACATTCTCAATGAAAGCATTCAATTTTTCAATAGAAAGCTCTTTTTTAACTTTAAGCTGTTGACTTTCGAGAAAAGATTTGCTGAGAATAAAAAACGGCATTCTTATTATAAAAAAAATACCGACTGGGGCTACCAGTGGTGAATTTATCGCATACACGAAATATATCAATCACAATACAACGACACACACAATACTAGGCTATATCTTAACTTAACCCACGTCATGACAGACGGCTCCCTAACCCTAAGCTCAATGGGGAACTAAATAGCTTTTTTGGTGGTGAAGGGAAGATGACGATGAAGGAGTGGCTTGTCACTTTAAAGAACTGGGGCCACAACCACCAGACTGCCCTCCAGAAAACCTCTCAACCCGAAGGGAAAGGAAATCCGAAGGGGGTGACCATGTCGCATGTGGGGTTCGAACCCTCGACCTTCCGATTAAGATAAAAGACACTTAACCAGTCAGCCACACGTGCTCGTGCTCCTTATAGTTTGCTAATTTTTACCTAGTTGTTCTTAAAATTGAAAGTGAAAAGGGAAAAAAGCTTGCAAATTAGGGAATTTCCACCTCAGTTATGTCACTAAACGATACGAACGATCTTTACCTATAATAAAATTAATTTACTTTTCATGCGTTTAATAATATCATCTCAAAAATACTTTTATCGTTTCAGCCTTTGAATAGTCATTTTAGGGAATATAAATTATATAAAAACCCTTTTTTTTTCAAACTTTACTTTGATTTCATTTCATTTGCTGCAGCTTCGACAAACGTCTTTAGAGTCTCTTTATGCCAGAAAGTATCGTTTCGATAAAAGTAAACCATATTGCGAGCGTCATTTGTTAGGGAATCGATGTCTTCGAATGAATGACCTGGAAAAGTTCGGATTAATTTACATGATGCGCCAGAATTATGACTAAACCTTTTCCGCAGTTTGCATCCCAAACGCTGCAATAAATTTAATACCGTATTTCCTCTATTAGTGGGGTCCTCTCTAATAGTGGGGTCCTCTCTAATAGTGGGGGTCGGGGGGGTGGAAAAAGTGTGGTCTCTCTAATATTGGTAACGAAAGTGTACACAATTGTTGATCTCTGTCTTACTGTTTGTTGTTTTGTTACGTTAAAGCTAAAAAAATTTTTTAAGATCGGGAAAATTGAATCTTTTCACTAACTTTGTTTTTTTTTTTATTTCTCTAATGGGGGGTCTGGGAGGGGTTGGAAAAATAGTGGGGGCCCCACTAATAAATGGGCAAGAATTCAGGCTCCAATTTCCTATATAGCACTTAGGATTTTTAAATTGATTCCGGCGTTTGGCATGCAATCTGCTGAAAAGGAATAGCCGTGATTTTGGTGAACCCTGTAGACGGAAAAGCTAGTTCACTGCTACCATTTGTTTTTTCTGCGCTAAACGAAGAATGATAACATACCTTTTGATCTGAACGGGAATAAATTGTCGGAGCTGTTCGGGTTCCACACAATAAAACACATCACAACCGTTTTCGCTGGCGGCCAGAGGTTGAGTGAAACCATTTTGTCTGGACAACTCATTGACAACTCAGGAATCCACCAAACTTTACCTGAGTCCCCAGCCGCCCAATAACTTCGACTCAAACAAGTGAGGTTTCTCAAAAGACGATACTGCTGATAGTTGGGTGGGCAACCGGCAGCTCCAGTGAAAATATTTGCTTGATCTTTCAAATATAGTATATGTAGGAATGGGTCGGAATGGATCGGAGATCGGAATGGATCGGAGATCGGAATGGATCGGAGATCGGAATGGATCGGAATGGATCGGAATGGATCGGAATGGATCGGAATGGATCGGAATGGATCGGAATGGATCGGAATGGATCGGAATGGATCGGAATGGATCGGAATGGATCGGAATGGATCGGAATGGATCGGAATGGATCGGAATGGATCGGAATGGATCGGAATGGATCGGAATGGATCGGAATGGATCGGAATGGATCGGAATGGATCGGAATGGATCGGAATGGATCGGAATGGATCGGAATGGATCGGAATGGATCGGAATGGATCGGAATGGATCGGAATGGATCGGAATGGATCGGAATGGATCGGAATGGATCGGAATGGATCGGAATGGATCGGAATGGATCGGAATGGATCGGAATGGATCGAATGGATCGGAATGGATCGGAATGGATCGGAATGGATCGGAATGGATCGGAATGGATCGGAATGGATCGGAATGGATCGGAATGGATCGGAATGGATCGGAATGGATCGGAATGGATCGGAATGGATCGGAATGGATCGGAATGGATCGGAATGGATCGGAATGGATCGGAATGGATCGGAATGGATCGGAATGGATCGGAATGGATCGGAATGGATCGGAATGGATCGGAATGGATCGGAATGGATCGGAATGGATCGGAATGGATCGGAATGGATCGGAATGGATCGGAATGGATCGGAATGGATCGGAATGGATCGGAATGGATCGGAATGGATCGGAATGGATCGGAATGGATCGGAGATCGGAATGGATCGGATATCGGAATGGATCGGATATCGGAATGGATCGGATATCGGAATGGATCGGAATGGATCGGAATGGTGTTTATTACGCTGACCACTCGGAAACCACATCGGGCAGCAAATATTCGACCTCCAGAAACTTCGTCGGCTCGTATAAATTTCCGCAAGTGAACTCGGTTGTGTCACTATTTTTCTGCCAAAACGGTTCACAAAAATGTTGCTTTCCCGATGGATGATAGTTCGAAGGAGACCAATCCTGGAAAACGTTTTTTTGTGTTTAGTTCTAGCCGCTTTATTTATGTTATTACAGTTATTAAGTAAAAACAAGACAGTCCTAGTTACCTCTTCATCTCTCCCAATCACTTTGCATGTTTGAAACACCCCACCAAGGGTTGCATTGAAGTCAAGGTGCAAGTCGTGGGAACATTTGCCTGAATTCTCGTCTGATCACACCACTTTTCCTTTTACCCGATGATCAAAATCGAGAGAGGCTGCCTCCATACAGCGCTCAATTTTGTTCACACGATAGTTTAAATGATAATTTAAATTATAGTTAAAGATCATTTGTATCATTTAGTGATGCAGCTGATGTGGAAACTTTGACCGGGGAAAAGTAAATGACGTCAATTTGTTTATTTCTTTTTCAGTACAATACTTTTTATTAAACATGACAGTTTTCCAGATATAAATGTGAATAATAATGAAATGAATTTGATTTTAAAACGATAATTAAAATTTAAATAGAAAATTTCAGCATTTAAAGTGTAGAGGTTTATTGTTTGTTCATTTTCGTCATCATTTTACTAAATTCTTCATAGTTGACTTGACGATCACCGTTGTTGTCCACTTCACGAATCATTTCATCGACTTCCTCATAGGTTACCATTTTGCCGAGATCGGTCATCGCTTGATGCAATTCTTTAGCAGAAATAAGACCATTTCCATCTTTATCGAAGAGTTTGAAAGCTGCACGCATCTCAGCTTCGTTTGTTGAACTGAAATTTCCCTGTTTGCCATACGTTTACTAGTCAGGTCTGACTTTTTCTCAAATTGAAATCTTTAGAATCGAATTTTAGTTTAAAAGTTGTAGTTCCTTGTTGTAGTTGTTTCTTGTTGTAGTTTCTTGTTGTAGTTTCTTGTTCCTATATGTAAATAGCATTTATCAGACCAAGTTGGACCAATTCGATTCGATTCAATTTAAAAACCATATCTAGTATTTATTCTAGCTTTCCTGGCCTAGCTTCCTGACCTAGCTTTCCTGGCCTAGCTTTCCTGGCTAGCTTTCCTGGCCTAGCTTTCCTGATTAGCTTTGATTTAAATAAGTTTATAAATAAACTAACCTCATTGTTAGCAGATAAGGCTTGTATTGGAAAAGTTTGCCGCAAATAGAAAACTTCGATTTTGCAATGGTCAATGTTTATTGAAAGTTACGAGAAAGCAAAAGATTGCTGAATGAATGAGAACTTTCTCTCAACTGCAAAGAAAACTTTCAAAAACCTTGGTCATACTAATTTTGATTTCCTCTCCGATAATTGAAAAAAAGGAAATTGGAGAGAAAGGGAATCCACACAGGGAAACCCTATATGACTAGTTTTTCTTGTTTTCTGGTTCCTGTATGGCTTCGACATGATATTTTTCAGATTTTGAGGTAAATCTTGAAAATATCACTTCTTTAGGTTAAATTTCAATAAGGTATTTCCATTTAAACTCTTTCAATCAAAAGGAAAGCTTTTGGAAATAAGATCGAGGATCTTTTGCTTCAATCCAGCTGTTTTAGAAGTAAAACTTTTCCAATTTAGTTTTATTTGTGAAAAATAGACAAATAAAAACTTCTATATCAATTCAAAAAGGACAAAACAAACGAGAAGATTAGTGAAATTTGAAATAAAGTTAAATTGAACAGTAGAATCGCTGATATCTTGTCCTTGTTTTGTTCTTCTTTTTCTGATTGTTTCGATTCTTGTTTTGAAAGAAATACTTTAGCTTACTTTTATAAACTACTGCCTAGGCTATAGATTATGAAACTTATAGATTTCTTGACTTCTTGACAACTTATTGACTTCAAAAATGCGCTAAAGCAAGAAGATTTTGCTCAGAGCTTCCACCCACTCGATCCAGTGACTCGCATTGTCTAGATGACTGGTATTATTTCGACAAAACTGACTCTTTTGTTTTGTTGGGGAATCGATTGACAGTGTTACAGACATCGATTGACATTAAACAAACATTAAATAACTAAAACATTAACATTAATGTTCAAAAAAGAGGAATCGCTCTGTGTTCCCTGTTCGAGAGTCCAATCGCACTCGACCTGACATAAAACGTTCCCAGATATAGTTCCCCTTTGACCTGTCCAATCGGAAGCGTCCATTTTGGGTCATCCGGTAGCCAATCCGTTGTCTGCCCCATGTGGTCACCGCTTCCCAAAACTAACCCTGGTTGTATTAGGTTGGCGGGAAAATAATGCGAATTTTTAACTTGTGCTCTTGGGAAAGTAATGGCCGACAAACAGAGAAAACCGCGATAGTAACAGAGAAGTAGAGTGTGTTTGCTTACACAATCATAATATTATTTGAAAACATTTGTTCAGTTGTTATCAAAAAATGACGGAACAAAAATTCCTTATTCGAGCTGCTTTACTCTATGACTTTAAGCTTGGAAAATCTGCCCGTGGATCGCATAATTCTATTTCAAAGGCCTATGGCGAAGGTAGTATTAGCGAAAGCCAATGTTATCGATGGTTTGTGCGATTTCGAAATGGAAACGAGAGCCTAGAAGATGAGCGTCACGAAGGACGAAAGCTGGATGAGTCTCAACTTTTGCAAATTATCGAAGAAGATCCCACTTGCATCACTCGGGAGTTGTCGGAAATGTTCAATCGGGATTTTCGGCAGCCTAAAATCCTCAAAGTTTCAACTTTGGGAGACAAATTTAGTTTTAATCTATTCTCTGTGATTGTTTTTATTAGTTTCTTTGTTGCTTTACTTTGTTTCAAGTCTATTCATTTTTTTATCGGATGACAAACAAGGGATCTGCCATTTTGGAGCTTCATCGTCAAGGTCAATGCGCGAGTACGATCGTGCGATTGCTACGTGTTTCTCATCAGCTCGTCTCAAAAGCGATTAAGTGATACAAGAAGCTTGGCAACGATCGAGATCGTCCAGCAAGAGGCAGAAAAAGAACAGTCAACACCTCCAGAAGTCGCAAAGTGATTCAGAAGCGCGTGGCCCGGAATCCACATGTCTCAATGAGAAAGATCGCTCGACAGGCGGGGATCGCTCGCGAATCGGTTCGACTTATGGCAAAAAATGAGCTCAATCTTCACCCTTACAAGCTCAAGCAAGGGCAACAACTCGACGGCAACAACGAACGAGTTCGACTCGAAAGATGTCGAGAGCTTCTCAAGCGGGCCGCAACTCCACACTGGGGTTTTCTGACGAGAAGCTCTTCTCGGTGAAGCAAAGCTACAACCACCAAAACGATCGGATTTGGTTAACGTCCTCTCCAGGCAGCTCTGCGATTGTTCAACACCAACAAAATCCCAAATCGGTCCTGGTATGGGCCGGAATCTGCGCAACCGGCAAAACTCCTCTCATTTTCATCGATTCTGGGGTAAAAATCAATAAGGTTGTGTACCAAAAAAGATTCTTGAGGATGTTTTGCTTCCAGGGGTCAACAACATTTTGGTAACGGATTTTGGACCTTCCAACAAGACTCCGCTCCTTCCCATCGAGCCAAATCCACACAGGACTGGTGTAGGACAAACTTTCCGGATTTCATCTCGGCCCAGGAATGGCCTCCATATTCGTGCGATCTCAATCCGTTGGACTACAGTGTTTGGTCAATTTTGGAGGCAAGGGCTTGTGCAAAATCCCACAAAAGTTTGGAGGCTCCTAAGCGATCGTTGACCAGAGGATGGGATCGAATCACTCCGGCCGAGCTGCGGCCCATCGCCGAAAACCTCATCAAGCGTTTGAGGCTTTGCACCGGAGACAAAGGTGGCCACTTTGAAGAAAAGTAGATTTTATGCTCTCTTTATATCATGCTGTTAATAAAAAATTGTTTCTGCTTCAAAATCTTTTTGGATTTTTAAAAAATAGGCTAAATTAGGCCGCAACTTTATTTCTGGTCACTCTGTAAAACCCCTTTTCATTAAGCAAAAGGATAGGATTGAAATTCTTTAGGATAAGATCAAATTTCTTCAAATTTTGTTATGCAAATTAGGTTGTGCAGTTATTAAGTGTGCGTTTTCTAAAATTACAACTCTTTAATTGAAAAGCAACAGTTTAACAGCTCAATCAACAATCAATTCACTATTTGTTAACAATATTTTTTCCATCTTTTATGCAAAGAATGAATCCCTTTGGCGTGAAAAAAAATTGGCTTTTTTAAGGCAAAGAAATCGTTTATTCATTCTTTATTCATTCTTTTCGACTTCTTAAACATTTTTTTGTTCTTCTTAAACACTTCTTAAACAGCTTTTGTTTTCCCAACTATTCTTTAACATGAGTTTTTTGTTGTTTTCTAGTTTTTAGAAGAGATTATAATTGATAAAGTGACGGGAAAGTGACAAATTTCCATTGATGCATTGAAATTCATTAATTTCTTGTAAATTTTCAAATTTGTTATCTTATTTCGGAAGAATGCGATCGCGTTTTCAAAAAAAAAAGATAACTAAATCGGGCCAACGCCCCAAAAATTACTTTTAACCTTTTTTCCAATTGATTAATCATGTCACTTTTTTGCAAAATGAAATTCACTTTCTTGGCTTTATTTTGTTTCTTATTTGGATTTGTTTTCGCTGAATATTCGGATGATTTCTCGAGAAATGTGAGTATTTATCGATCGACTCAAAAAATCTATTCAATTAATGCAATATCTGTGCTTAAATATTTTAATTCTCAAGAATCTATCATTAGTTAATGCTGGTAAACTGGTAAACTATTGATTTTCATAAACTTATTCAAAATCTTTCGATTTGTAGATGATTTCAGATAATGTTCCCATTGGCTGCAGCCGCAACACCGCCAAATCCAGTACCTTGTTTACGAATGGGGCTCCCTGATGGAAAAGTAAGAAAAATTTTGTCATATTGTCATCTATTCAACCATTAACAACAAGCCATTAGCAAAAAAAGCATTAGCAAAAGCATTTTAACATTAGCAAAATGTTTATCATCTAATATTTAACGTCAGCAATCAAAAAGGGAACCAAAAAAACTGACCTGAAGATATGGTTATCAGTTTTCCTTTAAATTAAAACTTCTGTTTAGTTATCTCATGTTTAGTTAAAGCGAAAAATCGAAGTACCTTGTGATGCGTTGAACGAAACTTGCTCTGCATATTCGGCCTCTTCTGATTCATCCAAGGCAATCATCTTGTCGTTTAGGTTATTTTTTTAAACAAATTAAATTGGATTCAAAAATAAATCTAATAAAATAAATCTAATAAAATAAATCTAATAAAATAAATCTAATGAATTAAATCTAATGAACTAAATCTAATAAACTAAATCTAATGAACTAAATCTAATAAACCAAATCTAATAAACCAAATCTAATAAACTAAATCTAATGAACTAAATCTAATAAAATAAATCTAATAAACTAAATCTAATGAACTAAATCTAATAAACTAAATCTAATGAACTAAATCTAATAAACCAAATCTAATAAAATAAATCTAATAAACTCAATCTAATAAAATAAATCTAATAAACTAAATCTAATAAACCAAATCTAATAAACTAAATCTAATAAAATAAAGCTATTTTTAGGGGAACCGAGGGCGCTTATGAGCTCCAAGAAGAGGAGCAAAGTCTTCTTAACGGGAAAAAGGTGCATAGAAAATTTCGAAGTGGAAGTAAAATTACTGAAGAATACATTTAGATAAGTTTATATTATCAATCAATATTAGGTTGGAAAGAAAGTTCTCGGAAAAAGTTTGCACAATGATTTCTCAAAAGCCAAGCCATCAATTCTTCCCAGATTTCTTGGTAAACGACTATATTTCAAATAGTTTTTAGCAAAAAAATCATTAGTATTTTGCATTCGTTTTTTTTTTTATCGTCGGTCAGCATCATTTTGCTAGGGTTACTGTGCAAAAAAAGAAAGAATGATAATTTTCAACGGGTTGCACTTTGGTTTTCTGAGCTGATTAATTTGGTGATTAATTTACGAGTAAACTGGCTAGCTAACAGATAACAGAATTTGATGAAGATTGGGGTAAATACCGTATTTTCTCTAATAAAAAACGGCTTTACTTTTTCGACGAGGACTTATCACCTAGAAATTTTCAGCTTTAAAGTTTACTTCAATCTTGTTTTTTTGTTGACTTTTCTTGACTAGAGTCCAAACAAAATAGACACAAATCTACCGTAAACAAATCGCAGAATTCGCGTAATTTTCATATTATCGTAAACAAATCGCAGAATTCGCGTAATTTTCATGTTTTCTCTAATAGTAGTGCACCGCGGCGAGCCGAGTTGATGACTATTTTGCGGTTTCCAAGTTCTTCACAGAAGCTCAACACTCAAATCCCCCACAAGATCTCATCGTCAGCTACATTTTCCGATCCCACATCGATAGATTCTGATAAGCGGTTTTTGAGATTTCGATCAATTTAGACGACGCTCACTACTATTAGAGAAAATACGGTATTAGGTTGGCAAGAAAGTTCTCGGAAAAAGTTTGCACAATGATTTCTGAAAAGCCAACCCATCAATTCTTCCCAGATTTTTTGATAAACGATTATATTTCAAATAGCTTTTAGCAAAAAAATCTCTGTGAGCTTCAGGTAAAATAAGAGATTTCTTCAGCTGAAGTGGCTTGATTACTTTTTGAGTGGCCAACCTTTAGACAAGTTTTTAATGGTTTAATGAATAGGCATCCCATTCAAAAAACCTAAAATCAAGTACTTAAAATAGAGAAAGTGATAAAGGTAAATTTGATTTAATGATTTCACTTTTCAGAATCACCTAGCAAACACTTGGTGCCAAGGAGTTGACATCAAAAAATCATTTTTTGAAATAAAGCCTCTCTGTCAAAAAATTTTTTTGGCTAAAAATAGAGATTATAGAGCGTATTGCTCATTTAAGCTCATGCTCATGCTCATGCTAGCTTTAACTCATAAGAAATCGTTTTTCTCGTGCAAAAAGTGAGCTGAATTTAAGCCGGAAAAGAAAAATTTGTTTAAAAATCTCGAAAATTTTAAGCAAAAGCTGCACTCATTTTTTTACGAGCAATTTTTTAGAGTTGATTTGTAAATAATAGAAGAAAATGTTCTTGCATTGGTGGATTCGTTTTTAAGAAATTCTAGTCAAACTTTTTGCTGAGAACTTTCTTTCCAACCTATTATTTTCTTAAGCGCTTTAGGAAATCATCAATGGTTTTTTCAATGGCTTCGTTTTTCAATGCTAAAGATTTCGTTCCACGCTTTGATTAAATCTCATTTCAAGGAGTCAATTCATATTTGGGCTTTAGCAAATGCCTTACTTTTAAGAATCGACCATATTGAGTAATCTAAGAGATTGAAATCGTGTTTGATGGCCATTTGCCAGAGCGTTGTTGTCCTGATGTCTTGTTGAATCCTGTTTTTAAGAGATTCTAGTCTAACTTTTTGCTGATAACTTTCTTTCCAACTGAGAACTTTAAACCTAATATTTAGCTGATATTTCCGGGTGGCGGTATGGTGGCCGAGTTCTTCTATTCGGCTTTTCTCGGGATTTGGAATGGCGGGATGAAAGACGATTTTCTGAGCCTCAGAAACAGTTATCCAGATTACCAAATATGGGTAAGTTGTTGGAGTTGAAGTTGGAGAGAAGTAAGTTGGAGAGAAGTAATAAAAACAATAAAAAAAAATAGAAAATAGACAATAAAAACAATAGAAAATAGATAATAAACAATAGAAAATAGATAATAAACAATAGAAAATAGATAATAGACAATAAACAATCAGAATAGACAATAGAAAATAGAAAATAAACAATAAACAATAGACAATAGACAATAGACAATAAACAATCAAAATAAGGGTGTACAGTGCTTAAATTCAAGCCAAACAATCGGTGTGCACAAGCCTGCTTGAAGCTGAATTATGCTTGAAGCTTATGCTTAAAGCTTATGCTTGAATTCTCTCCATGAACAGAATGTGGTTGTTTTGTAAATTAAAATGATGAGTTAGTGCGTTAGAAAGTGGTTGATTAGATGAAATTTTCAGATTTTCTGAGTCGCCGTATAGACAAGGCATTTAACCGTTCGTTTAAAGGCCCGGAAAACCTTGTCAGCTCACCGGAAAATTGATCAAATCCATGTCCAAGCCCATCAACTGCTAAATTAAGCAAAAAGATTGAAATTTAACAAATTTGCTTTTTATAGTCATTAGAATATAGAGTCTACAAGAAACAAAACTCAAATTTGCTAAATTTAACAAAATTGTTTTGGTGTTTAGCAAAATTGATAGATGGTAAATGGTAAATAGTTTGCTAGAGTAAACGGTAGACTTGTGCTTTGTCTGTCTGAATGTGTTCATCGTGTGTTACTGAAAAATCATGTACGACCAGTAACTTTTCATACCAAAACGAGTTCCAGGTCACCGGTCACTCGTTGGGCGGAGCTATGGCAGGTTTATGCGCTGGTTACATCACTCAAGTGGGCTACGTTCCCCTCACTCAGGTAGTTTCTCAATCAAAAACCTCACTAGTTCGAGTAAACGAATTCAGATTCGACTCATCACATTTGGTGAACCGCGAACCGGTGATGCAAAATATGCCTCGTTGATCGATCAGGTGAATTTGAAAAAGGGAAACAGCGAAAATCTTCACACTAAAAGTCTTGCTTGACTTGACAACTTTCATACAATTAGTTTTTTTTATCTGTTTTTCGCACTCAGGTGTTCCTATTTGCGCAGATCACAACCTGCTTCCACATTTCTCTATCCCTTGCTATTGTCATCCAGTGTTTCCTAGCTTGATTGTTCCTGGTTCGAAGTCTTCGACTTGCTTGTGCTGGTGGTGGTTGCACTCTAGCCATCCTTTCTCTGACCGTCTCTGACTCTTGTGCTCCACCTCGTTGCTGGTCTTCCAATGGGCATCTTCTGGTCTGGTGGTAGCCACTCTGTGATCCGTATCGTCCATCTCTCGTCTGTTCTTCTGGCTACTTGGCCGGCCCATCTGAGTCTTTTTCTCTCAATCACTTCCACTGGATCTCTGAGTCCCGAGAGCTGACGCAGCTCTGTACTTCTTAGGTCTTGGTCGAGCTGCGTCTTCCTATTGTACCTGAGTTGGTTCCTTTCAAGAGCTCGATGCGTCGTTCTCAGGGCTCGATTAGCGGTCTGTGTCGTGGCCCAGGTCTCTGTCCCGTAGCAGAGTGCCGGGAGGACAGTGCTGTCGAAGAGGTGTGCCCGAGTCCTCTAATGATTCTTGAGTATCTTTGTGACTTCTTTGATGCTTCCTAGTGCCGTCCAGGCAGCTCGTCTTCTTCTGGCGATTTCTGATCTTAAGTCTCCCTCCATATTGATGCTCATACAATTAGTTTCTCAGTTTAAAGTCAGATTTCAGATTCCTTACGCATATCGAGTGGTTCACGATAATGATTGGGTTCCACATGTTCCACTAGTCCCAATGGGGTATGAGCATCATGGAACCCAGGTTGGTGAAACAATTTTCGGATTTAAATTTTGGATAAAACGTTAGACGTAGTAGTATGAGCTAACAATGATTAACAATGATTAATGATTCTAAAATCTAACAATCTAACAAGTCTAGCAATCTAGCAATCTAACAAACTAACAATCTAACAGACTAATAATCTAACAAATCTAACAATCTGACAATCTAAGAATCTAAGAATCTAATAATCTAACAATCTAACAAATCGAACAAATCGAACAAATCGAACAAATCTAACAATCTAACAATCTGACAATCTGACAATCGAACAATCTAACAATCTAACAATCTAAGAATCGAACAAATCTAACAATCTAACAATCTAACAATCTAACAATCTAACAATCTAAGAATCGAACAAATCTAACAATCTAACAATCTAAGAATCGAACAAATCTAACAATCTAACAATCTAACAAATCTAACAATCGAACAATCTAACAATCTGACAATCTAACAATCTAACAAATCTAACAATCTAACAAATCTAACAATCTAACAATCTAACAATCTAACAATCTAACAATTGACGATCTAACAATCTATGATTTAATTCTACAAGATTACCTTCAATTGCATTGTTTCTTCAGATTTTCTATCCAAACTTGATGAAACCAGGCGACCCTTATACGGTATGCCAAGGGAATGAGGACAGGTGAGTGTTTCTAAAAATAAATTTCTAACAAAAGCATCTGTCGGTCCTTTTTTTGCCGTTGCCAATTTATGGTTTTTCGTGTTTCTCTCAACACCAACCCTTCGATTTTGACTATTTTGACCATCATTCGATGGAGAATTGAAATGCGCGTCGAATGATATCAAAATTCACTCAAAATCTAATATCCATGCAAAGTTATTGGCTAAAAACCTAAGCCACGCTCATTATGGGCGAGACTTAACCTTTTGCCTCATATCTTTGCATGGATATTCTATTTTAATTTAATTTTGATATCATTCGACGTGCATTTTAATTCTCCATCGAATGACAGTTAAAATAGTCAAAATCGAAGGGTTGGTGTTGAGAGAAATACGAAAAACCTTAAATTGGCAACGGCAAAAAAGAACCGACAGATGCTTTTGTTAGAGTGGAGGCCTAGAATATCAATCAACGTGTTATCTTGTAACATTTATACGAGCCTACCATAAAAGCTGCCGAGCTGATTAAACTAAGGTCTCGCCTGGATTTACTCCAATGTTTTTCTAGCTTTGAATTCTAGATTTCTAGATCTGGCAAGATCTTTGAATAAATCAATGCTAAATAGATTGTTGGTTTAAAAAGTTTTTCCCTTCATTGCACTCATATCATTTTTAGCAAATGCTCGAATTCTGTTCCGGCGGATCGTTTGAATGGCGAAGCACATGGCTGGTATTATAATATCGATATCAATAATTATGAAAGCAGAAACTGTGTTTATAATAATTAGTATTTTTCTTTTTTTTTATTGCTTTTTCTGAAAGAAAATTTGAATAAGAGATTTCTCTTTTGTTTTCGAGTGAACAATAAAAACTAAAAAAGCTCAAGAAAGCTCAAGAAATTTGAAGTTAATGCATGCTAGGTTATTCGTTTCTTTGTTTTCACAGCATTATTCGTTCCTAGGTGTAAACGGATATGGACTAGAATTTGGGTTAATTTAAAGAGAGTGGATCCCTTTTGATATCCCGCCATCTCTAACACCCCGACAACCCAACTCAACTCCTCCAACGTATTAGAAGGAGTCCCTGTGAAATGACCGATCTGAACTGCAGTATCTTTATATCTGCAGTATCTGCAGGAAGATATGTATCTTTATTGACAGTAGTACAATAAGACGAATAGACTACAAATGAGTGAAAGGGAAAGGCGGGACTCCAAGTGAGAAACCAACTCCTCACTTGTCCTCCTAGGCAACTCTTCACTTGTCCTCCTCACTTGTCTCCCAAGGACTTCTCGGATAAGTAAAGGGGAGATCAAATTTATCTAAGAGACAAATCATTCAATAATAATAATAGTAACTAAAAATATCAGTTTGGCTCGGAGCTGACAGCATTGAGTTTTTCAATAAAAGAATGGTAGAATAAAAAAGTTACTCGAAGTTACTCGTAAAAAAAGAAGTTTTTTCATGTTTATTATGTTTATCTTCTTGTTTATTAAAAGAAGTTTTGTTTCTATTTTTTTAAAGCTAGAATTAAAAGCCCAATTCCTGCAGAGTACGGGGGTTGGCAACTTTCTAATTCTAAATTCTAAAAGACACCATCTAAAAGTTTTCCAAATCTAAAAGACACCATCTAAAAGATTTCCAATTCTAAAAGACACCTAAGCTACCATTCTCGAGGCGTCTCTCTTTCTCCATATAAAAAGAAGTCCCATCGCTTTATTCATTCTTTTAAAGAATAGTTGGTTGGTCTGATGCTTCGCCGTGTATTTTCCCTTCCTCTATCCCCTTATAAAATCCCTGTTTATTGTTAAAATTTCTCTTCTTTTTTTATTAATTCCCACCCTTCCTTCCCTGTTTCTTTTAAAATTTTAAAAGTTTTAGAGCTTCTGTCCTTTTTCTGGTTTTTATTTCTGTACTTTTCCACTTTGTTGGTCTTTCCATAATTTCAATCTTAATTGAAAGCAAATTAAAGCTTGAATCCAGCCATAATTCAGGTGTTTTCATGTGTATTTACTTTTCAAAAGCTTTAGTTTTTGATTGACGTCGCAAAGCAAATGTTCAACAACGACAAGAAGCCTTTTCTACACAAACAAGCAAATAGAATGCTGGGAACATTGAAGAAAAAGTCTTTTTGAGTTTATTTCTTTATGTTTTAGGTATTTCGTTTAGAGTTTGGGCTTATTGACGTGGGTTCGACTGTTCATTTACCTATTGACTCCGTTGACCGACTAAAAGTTGCTTATTCGACTTTATTTGGCATTGTGCTGTGTCAAGACAAAGGATTTTATCAAATTGAATCAATCTTTATAAAGACACCGTAATAGTAAAAAGATATTTTCACAAAAGTTTGTCATTTTATCAGATGTTCAGCAACGACAAGAAGCCGTCGTTTTTCTACAGAAACAAGCAAATAGAATGTTGGAAACATTGAAGAAAAAGCTTTTTTGAGTTTATTTCTTCATATTTTGGGTATTTCGTTTAGAGTTTGGGCTTTTTTAAAAAGAAAGAAATATTTTATTTCACTTTTCCAATACAATGTTCAGCTAATTTCTTCTCAATGAATGACCACGAAAAGCCGTGAGATTTGACAAATGGGAGAACATTGGAGACATCCTGAAATGGAAATAACTGTAGAAAAGTGTTTCTTGTGTACATATAGTAAAAATTAATGTTGATATTTGTTAGGGAAATGGTGGGAATGAAGAATGAAAGTGTCAGAATCGGTGTCAAGTGTTTGACTCATGAATTAAGTCGTCTTAAACATTGAATTTGACTTTGTGAATGATCAAGCTCTTGATAGATATTAGTGACAAGCACCAAATAAGGGGGTGGCTACTTTGCGCCAAATTTTTTGTGCAACTAGGTTATTTGCGCGACTGGGTCATTTGCGCAACTAGGTCATTTACGCACCTAGGCCATTTGCGAACCTAGGTCATTTACGCACCCAGTTCATTTGCGCAACTAGGTTATTTGCGCAACTAGGTCATTTGCGCAACTAGGTCATTTACGCAACTAGGTCATTTGCGCAACTAGGTCATTTGCGCAACTAGGTTATTTGCGCAACTAGGTTATTTGCGCAACTGGGTCATTTGCGCAACTCACCAACTCTCTTCTAAGTCTTTATGAGTTTATGATTGATTTTATGATGAATCTTTATGATTTTGATATCATTTTGTAGATCTCAACAAGTATAACAAAATGATATCAAAATCATAAAGATTGGTCGACTTAGAAGAGAGTTATGGTGAGTTGTGCAAAAGCCCTAGTTGCGCAAGTGACCCAATCGCGTAAAAAATTTGGCGCAAAGTAGCCACCCCCCCAAATAAATCAAAAACTGATAAGATTGAAGTCAAAGAAATGTTTCTTGAATGATTATTTGAATGAACTCACTTGTCCGGCTCTCCTCAACATTGCGATTCCTCCTGGGTGTTGTGGGAAGTATTTGGTCATATCGTAGACCTGAATAGTTTTTGTTTAATTGAATTTTCTCGCAATTAGAATTGAATGATAATCTAGAAAGCTCTTTGGAATTTTCTTTTATACTTTGTAAGTTAAAGAAAGAGTTAGAATAAGAACCGATTCTTACTTTAAATTATCGGCAGATGGATGTAATCTAGTTTTTTTTTGTTTGAAGTTTTATGTCGAAAATTAACGTAAATTGATTTACCAAACATTTCTCAAGTATTAAAAGATGAAATCAGCTTTTTAGCTTAATTTTCTTAATGTTTACCTCTCAGCTTAGTATATTAGTTTAGCAAGAATTAGGAAAAAAAAGGGGAAAGAAGCGGTGAGAAACTAAGCCGGCTCTCCGTTTCTTAGAGTATTACAAAACTCAATTTTTTGAGATCAATCTTTACCTTAAATTTGCCTTTCTTTTTGCTAGAAATTCTAAGTTTTTTCAACAATTTAGATGCTGTTTTTTTAGTCTAATTGATTAGAAACAGGATCAGAAAAATTTTAGCATAGAGATTGGAGCATAAAAAAGATCCGAATCCCCTTCAACGATCCCCTTCAACGAACCAGAACTAAATCCTTTTTTCTGTTTTTTCGATTCTTTAAACTCTAATCAATTTTATGTTAAATGTTATTGATTTGAATGGATTTATTGTTATTGTAGTGGATCGTTCTCTAGGCATTGATTGGAAACAGGATCAGAAAAAGTTTAGATAGAGATTGGAGCATAAAAAAGATCCGAGTCCCCTTCAACGATCCCCTTCAACGAACCGGAAATAAATCCTTTTTTCTGTTTTTTCGATTCTTCAAACTCTAATCAATTTTATGTAAAGGTTATTGATTTGAATGGATTTATTGTTATTGTACTTGATCGTTCTCTAGCCACAAACCTTTCCATCATAGATCAACCACAAATCGTCATTTGTGCAATGCTGAGCCACGTCATTTACCGAGTACTCTTTCAAATTCGACATAGAAACAAGGGAATGTTGTTGAATCAGAAGAATTATTAGGATTTTCAAGTGAAGATCAATACGAGCAAAGTGATGGAAGATGTCGAAAAGGAGAGAGCGTCTAATCGCTTTCTCTTTACCGCTTTCCGAATTTCCGATTCGAATGAATTTATCATGAGCTCACAAATGTGAAATTTCTATCTCTTAAGTAGCTTTGAATTTTTGATTTTTAGACAAATTGTGCAGAAAAGTAGCTGAGTTTCTATGAAATCTTATTTAATGCTTTGATTTTGAATATCTGAATTTGATTATCTGAATTTGATTATCTGAATTTGAATATTTGAATTTGAATATCTGAATTTGAATATTTGAATTTGAATATTTGAATTTGAATATCTGAATTTGAATATTTGAATTTGAATATTGAATTTGAATATCTGTTTGTATCGATTGATTTGTTTGCTAGAATTTGAATTGAATATCTGAATTTGATTATCTGAATTTGATTATCTGAATTTGATTATCTGAATTTGAATATCTGAATTTGAATATCTGAATTTGAATATTTGAATTTGATTATCTGAATTTGAATATCTGAATTTGAATATTTGAATTTGATTATCTGAATTTGAATATCTCTGATTCTCTTGTCCTTCCTCTAAAGATCCAAAGATCGTTTTTGTGATAAAAAGAGATGGAGCCACACTTTGTATTCTTTTCCCGTTATCCTTGAACCAACGAGTGATTCTATTTATTGTATTTTCTAAAGCACATATAAAAAACTGGATAAAATTGGAAAAAATTGGAAAAGAATTGGGTAAAATCGTGCACAAAAACCTTGTGGGCTAAAAAGAGTTTTTGTATTCTTTTCCCGTTGTCTTTTGAAACACCGAACCAACGATTGATTCTATTCATTGGATTTTCTCGCTGTACAAATGTGAAATTTCTATATCTTAAGTAAATGAGCGTTGAATTTTTGATTTTTAGACAAATTGTGCAGAAAAGTAGCTGAGTTTCTATGAAATCTTATTTGATGCTTTGATTTTGAATATCTCTGATTCCCTTGTCCTTCCTCTAAAGATCCAAAGATCGTTTTTGTGATAAAAAGAGATGGAGCCACACTTTGTATCCTTTTCCGTTGTCTTTTGAACCAAAAGATTGGTTCTATTTATTGTACTTTCTAAAGCACATATAAAAAACTGGATAAAATTGGAAAAAATGAAAAAATTGGGTAAAAGCGTGCACAAAAACCTTGTGTGCTAAAAAGAGATGATAAAAAGAGGTGGAGCCCTACTTTGTATGCTTTTCCGTTGTCTTTTGAACCAAAAGATTGGTTCTATTTATTGTACTTTCTAAAGCACATAAAAAAACTGGATAAAATTGGATAAAATTGGAAAAAATTGGATAAAATCGTGCACAAAAACCTTGTGTGATAAAAAGAGATGGAGCTCCGCTTTGTATTCTTTTCCCGTTGTCTTTTGAAACACCGAACCAACGACAACGAAGGAGCTTTAAAGGAGCTTTAAAGGAGCTTTAAAGGAGCTTTAAAGGGGCTGAATTTAAAGCTCCTTTAAAGCTTTGAAACACCGAACCAACGACTGATTCTATTTATTGGATTTTCTCGCTGTACAAATGTGAAATTTCTATATCTTAAGTAAATGAGCGGTTGAATTTTTGATTTTTAGACAAATCTTTAAGCTATAATCATTGAATAAAACTCTAAATTGAAAAGCAATTTCATTTTTTCTTCAGTTTTTTTTGTCTATTTCAGTTTTAAAGTTCATAGTTTTCATGGGAAAAAAAACCCATTTCAGTTGATTCTTTTGCCATAAATCGCATCTAAAACTTGCAAACTGCACAAAAAATTGATTTTGAAAATGAACTGGCTTACTGAACTAATGAAATGGCTCGGAAAAATCGTTTATTTCATCATTTTTAATCTTTTATTTAAATACCCCAATCGGGCATTGAAAAAAATGAAAAAAAGATTAAAAATATGGTTAAAATGGTTGATATGGTTAATTTAATGGTTAAAAAAACTAAAAATTTAACATATTGCACCCATAAAGTTTTTCAAGGCGAAAGAAGATTCACAAATTTTTGAGAAAGAAATTCTTTTGAGAGACCTCGGGGAAACAAGCTGAGGCTAAAGAAAAGTTTGGTTAACAAAAATGGAATTATAGAAGTTGAGATGAGTTGGGGGATATTTTGAGCAATTTTGCGATTGATCTCGCATCATTTAGAAAAGACTTTTCGGCACGAAAAGATCGATCACTGAAGTCAAGTACTCGGCACCGAATGGCATCTGAAATTTCGAGAGTTCTCATGGATTGGATTGAATTCTGTACTTTTCGACGCTCCCAAGCAGCAATCCAATAGCGCTTTTCTAAAGCCTGCCCCAGTCAGCGTTTAAATTTTGGTTGACTCTTTAAAAGCAAGATCGGTAACCGTAATCCAACCGGATTTTCAAGCTCTAGGATCTTCGCGGTCTTGCTCTTGAATCTATGCCTTAGTTAGTTATTATTAGTTAGTTTATCTATGCCTTAGTTAAGTAGTTGCCTAAGTTAGTTTTTGTTAAAGTAGTCATGGTCTTGCTTGGGTTACTGTCGTTTTACAGTACTGTAGAAGTAACCAGCTACCGTAATCCAACCGGATTTTCAAGCTCTAGCATCTTCGCGGTCTTGCCCTTGAATCTATGCCTTAGTTAGTTATTATTAGTTAGTTTATCTATGCCTTAGTTAAGTAGTTGCCTAAGTTAGTTTTTGTTAAAGTAGTCATGGTCTTGCTTGGGTTACTTTCGTTTTATAGTACCGTAAAAGTAGCCAGATAGTGCTTTAAAGCTCACAGAAAAGTACGAAAAGTTTACAGACATCTTATTCTTGTTTTCTAAAAAGCATAGCCAAGAAAAAAGCTACAGTACGCTGTACGCTGTACGTACGTAAAAAGCTATTATACGGTTGAAAATCTCTTTGAAAACTTACATCGTATTGTGTTGAACGAATTGTGCCAAAGAAGCGATCGTATTCGGCTTTCATCGAGCGATAAACCGAGAAGAAAGTCTGTTGCAGTGATTTCACCACTGAAATAAGGCGATAATTTTAGATTTGCAAAATTGTTGACAATACACTTGTAAGTCTTAAAAAGTATTGCTTAAACTATAGCTTAAACTATTGTTGAACTATAGCTGAACTATAGCTTAAACTATAGCTGAACTATAGCTGAACTATAGCTTAAATTATAGCTGAACTATAGCTGAACTATAGCTTAAACTATTGCTGAACTATTGCTGAACTATAGCTTAAACTACAGCTTAAACTATTGCTTAAACTATTGCTGAACTATTGCTTAAAATATTGCTGAACTATTGCTTAAACTACAGCCTAAACTATAGCCTAAACCATTGCTTAAACTACAGCTCAAACTATAGCTTAAACTATTGCTGAACTATAGCTTAAACTTTAGCTTAAGCTACAGTTTAAACTATCTAGTAAACAATAACTAAACTGACCATAATTTGTGTGACACGAGGCAAGCACGTTGTTCACAAAAATGTCCCCGGTTGACGTCAATGGAGCGTAGATTCCCTCGCTCACCACCTGAAAACAAAAGAATAATCAATATAAAATCATTTCTTTATATAAATTTACATATCTAGCAATAGGTTTGTGTATGAAATTATGAAAAAAAAACCATTTCAATCGAAACAATCTCTTCATGTCGCAAGATGAATCCCGTTTTGAGCCACTTACACCAAGACATTGACCAACCTGTTAAATTTAGATTCAATTTTTATCTAATCAATCAAACAATTCAAGTTACCCAGTTCTTTTAATGGAAAAAAGACGTTTATCAGTTTAAAACTACAGTCAACTCTCGATATTCGATTCGCTCGGGATTGGTGCTTGGTATCGTTATATCAAAGATATCAAAGATATCGTTATATCAAAGATATCGTTATATCAAAGATATCGTTATATCAAAGATATCGTTATATCAAAGATATCGTTATATCAAAGATATCGTTATATCAAACATATCGTTATATCAAAGATATCGTTATATCAAAGATATCGTTATATCAAAGATATCGTTATATCAAACATATCGTTATATCAAAGATATCGTTATATCAAATATATCGTTATATCAAAGATATCGTTATATCAAGAGTCGACTGTAGTTTGTTTTTATTTCAAAACAACAGTTTCTCAGTTTTACCGTCAAGTGTTTTGCGTGAACGAGATTGTGTGGTGACGCGTAATGGCAATCAGTTGTGTAGATTAAATGATCTTCAGTCAACTCGATCGATTGACCACTCTTCTAAAAATTTGCAAATAATTCCGAAAGCTTTAGAGACATTTTCTTTTCTTTAATCTATCAACAATCTATCAAACATTACTAATTTCTATCTATTTCTAATAGAAATCCGTAATGTTGTTGTTTAAAGTTTACGAATTCAGTAAACTTCTGGTAACACAAAAAAACTGGATAAAATTGGATAAAATTGGATAAAATTGAATAAAATTGAATAAAATTGAATAAAATTGAATAAAATTGAATAAAATTGGATAAAATTGGATAAAATTGAATAAAATTGAATAAAATCGTGCAAATCGTGCCCAAAAACCTTTGTAATTTCTTTACAGCTTTCCATTTTTCACTCACCAATTGCACTCGATAAAACTCCGTCTCAACATCGTCCCGTTTATGCAAGAACATGATCACTGGCGAGTATTGAATCTAGGAAAAACTCTTCGAATTCCACGCAAAACAATTCTACCAGATTCTCATCAATGCTCAGCACTTGATCTCCGATTTGTAAATCTTTAATGAATTTCTCTCCATCGGGTGTTTGAACAGTCATCGTTCCGCTAAAACATTTCATGCCCGATGAGTAATAGACCGGTTGAGCGCCTCCCGTGTAAACTGGAGCTGGATAGGCTGGAGGTGGAGGTGGCTGAAAGAAAAGGCAAGTTTTCTCTTTTTCTAGTTAATTATAGTTGATTCATTTGAAAGACTGAATCTCTCTTAAAGGTTAATCCTGTTTCTTGCGATTCAAGCTCTTAAATGATTTAATTGTCATTTTATTAACCAGCCATCAAAATCCGTAGATGGTTCTATCGATTCTTAGTCTTACAAGAGAAAGACAACAATAAATAAGCCGTAAACCATTCGACACAGAATTACACGCTGATTCCGAATCGGCGTTCCGTTTTTGCAAAATAGCTTTCTATAAAAAGTTATATGTGTTCTGTTTTAGGGTGAAAATGCAAGAATTTGAAGCTAAGAGATGTCTTTATCTCAGGGTTTTCTCACGACTTTCAAACGTGTCTTGATGGTGTAGTGGAAAAAAACACTTGCATACAGAACGAGGGCTTCATTTTTTCGCTTAAGTTCGATTCCTTTTTGACAAAACTTTTGTTAGTAGCAAGTCAAACCGAAAAAAAACCCCATTCACTCTGTAACTCACCGGTTGAATTGGTGGCTGAACGTAGGCATTTGGCTGAGGCTGAGCGTAAGCACTTGGGTAGTTGAAGGCTGGTAGGGCTTGCGCTTGTGAGTAGGTATTTGGGGCAGCATAAGATGACTGAAAAAATTGATAAGACATAGAAATAATCGGGGATACCAATCCAGCGGCATTTGGTTGGAGGGGAGCTGGTGGGATTGGGCCATCGCTTGGGCTGAAAGAATGTGGATTGAAGAGGAATTGATTGATCGAAATATCTAACGGTTATAGCTTCTCGAAAGCTCTACTTGCTCTGTTGAAAGCTTTTTATGTTTGATAACAATCTAACTAACAATCTACGTACTAGAAGGTAAAAGCTGTCAAATAGTTGGCAAAATCAAGTTGAAAATTTTAAGTACAAGTACAACCTTGATTCAAAATCGAAACACAAACCCTGTAGGAGCTGCTTGTGGTGCAACAGCAGCATAATCAGCACTTGGCCCTTGCATTGAGGCTGGGATTGCTGGTGGTGGCTCTGGTCCGCTCACCTTTAAGATACTCTTAAAGTTTAAGTGCACAAAGTGCAAGTTGTCGTTTTTCGAAAACAAAACTCTCAAACAGGGAAACTCATGCATTTTGTGCAAAGAAAACTCTGGTAAAAAAAAGAGGTAAACTTTTCAGTGCCGCAAACAAAATCGGGAAAACTTTCGATTAGGTGATTTTTTCAAACATTTCGCATAACTTGCCTGTGCTGAGGGGTTTTCAAGAGGCTAAAGAAGAGAAAAAAAAAGAATATTTTCATTTGTTAATGACAAAATTGATACCTCAGGTCCAGTGATTGAGGGTTGTTCCTGAAAAATTGTTAAGCTGGAGAAAGGTTTTGAATTTACCTGATAGTTTCCTGAGGGCACTGGTTGAACTTGGCGAGGTGACTAAAATTGGAGACTTTATTGCACAAGTTTTACTTTAACAACAGTACCAGCAATGCACAGCCAGTTGGCTTTCACAGCCAGCCAGTTGGCTAGATTTGGCTAATGAGAGTTAACGAGACTAACGGATCGTGCAACTCTAGGCGCTTCATCTAGCCTCTAGAGTATCGAATTCCAAAGAACTTTTTTACATTTAAAAGGTAAAACTTGAAGCTATCTAATGATATTTAACACTTAAGTTTTTCTTTTAAAAAAATCGCTCAAAAACCTTATCGAGACTTAACGAGACAATTCCTCATTATCTCGTTAAATCTCTATAAGGTTTTTGACCGACTTTTTTAAAAGAAAAATTTAAGTGATAGATATCATTAGATAGCTTAGAGTCTTGGCTTTTGAATTTAAAAAAGTTCATTGAAATCCAATACTCTGGAGGCTAGATGAAGCGCCTGGAGTAGCAGGTCCCGATTTTTTTTTTGTTCTGTCTCGTTAAGCAAGTCTAGCCAGTTGTAGATTGTACAAATGGTTGTGAACATTGTACAACTATTCTGCTAAATATAGTGAACACAATATGGCAACTATTGAGCTTAAAATATAATGCTTTCTCACTGGATGTTTGTGCTCGAATTCGGGAATCACTCCATCTTCGGGGAACAAGGAGGGTTTCTTTTTGAGAATTGTTTCTTTATTTTGATTGAAATCATCAACGATCTCACGACTTCGGTAAAAATGGCCGCCTTGTCTGAAAAATTCTTGAAATTCTTTGAATTCTTAGTTCTTGCGTAGTTTCCAGGTATTTTGAACGAGTCGTCACACTTTGTAGGCTTATAACTTTGTCTAGATATAATATTTTTGTTAACTTTCTATATCATTGTACGGAAAACATTTTAGGCTTTCAAATGATACCAAATAAAGCGTGATTAGATTTTTCATTTCCATACAAACAAGGCGACACGACACCCAAGTTGGACAGGCCACATTTGTTCAGAGTTGGCTCTGATTTTCTTGGACTGGATGAACCAATTAGGCTCTATTTGGTATCATTTGAAAGCCTAAATTGTCCTCTGTACAATGATATAAAAAGTTAACAAAAATATTATACCTAGACAAAGTTATAGGTTTTCAAAGTGTGACGACTCGTTCAAAATACCTGGAAACACGCAGGAGACAAATTCTTTGAAAGTTCTTTGAATTTGTCAACATCATAAATGTAAAAACGCTATTTCTAGCGTGCTAAGTCTTTATTTTTCTTTTTATTACTAGAAAATGAGACTTGAGTAGGCCAAAAAGAGCCCGTTTACGCAATTTAAGCAAATAACAACTGATCTTCTTTATCGGATTGAATTCGACTCACTTATTTGACCTCGAATCCAAGCAGGGCATTCGAAACACAGAAACAATGTACTGAATGCTGAAAATGAAAGATTTACCAATCAATTGCTCAAATCTCTCACCTGCCATCATTGTCCACCGATTTACGGACTTCTTTCACCAAATCGAAGCCGCTTGGTCGACCGTGATGCTAAAATCTACCGTAATCAAATGCTCTTTCTAATATTTAATTATTTAATTTCAAAATTTTCGCTAATAAAATGTTACCTCAACTAATCCACCCTCAAAAGTGTCATTTGCGTAGAGGAGAATCGTTTGAAGCTCTTTCGCTCGCGCCAAACCGGCAAACGAACAGCACAGGGTTCTTAATCTAAAAGAGATTGAGGTTTTTCTGGCTTTTGGATTGCTAATAATAAATAAAGTTTGCAACTTCTTTAACGATTTTTCCAAAATCCTTACGTGACATGTGTCCCATTTGTCGTCTCGATCAATCCGGCCGTCCACTCGTCATCCCCAACGCAAACCGTTTCCGTGAAATCTTGATCGCATTCCTAGAAAAAGGAAATGGAGTTGTTGTTAAATGGAGTTGTTGTTAGATGGAGTTGTTGTTAGATGGAGTTGTTAAAAGAAGATTTTTCTAAATTCTAGAAGCCTCACCGCTCTCAAATTTCTCCTTGTTCCCTTGCCAATACATGAAGGACTATCACAAGAAAGCACTGAAAATGAGCAGATTCTCTAGTCATTTTTGTACTGTAAATAATCATATTCTCATTCCAATTCTTTCATTTCAATTCTTTTCAGTTAAATTCACTTATTTTCTTTATTATTATCAACCTGGTGTCCCATCGATATCAATAGCAAGTCGATATGGAACCGCGTCTCTTCCACATGATCCCCCCCGATGGGTGATTGTGTTTGATGTGGAGATTAAATATAACAATGAGAAAATCAAGTATCGCATTGGCTAAAAGACAAATTGTGGTTTGGAATTGTGGTTTGGAAATTGGTTACAAAAGGCACGGAGAAACGATGGATAATGAAAAGGAAAACTGGTAAGAGCTTGTAAAGGAACAATAAACTCTAAACTCTAAACCCTAAACCCTAAACCCTAAACTTGCCAATCTTTGCCAATCGTCACAAGATGTTTCTCTTCATTTTTTCTCGTGAAAAAAAGAATTTCGATTCAATATAACCCTTTTCTCTTTTCCTCTCATTTAGGGATGACAGCCGAAAAAATTTAGGGACGACAGTGATTGGATTTAGTGGTTAGTTGATTGGTTAGTGAAGCAGAGGAAATGGAAATGATAAAGTCAACAATTGTACAGCAAACTTATTCTCTTAGATTTTAGTTTTCAAGTCTAGAATTACAATCTCTTCACAGGCCTTTAAAAGCCCCAATATTGAACGAATAGTTGAGGAGATTAAGTTGATTAAGATTAAGATTAAGTTAGCAGAGTTTTTGACTTTAAAGTTTTCAAAAGCTGTAGAAGACTGTGATGAACTTGTGCTGATCTCATCGACAAGCTTAACATTGAATCCACTTCGATACGACTTTAGAAGTAGACAGTATTTGATAACGATAGATGGTGCTTTTCATTAGTTTTCAATAAGAATAGTTTAAGAGATTAAGTTGATTAAGGTTAAGTTACCAGAGTTTTTGAATTCAATGTTTTCAAAAGCTATAGAAAGCTGTAATTGCGAACCTGATCTCATCGACAAACTCAACATTGAATCCACTTCGATACGATTTTAGAAGTAGACAGTTTTTAGTATAAGAAATTTAGGGACGACAGTGATTGGATTTAGTGGTTAGTTGATTGGTTAGTGAAGCTAAGAAAATGAAAATGATAAAGTCAACAATTGTACAGCAAACTTATTCTCTTAGATTTTAAAGTTTTCAAGTCTTGAAGTCTATGGAATCGCGTCTCTTCCACATGATCCCCCCGATGGGTGATTGTGTTTGATGTGGAGACGATTAAATATAACAATGAGAAAATCAAGTATCGCATTGGCTAAAAGACAAATTGTGGTTTGAAAATTGTGGTTACAAAAGGTACCGAGTAAAGGTGGATAATAAAAAGGAAAAGAAGTAAGAGCTTGTAAAAGAACTCTAAGCTCTAAACTCTAAGCTCTAAACCCTAAACCCTAATCTCTAAATAATTAAGAAAACGAGATTTGATTAAAGAACAATCTCAAAACTGAATTTATCTATTTTAAAGCTAAATTTAACAAGAAAATCTTAAAATAGAAAAGAAAAATTTGTAAAAATGGGATCTTTACGGTTAACGGCAAGGGCTAAGTTTTTGACCAACTTGCAACCCGATTTTAAATAAATTTTTCTTAATAACTTTGGATAAAAGAAATAGTTTCTGAAAGCTGACGTTCTAAGCTATCTAAATCTTATTAAAACTTTCTGATCTGACAAGTTTAAGATAAGTAAAAATGAGCTACAAGTCGGCAAAAAAATTGGGCTTTACCGTTATTCTAAAATTCTAAAAATGAAATAATATAAGTAAAATTAGGTCGAGTGAAACTGAGATTTGCAAAATAATTTGATTGATTTCTTTTGATTTCAATATTGAAATCAATTTGAAAAACAAAAAGAAGCTATTTAGTTTAAAATTAAATTTAAATCAAAGAAATTCGGAATATGAAAAGATTTGTGAATGGAAATTGAAATTAACAAAAATTTTTGAGTTCAAAGATTGATTCGAATTAGAAATCTCTGGATTTAGATGCAAATTTGCTAAACAATTCCACTGGAAAACCTGAAAGCCTAGGAAATTCGGTGATCTTTCCCAAAGAGAAGAGTCATTTTTTAGTGACACTCTCTTTTCACCCTTTTTTTTGAACAATGGTCGGCTATTTTCCCTGTTAGGCAATTCTAAAAAAAGAGGAAAGGGTGAACTGAATCTCTTTTTTTTGGGAAAAGAAAAGAAAAGAAAAGGAGATGTACCCTGACAGATTCCGCACCCGTTTCTATGCCATTTGTGGCTCTTTTCTTTCTTTTAAATGTGCGATTTCTGTTAGATCAAAATGAAATTGAAAAGATTCGACATGGTTTTGTGTGCTAAATGCAAATTTTGGCAAATGCGATCAGTTAAATGCAGACTTTCACTAGTCAACTGATCAGAGATTACTACAAAATTTGTGAATCTTTGTGTACTTTGTACTCTAAATAGACCTCTTCTGGTGTACTCAGTTAAAAGAAGCGTACACCAGAAGAGGCCTTTGCTGAGTACACCAGAAGAGGCCTTTAATTGAGTACACCAGAAGAGACCTTTAGCTGAGTACACCAGAAGAGGTCTATTTTGAGTACAAAGTACACAAAGATCCACAAATTTTGCCTTCTTTCGAAGTACTTTGTGCTCTGTAAAAATGAAAGCTTTCTGGCATACGATAGCAATAAGTTGTGAGCTGGAACGTGTGCGTTTGCATGAGCACAGAGTTAGCGGTACTCCAAAAGAATGTGTTTAGCTTAATAAGAGAATAATCAACATGAATTTCGCGAAAAATTTTGTAGCAAAAATTGAATTGTCGAAAATACCGTAATAGTACCCCAGCCCCATAATAACGGTGCGGAGTGTTGCGTAGTCTAGCTTTGAACGAGGTTTTTCTCGACACTGGTTTATGCTACAATGTTCGCTTAGGTATCAAAAAATAGCCCTGAATTTCAGCTATTTTTTGAAAGTACGGGCGCTTTTAAATGAAATACTAAAAAAAGTTTTGCGACTACGCGACTGTACGAGGGGGGTAGTGGGGTACTATTACAGTATTTACGGTAAGTATGTAAAAAGAATAGAAAGATACTGAGTTGAAACAATGAAAAGAATGGCGTGAAGCTTTTCGTTTCAGCATTTAGTACAATGAATTGAATTGAAATCCAGTTTCGTGAAACTAATGGAAAATGGCAAAAAAAAGGAAAAAGAGATTGAATCCATTAGAGATTTTGGCTGATCTTTTATGCTTGTTTCTTTGGATAAAAAGAGCTTTATGCTTGTGAATCAGATGATGATGGAGTTGATTTGAGAGATGAGATCATCGACTAAAAGGATACGTGCTGATGACGAAGAGTTTTTCACAGGAAAAGCCGCTGTACTCAGCAAGTGAACAGAGCAAAAACCATGCTAAAACTGGCGATTGTTTAGAGTCTTTGAAAGAAATGGTAAATAATTAAAACAACAAATTGATGAACAAAGTAATCAACAAAGTAATCAACAACAAAATGCCGGCTTGATCTAAGAGGAAAACGGTAAAGAAAAAGTCTATAAGATCACCCAGTTTAACGAAAGAGACACTGTTTAATGGAGAATGGGATAAATGAACTGAATCTAAAGAGAAGATGAAACTGATCATTATGTTAATGAATAGTTGTTAGACACGATTCCAATACTAACTAGGGAAAGGCACGAACTCAAGGTGAGCATTGACACCTATTGCTCTGAACTGAACACTCTGAACAACTAGTGCATTAGACTTTGAGGCTTTGAGGAATCCGCTAGGCTCTAGGCTCTCACCTAGGCTTTGAGGAATCCAAATCTGAAATCAAAATCTGTCTTTCCAGGCGTGTAAACTTCAATGGAAAATTTGGTGTTAAAACGGATGCTTTAAAACGCTCCTTCCTAACGGAGAGAAGGTACATTGGTGGGCTAGTGGAAGCCTAGAAGGCATATCCCATTAGACTTCCACTCTCAGGGTAGTGGTTCGGTCCCTGATGTAGCTTTTTGTTTTTCCATTTCTTTTTTTATTCATTCATAATCCAATTAGCTGCAAAATGCTAGAAGAAAAACAAAAAGGTTGCATCAGGAACCGATCCATGATTCTATGCGCGGAAGCCTAATGGGTTATCCACTAAGCCACCAATGGATCTTTCTACGCTAGCAAAGCTTTTAAAGGCTTTTAAAGCATTGGTTTTGACGTTAAATCTTGATTTTATGCCTTTCCAGTGATTTTATGCCTTTCCAGACAGTGAATAGCTACGTATTCAAGTGAAGACATTAAGGGCTATCTTTGATATATTAAACATAAAAATATCTCCAAATGGAGCTGAGAACGAAGCGTCCAAAGTTGGTCAAGGGGGGGGGGGCGTTTATTAGAGGAAATACGGTAGTAAAGCAAGCAAGAGTAGCAAGAGTCAAATGCTTATGAATACAAAAGTAAATTTAAAATGATGTCGAAAGTTGAAAAATAACGATGATAGATACTGTAGAATGACGTATGAAGGGATATAAGAAAAATATAAGGGTTGGATATAAGAAATTCGCTGGTTTCGAATCGGAAATGCCTCAAAAAGGGAGATTTTGTCGAAGAAAGGGAGGACGTGCCGTTCTTTCACGAGAAAAAGAAAACCCAAATCGAGTATGATCAAAGAAAAAATGAATATAGATACGACAAGTTCGCTGTGTCGATTTCTTGTTGCTCTCTTTCTCTGTGCTTTTTTCCATTGACTCAAACTGTCATGATCGCGTTTGGCAATGTGCTTGCGGGTAAAATGAGCCAGCCTTTTCCAAAGATTCGATCCGATTCACTTGATTTTGAAAGTGAAATGAAGAGCATTGGATCTCACTTTCGCAAATCTCGTCACTTCTTTCTTTTCTTTCTTTCTTTCTTTCTTTCTTTTCTCATTAGCACACTCGTTTTTTTCCCTTTGATTTCACGCCTTTCAATGCCATTTTTTTTTATCGCAGAGATCTCACTTTTGATGGATCAACACATGATTTTTGTACATGACAAGAAAACTAGAATCTTTTTTGGGGATTTCCTTTTGAGAATTTGCTGACTGGCTTAGATTCGTTTCGACTTACAGAGAAAGAAAAAGTAAATAAACTTTGTAAAACGATTTGAATCTGCATTATCTGCAAGATAATGCAGATTCAAATCGTTTTACAATTTGATCAGAAATCCCAATCTGCATTATCTTGCAGATAATGCAGATTGGGATTTCTGATCAAATTCCTGTTGGGATTTCTGATCAAATTCCATTTTCTTTTAATAAACAAAAATCAATTTTTTAAAATCTTATCAATCATCTCTTCAAAAGCCTTTAAAAGCCTCAATATTGGACGAATAGTTTAAGAGATTAATTGGATTAAGATTAAGTTACCAGAGTTTTTGACTTTAAAGCTTTCAAAAGCTATAGAAGACTGTGATGAACTTGTCCTTATCTCATCGACAAACTCAACATTGAATCCGCTTCGATACGACTTTAAAAGTAGACAGTATTTGATAACGATAGATAGTGCTTTTCAATAATGTTATATGAAATTCAAAAATCATTTTTGCTATTTTCAGAAATTATCTTTTTCCAATTCAAATAACCCCGAAAAAAACTTTTGTTTATTGGTGAAATATTGGGGATTCTCGATTCAGCTTTCTAATGGATCACTTATTTGGTGAAATATTATTCGAAACCCATAATTGTCACGAGAGATTCACAATTTATTTGCCTTATCGCCTTGGCCTTCAAAAGATCGTGCTTTTTCACGAAAAAGATCAGAAGAAAGAAAGAAGAAAGAAGAAAGAAAGAAGAAAGAAGAGGGAAAGAAGAAAGAAGAAAGAAGAAAGAAGCGTTTTTTGATCAGATAAATGAATGGTGAAAGTCATTGAGCGCTGAAGAACCAAGTATCCAAGTTCGAGATTCGATTCTGGGGGAACTTTTTGTGAGTTTTTTCTGAAGACAAAGCTTTTAGTTTAGCTCAAAATCTGATCTAGATAAACGTTTAACTTTTCCAGCTAAACTTTTGACTTTTCCAGCTAAACTTTTGACTTTTACTAACATTTTTCCATGTTTGCTAGCTTCAAAGCATCTTCAAAGCAAAAATCAAACTCTGATTGAATTCTGAGAGCTTCAAAGCATCTCAGAATTCAATCAGAGCTATAAGCTTAGAGTTATAGTTATAAGCTTAGAATAGAGTTGTTTTACTTGTTATTTTTGGTTTTGATTTTAACTTATGGTAGTCTTGATCGAATTTTGGATGATTTGAATGGAGTTAGACTGTTCCTTTTTGGCTTTTCACTTTAGGGAAATCAGGTTTGTTTTAATCGTTTTATACACAATTCCCAGAAAAACTATCAGAGTCCCGAATGTACAGTTTGTACAGTTTGATTCTAAAGAAAGACTACGGCGAATGATTCTTTTTCTTTCATTCATTCCAAATCCAGTTCTTTTGCCAATCGTCACAAGATGTTTCTCTTCATTTTTTCTCGTGAAAAAAAAGAATTTCGATTCAATATAACCCTTTTCTCTTTTCCTCTCATTTAGGGATGACAGCCGAAGAAATTTTGGGACGACAGTGATTGGATTTAGTGGTTAGTTGATTGGTTAGTGAAGCTGAGGAAATGGAAATGATAAACTCAACAATTGTACAGCAAACTTATTCTCTTAGATTTTAGTTTTCAAGTCTAGAATTGCAATCTCTTCACAGGCCTTTAAAAGTCTCAATATTGGACGAATAGTTGAAGAGATTAAGTTGATTAAGATTAAGATTAAGTTAGCAGAGTTTTTGAATTTAAAGTCTCCAAAAGCTATAGAAGACTGTGATGAACTTGTGCTGATCTCATCGACAAACTTAACATTGAATCCACTTCGATACGATTTTAGAAGTAGACAGTATTTGATAAAGAGAGATAGTGCTTTTCAATAGTTTTCAATAAGAATAGTTTAAGAGATTAAGTTGATTAGGGTTAAGTTACCAGAGTTTTTGAATTCAATGTTTTCAAAAGCTATAGAAGGCTGTAATTGCGAACCTGATCTCATCGACAAACTCAACATTGAATCCACTTCGATACGACTTTAGAAGTAGACAGTATTTAGTATCAGAAATTTAAGGATGGCAGTGATTGGATTTAGTGGTTAGTTGATTGGTTAGTGAAGCTGAGGAAATGGAAATGATAAAGTCAACAATTGCACAGCAAACTTATTCTGTTAGAGGGTTCTGTTAGATTTTAAAGTTTTCAAGTCTAGAATTGCAATTATATATTTCGATTCCACTTCCAGGAATTCTACTTGTAGCTAAATTTCGATTGCTTGAGAAAGATTTCAATTGAGAGAAGATTGAGAACAATTCTTCTTGAGGAAAATGGTTCTAGTTCATCTACAAAAGGAGTGAAGTTCAAAAAATATTGCTTTTTTTGTTCTCATTAAGCGTAGAGTCTTTTAAAATGTTGAAATTGGATTTAAGAAAAGACAGGAGTTTGTGATTGGACTAAATTAATTAATAATTATTAATAAATTACTAAATTAGCCGTATTCTGTCGATCGATCGATATTTTACTTGTCAATCGTTCAATCATTAACTGTTTTCCATTCGCAAGCAAATCACTCACTAACCACCTTGTCTATTAAGATTTGTTTAATTGTTTGTTTGTTTGTTTGTTTGTTTGTTTGTTATTTGTTTAGACCGTTAACTAGTTGAACGACAAGTATTTTACGCCCAAAAACGATAACGAACCGGTCTCGATTTCGTTAATGAACTTTACCAATAATCTTTGCGCCCTTCCCTGTCCGGCCATTCAGATTCCTGAAATCATAAACGAATTAACTTTTTCTTGTTTTTCAGAGTTTTCTTTCAGAGTCCCTTATTCATAAAACGTGTAAGTTCCAGAAAAGAACAGAACAGAAAACCACAGCCCCGTCAAAAAAAAAGGAGAGCACAAAGCTAGACGAGACCCAGTGGGAGAACATTTTCGAGGTTCGAGATTCCGTACCCAAAACGACAATGATTTCATGGAATTTTCTATTCGTTTCTCTAGTTTTACTCATTCTTAAAGTTGTGATGCTGTAAACATCATGAGTGGATTCATCTATAGACATGAGTGGATTCATCTATAGACATGAGTGGATACATCTATAGACGTGAGTGGATACATCTATAGACATGAGTGGATACATCTATAGACGTGAGTGGATATATCTATAGACATGAGTGGATTTATCTATAGACATGAGTGGATATATCTATAGACATGAGTGGATATATCTATAGACATGAGTGGATACATCTATAGACATGAGTGGATTCATCTATAGACATGAGTGGATTCATCTATAGACATGAGTGGATACATCTATAGACATGAGTGGATATATCTATAGACATGAGTGGATTCATCTATAGACATGAGTGGATACATCTATAGACATGAGTGGATACATCTATAGACATGAGTGGATATATCTATAGACATGAGTGGATTCATCTATAGACATGAGTGGATACATCTATAGACATGAGTGGATACATCTATAGACATGAGTGGATACATCTATAGACATGAGTGGATACATCTATAGACATGAGTGGATACATCTATAGACATGAGTGGATACATCTATAGACGAATCAGACAGCGATTCTGTAGTCGTAAAAATCATTGTGTAGAGTCAGTGGAAAGCTTGAAAAGTCAGTGAAAAGTTAGAAACAAGAGGATTTCTTTTGTTTTATTTATTTGCTAGTGGTTGTCTGATGCGTTGTTATGGTCGAAATCTCAAAAAAACACGATTCATTTGTTGATTTCAAGTAAATCTCGAAGTAAATTTGCACAGATGTCCGAGAAAAACAAGAAAAAAAAGCTCTAATTTTCTACAAATGATATTTACATAAACTTATGGAAAACAAAAATAAGCATTTGATTGGTATAAATGGATTGAAGAATACAAGAAAAATCAACGAATTCTATCAAATCATGCTTTCTGCAATTGTCCTTGCCACCATTGCAACAGTAAGCGAAAGTTTTTATTCATTTATATTCATTTATATTTATTTATATTCATTTCATTTCATTAAATCATTAAATTAAAGATTTACAAGAGTTTTAAGTGTTTTAAAGTGTTTTAAAGTGTTTTAAAGTGTTTTAAAGTGTTTTAAAGTGTTTTAAAGTGTTTTAAAGTGTTTTAAAGTGTTTTAAAGTGTTTTAAAGTATTTTAAAGTATTTTAAAATCTAGAATACTAAATGAAAACCTCTTTGCAAAAACCATTTCAGCATGCTTTGGCTCAATCTTCATCAATAAATCCGATCACGACTCAAGGATTGAGTCTAACAAGTGCACAACAACTTGGTGCGAATCAAGTAAGTGATTTGAGGCAAATAAAATCATTTAAAATATAAATTTGATTTCGTAATTTACCGCCAAAGGTTTCCCTTAAGATTGTTGTAAAAAAAAAATTAAGCTAAATGCCAAAGAAATAATTTAAAAGTGTTAGACTACAATTGTTTTTATAACCAAAATTCGAAGGTAGCGGTAGTTTTGGTTTGGTTATAAAAACCCAAAATTCGAAGGTTTTTATAACCAAACCAAAACAACCGCTACGAGCGCTTTTTCCCCCTCCAACCCATTTGTTGTTCATTTTATTGTTCTCAGAGAAAACGTCATTGCCGCTCTTTACTCAAGTTTAATTGTTTGATTTTTATCAACTGCTGTGATAGATCAGAGTCAAGTTTTCGTCATTACGACAAGTTGGATAAACAATTTTATTATTTACAATGATAACAATATTGTAGCTCAAGCTCAGGCTCAGGCTAGCAATATTGTAGCTCAAGCTCAGACTCAAGCTAACAATATTGTAGCTCAGACTCAGGCTCAGGCTAGCAATATTGTAGCTCAAGCTCAGGCTCAGGCTAGCAATATTGTAGCTCAAGCTCAGGCTTAGGCTAGCAGTATTGTAGCTCAAGCTCAGATTCAAGCTAACAATATTGTAGCTCAGACTCAGGCTCAGGCTAGCAATATTGTAGCTCAAGCTCAGGCTCAGGCTAGCAATATTGTAGCTCAAGCTCAGATTCAAGCTAACAATATTGTAGCTCAGACTCAGGCTCAAGCTGGCAATATTGTAGCAATTGTAGCAATATTGTTAGCCTGTTAGACAGTTGAATCAACAATATTGTTTATTCAATTTGTCTTGTTTGAAAAAGAGAGAAGAGATCTCAACTAAAGGACTAGATTTTAAAGTAAAGTCCTCACAAAATCGAAATATTTCTTAACAGTTCGCCTATCCAAACTACAACGGACAATTGGGGCTGAATGGACAGCTTTCTGGAAATCAGGTAGAGTTAGAGATTTGGCAAATGACAATTCCTGAGCTGCTGACGTAGATCTATTTGTTCTTAACTTTTAGAATTACCCATTTAACATCTTAAACGGTCAACAGCAACCAGGATCATCAATCTACGGAAATCAGGTAACAATTTGAGACAACTATCATTCAAATCTCTTTTAGCTCGGTTACCCAAACACTCAAAATCAATGGCCATTTGGAAGCCAAGTAAGCTCAGCGATGGTTACTGTTTTTAGAATTTATTTAGCTTGGCAACCCATTAAACCAACAAGGACAATATCCAACTCAACAGCAACAATATCCATTCGGCAACCAAAATCTCCCTTTCCGAAGCCAGGTGAGTCAAAATTCATCAAATTTTCACTTAGAAGAACAGCTCAACTGACTGAAAAGATTTACCATTTCAGAACCAATCCCCATTCGGCACTCAACAACAATATCCGTTCGGCGCTCAACAACAGTACCCAGGTGGCCAGAACCAATCCCCATTCGGCACCCAACAACAATATCCCTTCGGCGCTCAACAACAATATCCGTTCGGCACTCAACAACAGTACCCAGGTGGCCAGAATCAATTCCCATTCACCGGAAATCAGAACCAATATCCTCAGGTAGACAATGATAATCAAGAATCAAGATCAAAATCAAGATCTATTGAAAAGATTGATTTCTAGCTTGGCTTTGGAATGAACGGATGGCAAGGACAGCAACAACAAGGGACGATTGGAAGTGGATTGAATGGTTTCCCAAGCTCGCAAAACTTTGAGTGCCTTTTACCGGTATGTAAAAACTGTTTCATGTTAGGAATCTAGTAAAATATAGCCATTAATCTGTTTCAGAATAGTGCCTTCAACCCTAACTGTCAAAATGGAAACGGAATGATTGGAGTGAGTTGAAATTGATGGGTTTTTATTCTTTCTTAAGAGCTTGGCTCTTTGCCGTCATGGCCAACTAGTTAAGAGCCTTGTATCTTAGTCAAACTGGCCAACTGGTTAAGACATGGCCAACTGGTTAAGAGCCTTGTATCTTAGTCAAACTGGTCAACTGGTTAAGACATGGCCAACTGGTTAAGACATGGCCAACTGGTTAAGAGCCTTGTATCTTAGTCAAACTGGTCAACTGGTTAAGACATGTCCAACTGGTTAAGAGCCTTGTTATCTTAGTCAAAAGCTTAAGAGTTCAATCCTCTAGCTTATTGATTCTTTTTTCTGATATCTATGAGTTTTCCTAGATTTAAGGCTTAGGGTTTAGGGTTTCCCTAGATTTATGGCTTATGTTATTGTTTATACTACATTATTCATCTCAATAAATTTATCTAACTATTTCCACAGTTTAAAGTAGTACAAGAGATCAAGAGATTTGAATAATAGCTAAATTTTAAGGCAATTTCCTTTTCACTGAAATGATTGATCACTTCTTTAGGCTCAAAGTGGCATCTGCACTCGTCAAGCACAGTGCTCTGGTGGACAGGTTTGTCATTGGTAAATGCTTATGATGACAGGTTTGTCATTGGTAAATGCTTATGATGACAGGTTTGTCATTGGTAAATGCTTATGATGACAGGTTTGTCATTGGTAAATGCTTATCAAATCAATAGGTTTGTTGTGGGCAATCGCAAAACACGCAATCACCACTCTCGTCAGCGATTTTCCCTCAAGTTTGTATTATATTGTTAAGCAAAAAAGAAAAATAGGGGAAATTTCAGGTGATCGGTCGCTGCCAAATCACCTGTCCCATTGGGCAAACACCGTTGATGTAAATATCGAAAGGAAATATTTAAAAAAGAAAACACTGAATAAAAACTACTTTTGCAGAGAGATTTATCAAATTATTTATCAAATTTAACAAAATACCATTCTCGAAGAGTTAAATGTGCAAAAAGCCTTTTTCGTTTAGTGTAGACACATTTTCGGTTCGTTTTTTCGATAGGTGTACAACGTTTTAAGCTCTTTAAAATCGAACTTTTTACGGTAGAATTTTAGCATTTTAGGTAGCAAGCTCTAGCTCTAGCTAATGGCAAAAAAAAACATTTTAAAAAAGTCGATTTTAAAGGCTTTAAGACGTGAATTTTCGCTGTACACTTATCAACGAAATCGACCGAAAATACAAATTTCTAATTTAGCGCAATCAAATAGAGTTTTTTGAATTAGAAAAACATGAATAAACTGGGCAAAGCCAAGATTTTGCTTTCGAGTATTGTGGTGATTAGATGATGAAAAGATTCTAGATATTCTAGATATTAGAAATGCATAAGAAATGCGGACAAACTTTGATAGCTCGGATCTCATCTTGTCTTCAACATTTTTTGCTAATTCTTTTTCCATTTTTTAGCCACATTTAACTAGTTTCTATTGCTTTTCAATTGATATTTTTTTTTTTGCTTTAATACTTTTTGGATTAGAGCCAAAGCTGGGCTACGTTTGTAGGGGTTGGTGGGCTAATGGTGCTCCATCTCCATTAGAGATTGAGGATCTCAAGTATCGCGTTTGTGTATGCTCTACGATTTCAAGTTGAGAAAGAACGCTGTTGAATGTCATAAAACCCTTGCTTTTTTCTTTGAATCAGACATTATATCTGAAAATGAATGCGGCTGATGGTTTAAAAAGTTTCGCAATGGTAACGAGAATCTAAATATCGAAGAATATGGTTGACTCCATTGATGACGACGATTTACGTTAAAAAAATTGGAGAAGATCTATGTTTTATTGGTGAAGAGCTTGCGAAATTATACAATTAAATTTAGAAATAATAAGTGGATTGAAGTTTTTATAAATTTTGAAAGATTTTAGAACTTTTTTTGATTAAAATCCGCATTTCTTATGAATGGACCTAATAAAAACTGTTTAAAAAGAAGAATTTCATTTAAATTAACTCTTTGATACTTTTAAGTTAAAAACGAAGTGTTTAACTTTATAATAAATCAATTTTATAATTTTTTTAATCTCTCTACGCGCTTAGGTGTTCCTATTTGCGCAGATTACAACCTGCTTCCACATTTCTCTATCTCTTGCTATTGTCATCCAGTGTTTCCTATCTTGGTTGTTCCTGGTTCTAAGTCTTCAACTTGCTTGTGCTGGTGGTGGTTGCACTCTAGCCATCCTTTCTCTGACCGTCTCTGCCACTCTTGTACTCCACCTCGTTGCTGGTCTTCCGATGGGCATCTTCTGGTCTGGTGGTAGCCACTCTGTGAGCCGTGTCGTCCATCTGTCGTCTGTTCTTCTGGCTACGTGACCGGCCCATCTGAGTCTTTTTCTCTCGATCACTTCCCCTGGATCTCTGAGTCCCGAGAGCTGGCGCATATCCGTACGTTAGATATTCACTCACCGCCCTTCTTGAATCGATCAAGTGAAAGAGAAACTTTAAAGTACCAACCTTTGTCTTTTCACGTCAGGATACGCGCAAATGAGCATTTGCTTTGAATTAGTTCCTACAGCGAACACTCGACCTGATGGATGAAAAGATGACGCACGAATTGCTTGAGCATCTTCATATCTAAAAAAACGTGCTTTGATAGGAAGCCTATCGAATAAAATCTTAGGTCTTGGTCGAGCTGCGTCTAAATTCTTAGGTCTTGGTCGAGCTGCGTCTTCCTATTGTGCCCGAGGAGGTTTCTTTCAAGGGCTCGATTTGTCGTTCTCAATGCTTGCTTTTATCTTGCATGAGTTGAAAAAAATTTACCATAGCGCAGCTAAATAGCCATTTTCAACCGCCTTTTGACATAATTTCTTTGTTTATGCCTGTGACCAATAAGTTTGCTGTGTTTAAAACAAGTATAGTTTCCTTGAAAGCTTTTCCAATCACACTGTTAGTCAAGAGAATCAAGACTAAAAGACAACAGGAAAGTGGATGAATGGTGTTTGTGGACAAGAAAGTTCCTTCTCACCTTTTTCCTCTTTATCTCCCCTTTCCCAGTTTACTCTTTTAACTGATTCATTCCTCAATACACACATTTCCCCCCTTCTCAATCATATGGTCAATAAAGGTGATCGGATCGGGTGAAAAGAAAGGCACAGCCTGAACACAACACATAAAGCTTTCTTCTGCTATAGTGCTTTTCAACTGACTGAATTCACTGAATATTCTGAATTATTTATCGAATTTGAATAGAAGCAATCATTTGAAAGATCTTGATCTCAAAGATCTTTATCATATTATTCAAATAGATTCGTCAAGGTCATGAAACTCGTTAGAGTCATGAATCCTTTATGCTTATTACTATTATTGCTTCTATTTATTAGGTTAAACTCAGCAGGTATTTTAAAGTTCGATTAATCAAACTTATTTATTCAATTAGACGAATGTTTCTCTTGTGTCAGTGCCAATGACTGGACGTATTTCGCTAACAGAATTAATGGACTCAAGTATTTAGCGCTGAATGAACGGGTTTGTTTGAGAGGGATTTGCATTTAATTGTAAGCAAGGAATAGAATAAAAAAATAGAAGTTTTATATTGTGCTCAAAAAGTTTTGCAAATAAACAACATCTGGTGCATTTATTTCATTCATTTTATCGAATTGTTTCTTTACGAAAAGAAGGATTTTAGTGGAAAGGGAGTGCTTTCAAAAAAATCGATCACAAATCGACAAGTTTATGTTTGATTTATATCAAATAAATGAAGTTTTATATATTAGATACATGCATAAGAAATGCGAATTTCAAGATTTTCATAAATTTCCAACGATAGAAACGATAGAAAACTGATATCGACGAATGTTGTAAACTATTTGTTGTAAACTACCGTAATAATTCTAATAGAAGACCATGGTCTTCTAATTTTCAACCCCCCAAAATTGATCGGTCAAAAAAAGTAGGTAAGGGTCCCCCACATAAATCAAAAAATTAAAAATTGCTAAAAACTATTTCAAACGATAGCCCTTGGCCCAAAACATGCCAAAAACATGCTAAAAGTGAAATTATTTTCTTGCCCGGACTCCATAGAAAATCTTTCAAAAAAAATCCATGTGGGGGACCACATAAAATTTTTTCCAAAAAGTTATTTTTTAATTTTTTCAAAAACTACGTCTCCAATTTAACTGCCGGGGCTAAAATATTACTATCTGGACCGAAATCTATCATTCTACTTAAAAAGAAGTTTTAAAAAGTCCCGATTTCAAGGGGTCAGGGGGGTGGTCTTCTATTAGAGACTGGTCTTCTATTAGAGACTGGTCTTCTATTAGAGACTGGTCTTCTATTAGAGACTGGTCTTCTATTAGAGACTGGTCTTCTATTAGAGACTGGTCTTCTATTAGAGACTGGTCTTCTATTAGAGACTGGTCTTCTATTAGAGACTGGTCTTCTATTAGAGACTGGTCTTCTATTAGAGACTGGTCTTCTATTACAGACTGGTCTTCTATTACAGACTGGTCTTCTATTAGAGACTGGTCTTCTATTAGAATTATTACGGTATTTATAAACTATAAAGTTGTAAATCTCCTCTACAAAATAGGCTAAAACGTATTTCAATTGATCGAACGATTGAAGAAATTTCGAGGGCAAAATGCGAGTGACCAAAACAAGGAATCGAGTCACTTTAGGGACAAGTTTAGTGTGGTCAAAATCGAGTTAGCTTCCCAAAATTGAAGATTTAAAAAAAAAGGATAACTACCGTAATAATTCCAAGAAGACCGGCCCACCCCCAAAATTGGTGAGCAAAAAAAAGAAGGGTCCCCCCGGATCCAAAAATTAAAAATATAAAAACATTCAACGATAGCCCTTGCCCCAAACAAAACTAAAAGTGAATTATTTTCTTGCCTCCATAGAAAATTTCAAAACTTAGGGGCCCCATGAAATTTTTCAAAGTTTTTTTTTTTTTCAAAACGTCTCCAATTTTCTGCCGGGGCTATTTTATCTGGACCCAAATCTTTTTTTCTCTTGAACAGAAGTTTTAAAGCCCCTTTCAGGGGCAGGGGGTGGTCTTCTTTGGAGACTGGTCTTTTTTGAGACTGGTCTTCTATTAGAATTATTACGGTATATATCAATTGATTAAAAAAGTCTAACGGAAATGCGAAATGCTAGTGACCAAAAAAGGGCACTTTTTGAAAACCCCACTTTCACAGAGAGCTCCGTTTTGACTATCTAGTGGAAAATGAGCGCCCTAAATTCATTCAAATATCATTCAAAATAATTAAGAGTTGGGATCATTTCATGGGAAAACTTTGTTTTTACAATAATTTTTCTTTTTTGTGTAAAAGCCGGTTTTTTTTTTTGACAATTTTGAGGGTTTTGAACTTACGCTCTATCTAAATTTCTGTAAATGCATTTCCATTAGACCTTTTCTAATCAATTGATATATAGTTATCCTTTTTTTAAAATCTTCAATTTTGGAAAGCTAACTCGATTTTGACCACACTAAACTTGTCCCTAAAGTGACTCGATTCCTTGTTTTGGTCACTCGCATTTTGCCCTCGAAATTTCTTCAATGCTTCGATCAATTGAAACACATTTTAGCCTATTTTATAGAGGAGATTTACAACTTTCAAATAGTTTATAACATTCATCGATATCAGGGTTTCTATCGTTTCTATCGTTGGAAATTTATGAAAATGTTGAAATCCGCATTTCTTATGCATGGACCTAATAGATTTATATATTTATATATAAAATATTATATATTTTCAGCCTCCACTCGCTCCGATGAGTTGTGTGCTTGATCCAATGAAATCCTATGCAGATCGAGCTGCAGTCGCGTGCCCTGGGAAATGCTTTAAATTCACAAGTGCCACAATAAAAAGTGATGGTAAATACTTGAAATTTAAGCAAAAGATGATAAAGATCGAAGGTTTTAACTCGAAAATTGATCGCCCAAGATTTCATATCAAATTTCCCAGGTGGTATCGAGCTTTTCTTGCTTCGTGGATGCTATGAAAGACTCGTCAACTCATCCAATCATCCACCGCCAAACGATGATCGGTTAGTGTTCTTAAATCTCTAATCAGTGCACTAGAAAGGATGTGTTTACAAAGAGCTAAAATCTAAAACGTGTTTCTTTAGCTGCTACCAATCTCCGGATCATTACACTCACGAGATCGGCACAGAGTATCATTCACAGTGTTTTTGCAAGGGTTTCATGTGTAATTCATCAAAAAACATCGATTTTTTCAAATTTACAACGATTCTATTGTTCTTTATTTATATTTTGTAAAATTTTTTGAAAATACAGTCAGTTCTTTATCTTATTTTCCACGAAAAGCTTCGAAATGTCTTTTTTTTTTCTATTTTGACCAAGAATTTCTCAGTTGTCGAAAGTAAATCTCTGTTTCTTCAGGTTTCCGAAAATGTTTTACAATTTCCTAAAATTTGATTTAAAAAGATGAAAACGTGAAAAACGAGAAAACCTCTTGCTCAACAACACTTCGCCTGATGAATGAGAGCTTTTGGACGAATTTCCGACGCCAAATCGGTTGTCGATGAATCATGCCAAGTAAAAGACCAATCACATAGCTGAAAAAGAAGGAAAATATTGGGTTGGTGAATTGAAAACTGCAATTTTCTTATTTTAACTGTACTGTACAGCTTTTTAGAATCATAATCTTACTTTATGAGCTTGTAAGTGCAAACTATGAGAACTAAATATTGGGTCGGTGAATTGAAAACTGCCGGCTATTGTCATATGGGACAGTTTGAGCACTTTCTTCAAAAGAAACCCATTTTGGTGTCAATGGAAAACTTGTAGAGAATCAAAAATCAAGTTTATATCCAAATTTTCAGAACGATTCAAAAACTGTTTTTCAAGAAATGGGAAATTTACGGATGTTTCACAAAACTTGCATTTTAAGCGAAACTACTAAGTGTATCTTTTTGGAAATTTCGCTATAAGTCTAATTTTTAATTCTCTACAACTTTTCCATTCACACCAAAATGGGTTTCTTTTGAAGAAAGTGCTCAAACGTTCTCCAGGGACATCTCCAGTCCTCCATTTTTGAGTCTCACACTTGTCTCACACACAAACCAAACTCCTACTACGATTCCTCATCCGCAAATTGCCTGTAAAATGGGCAGAAGTCGTCAATAATAATGGAAATTATTTGGAATGAATTGATGGTTTTATGTTGAATAAATTTTAGTTCAAAGTCCGGCAGTTTTCAATTCACCAACCCAATAGTTCTTCTGATCTTTTGAGATGATAGTTTAATGATTTTTCTTTTTCTAATTCTACTGTTCTTTATTTCTTAAAGCTTTTTTTTTAATAAACAAACATATTTGCGATCCCTTCGAAGATACAAATTGATAATTCGATCTCTGGAGCGCCCATTGGATAGAAAAGGATCGGCAACGAGTAAGCAGTCATCGCGAAAATACAGAAAACCCCGTGAATGACAATTGCCGGTTTTAATAGCTGCAAAATCTTTCTTAAAACTTCAATACTTTGATTAGAAAGTTCAACGTCAATTTTATTTTCTTCTCACCTCAAACGCTCGAATGTTTTCCTCGTATTGAAAACGGACACTCAACGAATATTTCCTTTGCTCAAATGTTTGCAAAAGTGATTTCAGCTTGCGACGATTATAGTAAAACAACACAAAAAATGTCTAAATTTGATTTGTCTATTTCTCTTTTCTTTTCTTCTTGTTTTTCTCTACCATCGATTGCCACAAAATTCCGCAAATCACTGCTGCAATTGCGCATGCGAAAACATAGAACTTGTAGTGTATGCTGACTAAAAACATATGCAAACATATAGAATACTAAAAACATTTAGAATACTAGAATAGGCCTCTGTTTCTAGAGTTTAAACAAAGTTTAAGCAAACTTAGAAAGCATTTTTAACCCACACGACGTGAACAGCCAAGCCGTAGCCGCTGAGGGAATGATCGAGAAAGCGAGATGAGCTATTTCCAACCAAATGCGCCTTTTTTTCTCATAGTCGACGATGAAATAGGTGGCATAAATACGCTAAATGTTTGCACGATGAGAAGTGTCATTGTTAAATGTTGGGTGAAAGTAGAAACGAGTATAGAGTGCTCAAAACAGGTCCAAGTCGTAACTGTCGTCCAGGCCAGGCCAGAGCTCTCGGCCAAAAAGTTAGGTCCAGGTTCTGGCCTGATTTCCGGCCTGACCTCGACCTTATTGCCAACCCTGAAGCTATGATATCTTAGCAGTTGATATCATATCTAACAGCAGAAAACGCTAACTAAAGTTCGCGTTTTCCACTGGGGAGGTTCACGTTTTCCACGCAATCGAAGCCCCGCCCCTTTTTGCCAATGACTGTGTACAGACGAACAGACTGACGGATGGACAGACGAACAGATGGACAGACGAACAGATAGACAGACAGACAGACGAACAGACGGACGGATGGACAGACGGACGGATGGACAGGCGGACAAACGGACAGGCGAACAGACGAACAGACTGACGGATGGACAGACGAACAGATGGACAGACGAACAGATAGACAGACAGACAGACGAACAGACGGACGGATGGACAGACGGACGGATGGACAGGCGGACAAACGGACAGGCGAACAGACGGACAGATGGACAGACGAACAGACGGACAGATGGACAGACGAACAGACGTCGCTTCTGCTTTGTATATAGTAGATATCATTAGTAGGTAGCACCTCAGAGACGACAGACGCCAGAAGACAAACGGCACAGCAATACACGAATAGACGCCAAGTGGAAGCGATGATCAACGGGAGATCCGACCAAATGATGCCTGAAAGAAGAATTTGAATCTAAAAACCTTGAAAATTCTACCTGTCACATTGAGAATTCGATATTGATAGAGAACGAGAACGATCCGGCCAATTTGCGAGATCGAAAAAGTGGTGGCCATGAAAGAAATGAGATGTCGCAGGTTTTTGTGAAAATTCGCTGTGATCAGCACAACGTCAACAACGAGCTGAATAAAGGAAAGTGAGGCAGTTAAGACTTTAAACAAATTTACAATTTACAAAAAGTGTTTGGCTTTGTTCTTTGGGTTGAAAGCACTTTTTCTGCTACTTTTGCCAGATTTTTTTCCTTTTTTGAAACGTCTAACATTTCTTAGGGAAGAACACAACCGTAAACCATCATTTTAATGAATCACAAAGGATATTTTTTCATTTTTGAGCTCCAAAATGGACAGACGAACAGACGAACAGACGAAAAATTCAAAATTCAAACTTTCAAGAACATTTTCTTAACAAAAAACTCTTTCAAACAAACCCATTGTAATGTAAAAGAGAAAAGAATTCCAATAGCTTCACAAAATTGTGCGACAACCATCAACGAGAAGTAAAAACTATTGTCGAAAAGTGGACGATCATCATAAATACCGAATAGCAATAAAGTCCAAGTGTGATTGTAGATCATTGAGTCGTAAATTGTAAATAGATTGTACAATTACAATTATAAATCGATTGTACAGTTGTAAATCGATTGTACAGTTGTAAATCGATTGTACAATTGTAAATGGATTGTACAATTGTAAATGGATTGTACAATTGTAAATGGATTATACAATTGTAAATAGATTGTACAATTGTAATTAGATTGTACAATTGTAAATGGATTGTACAATTGTAAATGGATTGTACAATTGTAAATCGATTGTACAAGTGTAATTAGATTGTACAATTGTAATTAGATTGTACAATTGTAAATAGATTGTACAATTGTAAATGGATTGTACAATTGTAAATGGATTGTACAATTGTAATTAGATTGTACAATTGTAAATCGATTATACAATTGTAAATAGATTATACAATTGTAAATGGATTGTACAATTGTAAATGGATTGTACAATTGTAATTAGATTGTACAATTGTAAATCGATTATACAATTGTAAATAGATTATACAATTGTAAATCGATTGTACAATTGTAAATGGATTATACAATTGTAAATAGATTATACAATTGTAAATAGATTATACAATTGTAAATGGATTGTACAATTGTAAATGGATTGTACAATTGTAATTAGATTGTACAATTGTAAATCGATTGTACAATTGTAAATGGATTGTACAATTGTAATTAGATTGTACAATTATAAATCGATTGTACAGTTGTAAATCGATTGTACAGTTGTAAATAGATTGTACAATTGTAAATAACAAATTGTAAATTGTAATGAATCTTTTGCGTAAATCGATACAATGTTGACATTTTCACTTTGAATTTTGCCTAAAAGTCAGCAGGTGAAACTCTTGTTTTCTTGAATAACAAACTCATGCAATAGGCAATCAAAAATCGAAAGTTTATCGGTGGATAAGGACAATTGTAGCAAAGTCTTGGTAGACTTATCTTCAAATCCAAATTCATCTAAAAAATAGCCTGTTTCTGCTCAAAAATAACAAATTTTCAATTGAACAAAATGGCTGAAAATAGCAAATTTCCGCTAGAGCAAGAGATTGAGAGCTTTGAACAAAATATTGTTCAAAGATTAATCTTATATCTTTTCAAAGTCTTCCTTGTCATGTTTGGATATTCAAAAATGTGAAAGAAATGGCTCTAGGTGTTACAGTCTGTTAGAATGTTAGAATGTTAGAATGTTAGAATCGGTTTCACTGTTTACTCTCATTTCTTACCAAAAAATTTAAAGGCTTTATATTTTCGTCGCCTGTGGTTGATAGCAGCTAGATTTTGCAGATTTTGCAGCTAGTTTTCACCTGTTTGACCACCCCACAAAGTTTGGAGGCGATCCAAGGTGGTAAGCATGTGGTTCCCACGTAAGCGCTCCCCTTGCCAGAGGCATTTTGCGTTTTTCTCGAAGCACAATTTATCAATTGAGCTGTTTTTGGTTTCATTCGACGCGTCTAACTCACCTCTATCCAATGAAATCAAAAATAGCCCAATTGGTAAATTGTGTGTCGCAAAATGCGGAGGGCAGAGTGGGGACATTACAGGATGCCCAATAATTACGGCAACACGTACCAACTGTTTTAATCAGCTATTTAGTCTAGTTTTTACGTTAATTATGTGTTTTTTTTTTGTTTTCTATTAGTTATAATGTTTTCCAATATAATTTTATAATATTTTTGGAATATTTTGAGAATGGCGAAAAAGTCACCACATCGAAAAAGTTCTAGAAAATTTTTAAAACTAAAAAAAGAAGTTTGCTAACGTGTAGATAGAATTTGTTTCATTCCAGTGGACCCATTCCACTGAAAGACAATGAGAAGCAACTGGAAAGTGAGTAAATGAACCGAAAATGAAGAAGTTACTGAGGTCAGCTACTAGGGATCGATTGAGCTTGAGTGTTCATTGTCATGTATTTAGATTCGTAATGTCGTATTACTTTTAATCTCTAAGTGTTTATATTGCGTTGACCGATAAGTAATGAGTCAATTTCAAGCAGAAACATTTATTCAATAAAGCCATCTAAATCAATCAAAATACAGGCTGCCCAATAATTACGGCAACACGTACCAACTGTATTAATCAGCTATTTAGTCTAGTTTTTACGTTAATTATGTGTTTTTTTTAAAATATTTTCTATTAGTTATAATGTTTTCCAATCTAATTTTATAGTATTTTTGGAATATTTTGGGAATGGCGAAAAAGTCACCACATCGAAAAAGTCACTTTATCAATCAGCTATTATGTGTCTAGTTTTTTTTTTCGTTTTTTATGTGTTTTTTTATGTTTTCTATTAGTTATGATGTTTTCGAATCTAATTTTATAATATTTTTGGCATATTTTAGGAATGGACGGCTTTTCGTAGCAGTGTTGGACACACATCATGTAGAAAAAGTCACCACATCGAGTTTCGATCATCCATCTTCATCGCAAAGGGAATTGATGCCGAATACTTGTCCAAGCTGCCTACAAAAATCATCGTCAGTTTCAAGACGTATTTTGTACCTAAAACAGCGATCCGTTTGGCCTGAAGCTATCTCGACGTCTTTGCTTTTCAAAACCTCATCAACTCAATGCCAGACCGCATTTTTCAAGTAATTAATCGTTCTGGTGCGTGTACAGATTATTTGTTTTGATTTTTTTTACCTTTGATTGTTAATTTGTGCCGATAAATAAAAATATTTTCATAGTGCGTTTAAGAATTTGAAACGGTTGATTTAGCAAAAGAGTCCGGCAAATCGATATTGCTCGTCGATTATTGATTGATAGAAGTTTGGTTTCGAAAACGATTGACCGATACAAATCTTTGGGATCAAATTCGGATCGTCTGGCAAAAAAAAGCAACGGTGATTACAAAAGTCAACATCAAGAGGATCCGCGAACGAGTGCGACATTGTGCGACAAGCAGCGACAGTGCGACAGTGCGACAAGCAGCGAAAAGCGACCTCCCAGCGAAAAATGACAAATTCGACGGGGATTTCAAAGGGATCGATGGGCACAATTGTTAAGAAACATCTGAAAATGAAAGCTTATAAGTACTCAAAATGTCAATTTCTTTCCGTTGTGGGAAAAAAGCTCACAAAGCTCAAGTTGTTCAGGATTGGTGTCAGCAAAATTTCCCCGATTTCATCACTTTCAACCAATGGCCTTCATCAAGCCCAGAATTGAATTCTTTGGATTACAGTGTTTGATCTGTTTTGGAATCAAAAGCTTGCAAAAAAGGCTCATTCCACAGTCGATTCTTTGAAGAAATCATTGCAAAAAGCATGGGATGAGCTGGATGTTCCATACCACCATTGATGCCTTCCCAAAGCGCCTTTAGGCCTGTATTGCCGCGAAAGGAGATGTGTTTGAGAAAAAGTAATTTGTTTTGTTAAAAAGTTGTTAAAGAATAAATTGTTATCGTTTTTTTTTTACTTAACTTAACACTATATGTGCTTTAAACCAGCGAATTTCTTTGTTGCCGTAATTATTGGGCACCCTATAGATATCAGATAGATAGAATATAAGTCAGATAGAACAAAGAGTCACATCATTCAGCGCTAAAAGAAAATTCATTCTCTTTTTACCCCTTTCTCTTGTTAAAGTAAGCATTTTCACTTTCTTGACTAATAAATTTCAATTCAAATCTTTTTTCCACTAACTTTCAAACGATAAAACCAAAGTTCAGCCTTTAAATCAACTGTAAGAAATATATGTTTATGCTTTGATCTATATAATTTCTTGTGAGACCGTGTCTCGGTGTGGTTCAATAGTGGTTGTCTTGAAAGCGCACAATTTATCAAACTTTCCCTTATTAGGGCAAACTTCGCTCAAACTGGAGCAACCAGCAACAAGCAAACTGGCACTATCACAATTAATTCAACACTTGCATGTGAAAAAAAGGATGATAAAAAGCAAAAAAGGAGAACAAAACTCACTCAAAAGTAAAGCTTAAATAACGGGTTTTTGAAAGTATACAAACTACAACACGTCGTCTAGTGTATCGTATATCGTCTAGTGACTGATTACGGTCGTTTATCCATCAACTTTGAATTTTAACTTGTGTATTGAATTTTTGACTAACTGCAGAGCAGTGGCAATTCGCCACATCAACCTATCTGTTTTCAAATAAAAACTCAACAAGTAACAACAAATAAACCCTAGAAAGCTGCTCAAGCATCAAAGCATCAGCTCAACAGACTTGTAAGAAGAGATTGATTCTTGAAAAGTTTCCAAGACTTTCAAATCCTAAAAACCCTCGAACAACAGATATATTCATTTTCTCTCACTTGATCCCCTAAAAATCCCATGAGAAACAAATGTTTCTTTTTGTTTCCCCGAAATCTTTTCCCTTTTTGTTTTCAAAGAAATCTCAGTAAGAGAACGAATTTCCACGAATTCCATTCTCTTTTCCCCCTTTGACCTTTTCTTGGACCTTTTCTTGGACCTTTTCTTGGACCTACTGGACAGCTGACTTCTTTTCTTTTCTTAGATAGCTTTTCCTTCTTTTCTTTTCTCAATTTCCCCATCCTCAACTCATTCATCGTTTTCTGTGTCACACATTTGAAATCTTCATGAAACTGAAAAAAGTTTTCCCAATTTTGCTAATCGTTTTGCCAATCGATTATCATTATCGAAGAGATATAGATTTAAAGCTTTTAAAGCATTAAATTTAAGAGCCAATCCTTTCTACCTATCAAAAATTGGCTTAATCCCAAATTTCTGATCTTTCTTGAGCTTAGAGATTTTTCACAATTGTTGATAAACCAATTTTTTTTCTCAAATCTCATCTTCGATCATTGTAGACCTGAAAAAAAGCTTACTAAAACAAATTCTTTTAGACAGGTCTAGGCTATGTTTATTTCTTTTTTTTGTAATAGATTTTAAAGTATTTAAAGATATTTTAAAGTCAGCTTTGACTTTTGAATCTTATCATTGAAATGATTGTTTTATTTTGTGTATTAAGCTTATAGCTATTTTGCTAAAAAGAAACTAACTTGAGTGATTTTTACCCTTTTACAACTTGCAGCGCTTTTGCTGTTCTTTAAAATTGCAACTGGTAAACGAAGACCAAACTCTAAGCATTCTTGGAATTTTCTGAACTCACAATATATCTAAAATAAAGCTTACCAGAAAAAAATCCTTTTAAACAGGTCTTGGCTACACTTATTTCTTTTTTTGTAATAGATTTTAAAGTATTTAAAGACATTTTAAAGTATTTAAAGAGATTTTAAAGTGTTTAAAGATCTTTTTAAAGTATTTAAAGATATTTTAAAGTATTTAAAGACATTTTAAAGTATTTAAGGATATTTTAATGTATTTAAAGATATTTTAAAGTGTTTAAAGATCTTTTTAAAGTATTTAAAGAGATTTTAAAGTCAGCTTTGACTTTTGAATCTTATCATTGAAATGATTGCTTTGTTTTGTGTATTGAGCCTGCAAATATTTTGCTAAAAAGAAACTTCCGTCAGTAACTTGAGTCTTTTTTACCCTTTTTTTACCCTTCCACAGCTTGCAGAACTTTTGTTCTTTCAAATTGCAACTAGCAGATAAACTAAGACTAAACTCTAGGCATTCTTGAAATTTCTGAACTCACAACATATCCAAAAAGTTTTTCAAACTTATTCCGAACCTGTTCGAAATAAGTTTGGCGTGATTTGACTGAATCAAGGCTGAATCAAGGCTGAATCAAGGCTGAATCCAGTTTTGCTCTTGTCATTGCCTTAGTCTGGAACTAGAGCTGGATCTGTCGATTTCGAATTGATTCGAATTTTGATAGAATTCTTCGAATTTTCAATCTCCTTTTTCTTACAAGTGCTGGAAACAAGTTTTTTTACAATACTACTCATCAAATGAATTGACTCTGGCTAGTTGATTAGCTTCATCATTCAACTGTAATGGTCAAGTAAGAGAAATATTTTCTGATAAAAGAATGGACAGTTGTTGGGACGAAAATTTGAAAAGAGAAGCAGAGCAACGACCCCTTTTTCTCACCTAGCCTGGTTTTTCCGAAAAAAAATCGTATCTTTGAGCTTTGAGCCTCAAAGTGACGAGTCTCCACCCACCTTTAGGGTTTAAGTTCAGCCTTCAAAATCCACTTTTTAGGATTTCTTTGAAATTTACTTAGAATTAATCTTTTATTGAGAAATTTTCTTTAGAAACTTGATCATTTCACCAGCACAATGAACCTCAATGGTTAGGATGATGTTCTGGGAATATTCTGGGACTTGGCTTCTTTTAGCCTTGATCTATCTTAGCTTTGCTGAGTCCCTGGGCCAAATCATCTGTCTGTGGAATCCAGATGTGGCTCTGTCTCCATCAGATCTATCTGTGGATCTATCTTCCAGTTTAGCCAGTTTTTACAGTTGTTCATGAGTTTGCTGGTGGATTCTCGGAATCAAATCAGCCTTTCGATCACCACCTATTTCGAGGTGCAAAGAAATTGATTGTTTTATAGTTGAGTCCATAAATTTCAACTCAGACTATATCAGTTTGGCCTCTATCAGTTTGGCCGGAAAGTCTTGTCCACTTTTTTCCACGCAATCTAAGCCCCACCCCTTTTTGTCAATGACTGCGTACAGACGGAGACGGACAGACGGACAGATGGACAGATGGACAGACGGACAGACAGACGGACAGCCAAACAGACAGACAGATGGACAGCCAAACAGACAGACAGACGAACAGACGGCTAGCATTTCTACTCAATTCCTAGCTAGACATCTCTATTTCAAAAACAAATCCCCGTCTATTGTTGAATAACCCTGAAAAATGAGGCAATGAGTGTCAAGTACTAATGCTGAAAAGGAAAAAAGAATCGAAAGAGAAGGCAAAAAGTGTTTATGAGTGGTTTTGGGGCTGTTGTTTGGGAGGGGAATGGACTGGACCATGTGGTTCCGAGGCTCATGAGTGAATGAAAAGAGATGAAGGGTATAGAAGTACAAGGAAACTCACTCCCATATCCCATTTCCATTTCAACAATAATATCCATCAATCCACTTCATCAAATGCTTTGTTACTTGTTATTGCTAAAAGTTTTCCTGGATCTCAAGGAGTCTTGTCAAAAAGCCAAACTTTAACTAATTCTTGCTACTTTTTTCGACTATATTTTACATTAAAAAAGAGAAAAAGTCGATTCTTTTGAAAATTTAAAAAAAAACGTTGTGTAAGTTTCTTTTTCTTGACTCAATTGCCATTTTTGAGATCTCTTCTCTTTTCCTTTTCCTCTCAAATTTGCTCTATTCTTTTTGCAGTGTTCAAAGCTCTAAACTGATGTCATTCTTAAAGTTTTTCAATCTACAAAATTTGTTGATTGATGTTGATCGATGTGGCTGAAAGCTGAAAGCACGTGTGTTAAGCGGAATTGTGTTAAGCTGAATCGATGTGGCTGAAAGCTGTTAGCTGAATTCCACTTTTTTACCACTTTTTTTCAAAGATTTACTTAATTTTCTTGTTTTCTGTCTGTCTTATGTCTTTTTTAGCTATAAAAAGATGTTTTAAATATATTTTTTTAGAAAAAAATGATCTTCTTGAATCAACAACGTGCTGTGGATGAGAACGTGAACTACAAACGGAATTCGTTCACTGGGACTGCAAAGCGGAAGAGTCGTTTGGAGTCAAATGTTCGTTTTTTCGAAAGCCGGGAAGGCCATTCATTTTGAGTCTAAGATTAGTTTAGAAAATTGAGCTGTTGTCAATCGCTTGTAAGCAGACTTTTTGCTCTAGATTCATGACATTCATGAGAGTTTGATACTCAAATTAGTACTCTAATAGTAGTGCACCTGGCCGAGCCGAGTTGATGGCGTTTTGACGGTTTCCAATTTTTCCCAGAAGCTCAACACTCTAATCCCCCACTAGATCTCATCGTCAGCTACATTTTCCGATCCCACATCGATAGGTTCTGATAAGCGATTCTCGAGATTTCGAGCAATTTAGGCAAAGCTTTTTGGTGCACTACTATTAGGGAAAATACGGGAAATGATAGCTAAAAATGGCTTAAAGCGTGATATCATTTCAGAAGAATCTAAGAGAAATTTGAAGCCTTATAGCCATAAAAAATGAGTTCTTCATTGTCGATAACATATCAAAAACAATTCACAAGCCAATTCAAACAGCTTTGAAATTCTTTGAAATTCTTTGAAATCAAAGTTGATTTGCCTCAATCTTTGCCAAGTTATTGATAATTTTTGGTAAAGAAATCTTAAGAAAAATAACGATCTAAACTCTTTAAAATAACAATCTGAACATAAAAAACCGTCGATCATTTGGAGAAATTCGTTTCTTTTTGGTTTTTTTGTCGATTTGTGAGCCTTTTCCCCCTCGATTCCCACCGGAAACACGAAATTATCCCGGTCGATTTCACTTTCTTATATGAATTTCAAAGTTATTCAAAGCTATTTACAGCGATTCAAAGCCATTCAAGGCTAAACTCCTTCTTTTATAAACAATTTCAAATAAACATCTAATAGTTTATAATTTTTTTTTGTTTTCAGAAAATGATAATGATATTGATGCTCTTCTACTTGCTCGCCTCAGCCTTTCCAGGTAAAGCTACCGTATTCTCTCTAATAGTAGTGCACTCTTTAATAGTAGTGCACTCTCTAATAGTATTGCGGTCCAGGAGGGGGTTGAAAAAATAGTAGTGCACCCACGAAAATTTGAATTTCTGGTGCCTTTTCGCAACCTTTTTGACTTTATGTTTATGTGACATTCTAAAGCTATTCAAGCAAGCAAAAGTGAGGTTTTTTTATTCATTTATTAACTATTCTTCACATGAAAAAGTTAGCAAAAAATCTAAAATTGTTGTGCAAAGGGCAAAAACATCTTTTTGTTGTTTGTCAACACACAAATTGTCAACTCGCCGGCCCACAACTGTATGTCAAAAGGAGCCAAAGGAGTACGTGAAAGAGTTGCAAGAATTTTTGGAACAAATCTTATATCTGTCTTACTTTGGTAAATGATAAAACTCTTTATGTAGTGCACTCTCTAATAGTATTGCGGTCCAGGAGGGGTTGAAAAAAATAGTAGTGCGCACTACTAAAATGCGCACTACACTACTACTTTTTCAACCCCCTCCTGGACCGCAATACTATTAGAGAGAATACGGTATCAGAAATTTTCTAGATGCATTCTAGCATATTTCATTTCTCATTTTTCAACAACGAAATCTAGAATTTGTGAAACTCGTAATTAAATTTGAAAACAAAAACACCAATTCAGATCTAATCAAAAACAAACAAAAACAAACAAAAACAAAACAAAAACAAACAAAAACAAAACAAAAACAAACAAAAAAAAAACAAAACAAAACAAACAGAACATAGTGTTAACAAAAATTTCTCATTTTTAATCTCAATTCTCAAGTACAAATTTTAAGCCTTATAGCCATAAAAATTGTAATCAAACATAGAAACTTTAGTATTCAGAACCTGAAATAAAGTGCACTAGATTTAAGATTAATACACATGAATTCATACATATAGAAACAAAAAAGGACCGATAAAAAGCAACACGATATAATGGATGAAACATAGATGGGTAGCACAGATAAATGTCAAGAATCCACTAGAGCCTCAAGATCAAGATCATCTACAGATAATGTATGTAATCTATGGATAGCATAGATAAATGTCAAGAATCCATTAGGGCTTCAAGATCAAGATCATCTACAGATCATTTAAAGGTTTTGAGACTATTCGACTCTCTCAAAACTCTGGGGAGTCGATTCCAAATTCTGGCAGTTCTTATTGGAAAAGAGTTAGACACAAACTGATTGGAGGTGACTGGAATTTCTAAAATGAAGTTCTTTCATCTCTTTCTTTCTAAAATGAAGTTCATTGAAAGATCAAAGAACTTCATTAGCTGTGAATAAATCTCGAATATCTTAAAATATCAAAAACTTTATTAAAATACTTATCCCATTTTTCAGTAATCCTATTCTATCCACTTTCGTTGACAACTTTGATCGCTCCATGCGTAATGCTTTCATATGCGATTTGTATCATGAATGCGGATGTGAATCACGATGTTTGGCCGTGTTGTGTGGTTGGGGTGAGTTCTAGCAATTCTAGTAATGAAAAAGCAATATCTAGTAATGAAAAAGCGATTCTAGTCATGAAAAAAGAAATTTTAGATCATTGGAATTTTGATAAAACTCGGTGGATTGATCGTTTACTTGTCGATTTTTTCGCTTAAACAAACCGATGAAAAATTCACCGTTCGCTACAAATCACGTGAGTTTTCGAGAAGGGAGTTTGAGCCTCAAGTTTGTTACAAGTCAAAGCTACAAGTTTGAGCAGTTTGAGCAGTTTATTGGAGTTTATTGGAGTTGAAAGTTTTGCAAAAATATCGCCTTGCTAGACACTTGGCTATTAAATGCTTCATTCCAAAATATTACGCAATTGAAAACAGTTTGACAAGCCGCAAATCGGCGCAAAAATGCGTTTTCTATCAGATTTTGATTTGCTATGCACTATTTAACGTGAAAAAGTGAGCTGATATCGAGCCCTTGAAAGGAACCTCCTCGGGTACAATAGGAAGACGCAGCTCGACCAAGACCTAAGAAATACGGATATGCGCCAGCTCTCGGGACTCAGAGATCCAGTGGAAGTGATCGAGAGAAAAAGACTCAGGCCACGTAGAAGAACAGACGACAGATGGACGAATACGGATCACAGAGTGGCTACCACGAGACCAGAAGAGGCCCATCGGAAGACCAGCAACGAGGTGGAGCACAAGAGTGGCAGAGACGGTCAGAGAAAGGATGGCTAGAGTGCAACCACCACCAGCACCAGCAAGTCGAAGACTTCGAACCAGGAACAATCAAGCTAGGAAACACTGGATGACAATAGCAAGGGAAGAAACTGTTGAAGCTTCTAGAGGAAACGGAAAGGTTGGCGAAGGAGAAAAGGCTTACTTCTGGAGAGAGTCCCGTAGAGAGCCGAATCCAAAGAGATCAGAAAAAGGGGATCGGGATGGGAAAAAGGGGATGAATGACATTAACAATTTTAAAGCATTCCACTAAATCGATGATAAGGCGGCGTTGGTGCACTATTTATGAATGCAAAAGAATGCACTATTTATGCTGAATCCTTTATGGATTGCGGCTGAGAATAACAAAATCTAGTCGGCTACACCGACATCTCATTTCCTCTAGGGTAAAGCCTCAAAAAAAAAGTAAACTTTAACCTTTTTTAGATCTCGATGAAACCGCGGCAAAACGATTATTTTTCTTTATTTTATTGGCCCTCGAGATGGGAATCCTTTTCTTGGCTTGTTGCTTTAAATGGCATCTCGTTGCTTATGAGAATAACAAGCAAAAAAAGGTTGGCGAGAAAGAAACGTTAAAGAAAACTTTAAGAAACATTAATGTGTTTCATTCCACCCAATATTCAAGCTTTAAGATAGATTTAAACAATTTTCAACAAAGATCTCTTTAAGCAAATCTGTTTTATCAGATTTACTTTCTAATTAAACTACTTTCTAATTAAACTACTTTCTAATTAAACTACTTTCTAATTAAACTACTTTCTAGTTAAACTACTTTCTAGTTAAACTACTTTCTAGTTAAACTACTTTCTAGTTAAACTACTTTCTAATTAAACTACTTTCTAATTAAACTACTTTCTAATTAAACTACTTTCTAATTAAACTACTTTCTAATTAAACTACTTTCTAATTAAACTACTTTCTAATTAAACTACTTTCTAGTTAAACTACTTTCTAATCTAATAACCTTTTTTAATGTCATCAAGAGAAACTTCAAAGTAACAATCAACACAAAAACATAAAAAAAAAAGAAAAAATAGAAAACTGAGTGAACGAGAAAGTGTGTGTGTGTTTTCTGTGTTTAAAGCTTTCAAGCTTTAAAGCTGTGTTTAAAGCTTTCAATTAAAATCGAAACTTTTCAGCGAACACCAAAAGGAACTGAGCTCATCTAAGCGTCTAAGAGAAAAGAAAAGATTTCGTAAAAACTCTTTGAGCTTAAAATTTCTAAGTTTCCAAGTTTCCAATTCTCTAAACATCAATCTTTTTCTTCTATAAACTCTCCATTGATCTCATTTTCAGGATTTTTGTTTCTTATTTTCTTTTCTTTTTTCTGTTCTTTTTTCTTTTCTTTTCTTTAAACGCATTTTATTTTGTACAGTTTTTTTATTTTGCCTTGTCATTTTTTTTGTATCACAAAATGAATAAACTTTTTGATTAGATTTTTGATTGATGCTCGAATTTCTCGCAAAGACGATACGTGAACTCATCTGGTTCTAAAAAAAACAAGATACAGAGGTGGAGCTCTCGCGCTCTGTAGTGGGCTGTAGCTCTCGCGCTCTGTAGTGGGCTGTAGCTCTCGCGCTCTGTAGTGGGCTGTAGCTCTCGCGCTCTATAGTTGGCTGGAGCTCTCGCGCTCTGTAGTGGGCTGTAGCTCTCGCGCTCTGTAGTGGGCTGTAGCTCTCGCGCTCTGTAGTGGGCCTGTAGCTCTCGCGCTCTGTAGTGGGCTGTAGCTCTCGCGCTCTATAGTTGGCTGGAGCTCTCGCGCTCTGTAGTGGGCTGTAGCTCTCGCGCTCTGTAGTGGGCTGTAGCTCTCGCGCTCTGTAGTGGGCTGTAGCTCTCGCGCTCTGTAGTGGGCTGTAGCTCTCGCGCTCTATAGTTGGCTGGAGCTCTCGCGCTCTGTAGTGGGCTGTAGCTCTCGCGCTCTGTAGTGGGCTGTAGCTCTCGCGCTCTGTAGTGGGCTGGAGCTCTCGCGCTCTGTAGTGGGCTGTAGCTCTCGCGCTCTGTAGTGGGCTGGAGCTCTCGCGCTCTATAGTTGGCTGGAGCTCTCGCGCTTTTGTCCCTGGTTTAGCTCCGTTTGCGGTTCAACTTTTTGCCATTGCTAAAAACTGTTTCAATCATTTTTTTCCAGGTTTCTTGGTAATTTTAGATAGATTTTATCAAGTTACCCTTACTTTTTTGCATAAATTGCCATTTTTTTCCTTTCAAACCTGCTGCGTGCCAATTCCTCATCGTTTCTCGGATCTTCGTGAGTCCTTCGAATTTCTCACCCCATCTCATTGGTCCTCCATGTCTTGACGGCCAACCAAACCCATAATGACTAAAATGTTTTTGTTTTAAGCTTTTCAAAAGCGCATTTGGAACAACAACGACAACAACAACATAAAAAAAGACTTATAACGATAAAATAACTCACAACATAAGATCGATGTGTTCAACTCTCTCAATAATCCCATCCTCAAGACACAGAAATCCCTCGTTCACCATTGGATAAAGCAAAAAGTTGACAATATCCTAAAAAAGTTGAAATTCAAGTTTCTTTTATATTTCTACCAATTCAGAGAAGAATCTTTGTTGTTTATTTTGTCCAATTGACAATCGATCAATGATCTCTTTCACTTCAGGATCATCCGTTTTCAAGCCATTCTTGTCGTATTTATAATAGCCTTTTCCTAAAAGATTTTTAAACTTTCAAAACCTAAAACCACTCAGACTTTCAAAAAAAAAACAAACCAGTTTTCCTGCCGAATCTTTTTCTTTTCAAAAGCTCCTCCTCAATTGATGAAAGCGGCATTCCGTGTTCGGATTTGATCCGAGCGCTAACATCAATCCCTTTAAAATCATTGAAAAACTATTGCGTTGGTGAATTGAAAACTGCCGGCTATTGCCATATGTGACAGTTTGAGCACTTTCTTCAAAAGAAACCCATTTTGGTGCCAATGGAAAAGTTGTAGAGAATCAAAAATCAGGCTTATATCCAAATTCTCAGAACGATTCAAAAACGGGTTTTCAAGAAATGCCAAATTTACGAATTCTCACAAAACTTGCATTTTAAGCGAAACTACTAAATGTATATTTTTGGAAATTTGGCTATAAGCCTAATTTTTGATTCTCTACAACTTTTCCATTGACACCAAAATGGGTTTCTTTTGAAGAAAGTGCTCAAACGTCCTCCAGGGACATCTCCAGTCCTCGATTTTTGAGTCTCACACTTGTCTCACACACAAACCAAAATCCTACTACGAAAGAGGAATCCGCAAATTGCCTGTAAAATGGGCAGAAGTCGTCAATAATAATGGAAATTATTTGGAATGAATTCATGGTTTTATACTGAATAAATCTTAGTTCAAAGTCTTCAAAGAAGAAGCAGTTTTCAATTCAACAACCCAATATTTTCTAGTGATTGTTTGTTAAAACGAGAATCAGTATAAAGTTACCATTCATATCGTGCATTGTCATTGGACCCATCAACAACCCAAATGACATCATGATTCGATCAATGTCCTAGATTGTAGTTGATGTGTTAAAATGTTTTGGATACGCCTCTTTGTCATTGGCAAAACTTTGAACTCAAATTTTTTGGTGTTCGGCTGTTCAATTTAAATATTCTTGGTATCATTGGATGCGCCAAGTCTTTCTCTGTCGATTGGTGCAAAAACTATTCAAATTGAACAGCCTAACACCAAGAAATTTCAGCTTAAACTTGGATTACCAATGGCAAAGGAGGCGGCTTAAATGTTCGAAAACCAGCTACAACAGCTACAAATGAGAGCTTTGATCAGCCTCTCTGAATTCTAATCTAATCGATTGTTAATAAATGAAATTAAAAGCAAAATTACTTTTGGATAGATTCCATGTTGATAGACAAGTTTCATCGCTTGATGCAGATACACTCCGAGAAGTCGATTGAACATGAAACTTGGGCAATTGGCGACAAGGATTCCAATCTGAATGATGAAATGTTTAAAGAATTTGCTTTGTAATGTCTAAACTACAGACTTTCTAAGGTACCTATCTCGTACCTATTCGGTACCTATTTGGTACCTATTTGGTAACTATTTGGTACCTATTTGGTGCCTATTTGATCCTACTTGGTACGGGACCTATCTCGTGCCTATTTGGTCCTACTTGTTACGGTACCCATTTGGTACCTATTTGGTACCTATTTGGTACCTATTTGGTAAAGTAAAGTCCAACCTTTTGCATAGCATTTGTCGCGTTGAACGCTGTCGCCACGGCTTCTTTACTTGTGTACGATCCGTAAACGATTTCGATCACTTTGATGACATGTGGAGGGTTGAAGAAATGCATTCCAACCAATCTCGATCGATCGGATAGCGGTGAGGAGAGCTAAAACTTGAAGAACTTGAAGCTCCCGACAGTAAAAATTGCTGGATTGGTGTGTTTGATAAGCCAAGTTACAGTTCCGGGAAAAAATGTACTCATTGTGTTTTCTTTCAAATAGAAAGCGTTTCTTTTGACTGATTGAATAATCCGTTTTCTAAAAGTCAATTATTTTTTGAAAGATGGAGCTCTAAGATCCTCAATAAAGGGTAGAACAGAAAGCCCCTTGAGAAGAAAATGCGTGAAAAAGCGGTACGATTAATCTATCCTCATGGTGGATTGCCAGAGCGTCTGTCTATCAATCCGAAGATCCCGGGTTCGAACCCGCCTGCAGTCTTTTTTTTGGCCGAACAATTTCTCATTGGTCTGGCCTCCTAGAGCCTCCTAGGCCTCCTAAGCCTCAAAAAGGGTAGTACAGAAACCCCCTTGAGATCAAAGGCAAAAAAGCAGAGGGATCAATGTGTCCTGATGGTGGAGTGCCGGAGCTTCTGTCTCTCAGTTGGAGGTTCGACTCCGGCTACGGTTTTTTTTGGCGAATGACCCATGACCTAGTCATTGACCCAATCGACGATACAAAAATAGACTCTAATGTAAGCTGGCATTGGGATTACAATGGTTTATCTAAAGTAGGGTTTATCCAGGAAACTGTTTTGACAAGATTGATCATTTTTCCCGTTTACCTCATCAAAATCGAGACTCGATGTGTTCGATGCAAAACAGCAACTCGATTTACAAATCTTGTCCAACTTTTTGAGAAGCTCTTTTTTCAGTTTCTTGTTGAAAGGGAAAGAGGAAGAGAAAGAGATAGAGAAAGAGAAAGAGAAAAACTACAAACTCTACACAATTTTTGACAAGATTGATCATTTTTCCCGTTTACCTCATCAAAATCGAGACTTGACGTGTTCGAGGCAAAACAGCAACTCGATTTACAAATCTTGTCCAACTTTTTGAGGAGCTCTTTTTTCAGTTTCATGTTCTCGAAAATCGCCTCAATCACCTAGATTGGTTGTTTTTGAATGAAAATTTTTCTGAAAATTTTCCCCTAACCAAATCCACATCGCTTAAATCGTTTAAATCGATCGATTTCCGCATTTTCCTCAGTCTTTCCACATCTTTTTCCGACATTCTGCCGAGTTTTGTCTCTCGCGCGTACGTGATTTCGAGTTCTTTGCTTGCTAGTGTTAAAGCCTAAATGAGCTTTTTTCGTTAAAACCCTGAACTTTCCCCATTAACTTTTTCATCATTTTCAATTAAAATCGTTTCAAAGCCGGCTCGAACACAGGAAATTGCAATCCCTCGTCCCATCGTTCCGCCACCGATCACGGCTGCCTTAAAAAAAACGTTGTAACGTTGTAAAACACGATTTTGAAAAGAAAGTTTAATTCTTGAAGTACTTATTTTCGTTTTAGAGATTTAAAAGTATAAAAACTTTATTGATAAAGCACAAATTTCAGTTTAACTTTTTTCTAAAGTTGGCCAAAATTGGGCCAAAATTACCGTTACAATGCTCACTCACGCGCAAATGCGAAAGCGAAATGGAAGAAAGTGAAATGGAAGAAAGCTAAATGGAAGAAAGTGAAATGGAAGAAAGCTAAATGAAAGAAAGCTAAATGAAAGAAAGCGAAATGGAAGAAAGCGAACGGTAACAACTTCAGTAAATGTCAAAAAAAAGTGAGGAATCGCCTGTTGAAAGCGCCAAACTAATCGGTGCGGAAAATGTCACAAAAAATGGGGATTAAGCGAACATCCCTTAGAAGAATCCGAAAACATCCAAAAACAAGCTCAAGTTAAAGGCCTACCAGAAAAATAAATCACAAATGCTATCAGTTGACAAAACTGTTGATAGTTTGAAAAAAGCGCTCGAAAAGGCTTGGGAAGAGCTGGATCTCCTAAACCTTTTCGCCACGATCGACGCTTTTCTACGACGTTTGGACGTCTGTGTAAAAGCTATTGGAGATCTTTTTGAAAAGGAATAGTTTTTATGAATTGTTATGAGACAATAAAAGTTATTTTTCAGAAAAATCTTTGACCTTTTTGAGTTGCTTTTTATACAGAGACTTTTTTTATATGTAATGGTAATTTTGGCCCACCCTGTATTGCGTGCTTGTCGAATATTTCAATGATTTCTCGTCAAATTTTCAGCGAAATTTACTTAAGTTTGTGCTTCTATAAAAGCCAAAATCTCAATTTCATCTAAAACCTTTCATGAAATGATCAAAATATTCAAAATAGTGCTTAATTTCAAACTTTTTTAATCGTTCCCGCTTTCGAATCCGTCGCCGAGCCTCGATTGTCTGGGAGTTTCCACTAGAAAATTGAAATTTTATTAAAAAAAAGATTGAAATTCACATGTTGTGAGGTGAAAATCGCGCTTTTTATGTACTTTTCGACATCAACAGAGAGTCGGGAGTCCATTTTTTAAAAAGCAAATAAGTAAAGAATTTGAAATCAAATAAGTAAAGAATTTGAAAGCAATCAACAATCTTTTCAACAGCTTTCTTATCATTTAAGAAAATTTTCCGCAGAAAAAGAAAGAGATAGAGAAAGAGATAGAGAATAGAGAAAGAGAAAGAGAAAGAGATAGAGAAAGAGAAGAGAAAGAGATAGAGAAAGAGATAGAGATAGAGATAGAGAAAGAGATAGAGAAAGAGAAAGAGGAAGAGATAGAGAAAACTACAAACTCTACACAGTTTCTCTCTTATTTTTCCTTTCTTTTTGATCTCATTCTAGTTTACAGTTTGCTCAAGAAAGGTTTATTTGAAAAAAAAAACGAACAATGATTAATCAAATAATCAAATTTCAAATTTCTCAATTTTCATTGAACTTTTTTAGCTCGATCATCGTGTACTCGACTCCTAATGGATGCATTTGTGAGCGACAACGATTGAATAAATCAATCGTCTCTTTTTGAGTTCTCTCCCAACCGAGAAGCTCTCTGAAAAAAAGATTTTAAATCAAGATCAAGAAATCGTTCAAATCGTTTCAAATTCGAATTCAAAATCTTTTTTAGAGGAATTATATGATTCTTTCTTAAGGAATGAGATGATTTGCTGAATTGCGCTAAACTAGATCTTTGCGCCTTTGCATCTTTTGCCCTTTTTCTTTCCATAACTTTCTTCTAAGTGGACTAATCTTTATGATTTTAATGTCATTTTGTAACTACAGTCGTTCAAAGCTAGACTACGCAACACTCCGCACCGTCATTATGGGGCTGGGGTACTATTACAGTATTTACGGTAGCTACTCCGATAATTTGCCATCTTTCCAACCTGTAAACGGGCCGCGAGAACTTGAGTCGTCCACATCTCTCGACGAAACTCTTCGCTCGATCGATGATCGGCTCCCACCGTGTCTTCAACCCTAGCAAGTAGTATCTGAAAGCAAATTATCAGCAATTAGGAATGCGTATCACTTTGCCGGAATTCATTTCCCCAAAATTGCAATTTTATTGTATGAAATTACAATGGAATTGCATGAAATTTCAAAAAAATTTCCGGAAATTACTTTTCAGTTCTAAAAAAATCGTAGCTAAAATGAGATTTCATCTCAAAATCTTTTATCTATCATTCCTTCTCTTACAAGTATTCCATTTCGACATTTGTAAGCGTTTCCAAATGTAAACGCTTCTCCATAATGGCCAGCGTTTCTTTCGACATCGTTTTCTCATGCTAAATGAAGATTTTGAAAAGGAAACTACGAAAATCTAGACTTGATAAAGGTTTAGCAATTGTTTTTTAGTGAATTTTTGTAATTGCCCTCTTTTTTTCACTCACATTCCTTAAAATGCTGATAAATTCGATCTTTTGATGCGGATTGAAATGATTGTAGGTGGTTGTGTCAATCGTTTCAGCCGTTTTCTCATCAGCTGTCACCCAGAGATCGGCATAGATTTGACATTGGACTTGAAGGGAATCGTCATAGCTGAAAGGAAAATGTTAAATGGTGATTTGTTTTCGGTTTTCTCATTGTATTTTCATTATTCTCATCTTTTTAGTAAACAAAGCTTAAAACTGGAGCTTTTTCTCTTCTCTTCTTCTCAAAGCTTTTCTCTTTCCAATTTGAAGCCACTTCTGATTGTGATTTTTCGTACTTTGAATTGAATTTTATGCAAATTTGTTGGTGAAGAATCGTTTACTCATTTTGAATACTATTACAAAAGCAAGGAGATTTTTTGAATCAAGAATTGATTCTGTTTTTGATTGTTAGTGGGCAAGGAGATTGTTTTGAATTAAGAATTGATTCTGTTTTTGATTGTTAGTGAACAAGGAGATCGTTTTCAATCAAGAATTGACTCTGTTTTTGTTTGCTAGTGAGCAAGGAGATTGTTTTCAATCAAGAATCGACTCTGTTTTTGTTTGCTAGTGGACAAGGCGATCGTTTTGAATCAAGAATTGATTCTAATTCTTACAGAGATCAATTCTAAAAGATCATTTCAAGCTACAGTATTCACAATATTCTCAAACATTGAATCGATTTTTATGCAAATGATATCAGTAAAGAATCGTTTACTCGTCTTGAATCGAAAATTTTAAGCTTTTTCCTTAAAAACCAACTTTGGCTTGACTGGTGGCATCCCTTTTCCATACATCCACGCATCGAAATCAATCTTTGCCAAGAGTTCAGCTTTGTCAGCGAAAAACGTGCAAAAATGCTCTTTCCATTGATCCGTATTCAGAGCTTTTCCCGAGAAATCCTCCAAATACTTGTGAAACCATCGATCAAGTTCTAGATTTGTCTTGAAATTCAAAATTTTCCAATCACTCACCCTCTTTTCCAAGTATTTTCTCAATTGTGTAGAGAAAAGCTTGACCCTTTTCGTAGTAAATCATTGAAAAAGATGAGATCGGATCTCCTGAATTTTGATTTTGAAAGTTTAAAAGATCGAATGATAACCGATTCTCTATAAAGCCAAATTATCAGCTTTGGCATTCCTTTTCCGGAATGCCAAAGCTGATAAGTATCACTTTGCCGGAAATCACTTTGCCAGAATTCATTTCCCCGTAATTTTGAGGTCATAGCTTTTCGCTATAAAACTGCTACAGCCTCGCCACGTTGAAACACGGTATCCCGTCAGATCTGTCAAGTTAAGCATCGTTGGTCGGTTAGTCTCGGGTTAGCCTCGGTTAGTCTCTGGTTCGAATCCAGCAGATGAGTCAGGGATATCTTCTCTGAACCAAGTGATGTAGGTAATCGCACCCATATGGTGAACTGGTTCCCAAGACCGGTCCCCCTAGGTCCCCTCCCCTCGGGATTGGGAAAGCCAGGGATCCAAATGGGTAGACTTGTCTAAGGTGCAAGCTCATAAAGCGGGTAGCCCTCTCCACCTACATCGTCTCCTACATCGCCCCATCCTCACAAACGATAGAATATTCCCTAGGTCTTAATGTGTCTTAATGTGGTCTGTGATTATGTGTGTGCAAAATAAAATCACCGGTACATTATTATTATTATTAAACTCACCCTCAATTGAGTGATCTTGCACCAACGCTGTCCACGGGTGCTCCGGATCGAATTGCTCGTAAACCTAGATAGAAAAAAAGCTGAAGTTGAATGTCTCTATCCTAGTTGATCATGTTTTCGATCACTATATCATAGTTGATCACAATATTTAGCTAGAGAATCTTTCATACCACTGGGATCAAGTTCTGATTCCAGCCATTGATACAACTGAGATCTCTTTCCGATTCACCGAATTTTTTCCCAATACACCGTCGCTCGTAGTACTCGGTAAAGCCCTCATTCAGCCTGAAAAAAACGAAAATTTTATGTAAATTTTAGTTTTCAAATCGATCGAGACTGAACAAGGGCTTCACGAGACAGAGCTTCATTTTTGGGATTCGAAATCCCCTTAAAAATCGGTTGGTTTGAATAAGGGCTTCACGAGGCAGAGCTTCAGCTTTGTTTGATCTAGTGCAAGATTCCGTTCATTTCTGCACTTCTTCAACATTTCTTTAACTTCTCTACCAACCACAGGCCGCAAATTTTGCGTCCATCCATTCAAATTGCTAAAGTCACGTCGCTGCTCGCCAAATTGTGCGCCTAAGATTCGCCGCTCGTAATATTTCGTGAAACCCTCGTTTAGCCTGGAATTACAGTTTATTGAAAGAAAAGTAATGCAGTCTATTGAAGTCTTTTAACGCCCAACCACATGTGTTCCCAAGTTGCATTCGTGACGAGATTCCCTGACCATGAGTGGACCAACTCGTGAGTAACTAGATGGACGAGTGAGCGGTCACCAGCCTGAAATCAACTCGTTTCTCACTAGGGAAAGGAACGGGGTGAGCTTATAGGTGAGCTTTTGGCTGGGCACAAATAGAATAGAAATCCTTCGCACTATAGAATCGGGAATCCGAATCTGACAAGGGAAGGATGATTGGATCCCACAGCCGATGATATATAGACCATTCGACGTAGAATTTTACGTTGATTCCAATGGTGCAAAAATTAGCTGCCTAATGGCGCGTAATCACCGCCAAACTGGCATAAAAGTTTTGAGTCGCTCCTTTTAAGCCGATTTTTTTAATCCAAACTGTTCATCGGTGGCCGAGTGGTTGAGTGCTTGTACAACAAGCTAAAGGCCAAGGTTTCAAACCCGATCCGTCGCATTTTTTTTTGCTTTTTTTTCCATTCTTTGGTCTGTTTGTGATGTTTGATTTAACAAACCAAAAATCGACTTTAGACTGACCAAAAGCGATGGTGTTAAGAAGATCATATTCGGGTTTTCCATGCCACCAAATGGGAACGAGTTAGGCAAAACGACGAGATCGTTTCGTTCCCACACGAATTTTCCCAAAATCGATTCAGCAAGTTTTAGTTGTTCTTCAGTCTAAAAATGATATGATCAATTTTTTTTCTAAAAATGAAAACCGTTTCAAGTTCATAGCGAGCTTTCTCAAGGATCGATGGCTCAGTCCAAACACGAATTCGATCAGAAATCTCGGCTGAGACATAGTGCCCAACGAGGAAAGCGATGAGATAGGATGGGATTGGGATCTAGATTTGAGTTGTTAGCCAGTTGTTTGCTATTTGTTGTTGCTTGTTGTTGTTTATTGTTGTTTATTTTTGTTGTTATTGTTTTTTAATTGTTTAATAAGTTAGCCAAATGTTAGTCAAATGTTTTGATAAGTTATTCAGGTATTTGTTCGAGCTACAAATCTCCGATCATCAGATTCAGCTTCAGCTGTTCCTTGAAACCGAGTTTTTATTAGCTGATTTTGTTTTTTTGTATCTTTTTAATACCTTATATCTCTTTTTGTATCTTTTTAATGTCTACCAAAGTTGCTTTTTATCTAAAACCTTTTGTCGGTCTTTTTATCTAAAACCCAAACCTTTTGTCGATAGTGAAAGATTCGATGATTCGGATGATTTGAGTCATTTGTTGGCTCTTTTGACTCAACTGCTGCGCAGAGTACTTGGAGAGGATTTGGAGCCGAAATCTAAGCATTTATATATATATATATTTTTTTTTAATCTTAGAAATCTAATCTTTCAAAAGTTTAACGGCTTAAATACCTCATAATTAATCGTTGCTTTCACTGACGGAGTGTCCATGCAAGGCACAATGGCACGCGCGTTTATCGGCTGATTGTAGGTGAACATCAGCGGGTATTTCTGGATAAAATTTTTAAAACCAGATAGAGTTATGTAATTTGTGCTTAAAACTTGCAAACGTAAACCAACTAGAAACTAAATAGGAATCAAATCGGAACCAAATTGGGATGACATCAGAACCCAATAGTAACCAAATAGGAACCAAATAGGAAACAAATAGGAACCAACTAGGAATCAAATAGGAACCAAATAGGAACCAAATAGGAACCAGCTAGGAACCGAATAGGAACCAAATAGGAATCAAATAGGAACCAAATAGGAAACAAACAGGAACCCAATAGGAACCAAATAGGAACCAAATAGGAACCAAATAGGAACCAAATAGGAACCAAATAGGAACCAAATAGGAACCAAATAGGAACCAAATAGAAACCAAATAGGAACCAGCTAGGAACCGAATAGGAATCAAATAGGAATCAAATAGGAACCAAATAGGAACCAAATTGGGATGACGTCAGAACCCAATAGTAACCAAATAGGAACCAAATAGGAACCAACTATGAACCAAATAGGAACCAGATAGGAACCCTTCTGGTAAAGTAAATGCTTTAGTTTCCTCGTGAAATCAATTAGTTTGCCTTTGGCGTCACGAGAATAGGTACGTTTTGCAAATTTTTTGCACAAAATACCCCAACGAAGAGGAAATTAACAAAATTCTAATTTCGTCAAAGTCTAATTTCGTCAGTTGCTCAAACATTTTCTATTATTTATTATATATACCGAAGTCAGTATCAGAATGTATTAGAATGACATGTTACCGTATTTTCTGTAATAGTAGTGCGCACTACTATTTTTTCAACCCCCCTCCTGCCTGCACTACTATTATAGACTGCACTACTATTACAGAAAATACGGTATTCCATTTTTAAAACCTCACAAAATCGATCGAGCCAAAAAGTAGTTAAGCGGCTTAGGGAACCAAAAATAAATCAAAAATTTAGAATTTTTAAAAAACTATTTTAAACAATGGTCTTTTGTCTAAAACTTGCAAAAAAACATGTTTAAAAGCGAAATTATTTTAATACCCACGGCCCTCTTTGAATCTCCAAAAAAAAATCCATATTGGGGCCCATATGTTTCTTTTTTTCAAAGAATCTTTCTATTTTTTCAAAAATAATCTTTTAAATTTTACTACCGATAAAATATTACCGTATTTCTTCGAATAGAAGACCAGGGAAAGAGTAAGATCGCGTACTCCTGCGTAGCATCGCGTACTCCTGCGTAGCAGCCCTTTTTAAAATTTCTTTTCTGCATAAAAGCTTTCAATCAAGTGCTATAGGGCTGGAAAATGACTCAAAAATCTGTTAGCTCATGTGGTATTTTTGAGTCATTTTCCAGCCCTATAGCACTTCATTGAAAGCTTTTATGCAGAAAAGAAATTTTAAAAAGGGCTGCTACGCAGGAGTACGCGATCATACTCTTTCCCTGGCATTCTATTCGAAGAAATACCGTAGTAGGTTTTATGCCTAATTCTATCCATGCAAACCCTCAAAGAAATCTCAAAGGCGTCTAAAAGTCTTGATTCCAATAAGTCACATTCTAATAGGTTGATGCAAAAGTCTTTTTCATTTTTTTCGTACTTCTTTTGAAAAATAACAAAGTCATCAATTCACCTATGGTTTGCTCTAAATGAAAAGTGTTTATTGTTCAATTTCCCATCTTTTTAAGTCAATTTGGGTTCACTTTCAAGCAAAATTCGAGAGTGAAAACGGGTTTTTCATAAAAATCTATAAAAACCTCTATAAAGAAATTGGCTGAATCAATTTCTCTGAAAATCTGAAAAAATATCTAACTTTTTGTGCTCTATCTTTTATTTATTAACATCAAGATTGGTTTCCTTAGCTAAAGCGTCTAAAATGCATCATCGAGCCGTCGCCTTTTTTGACTACCCGACTTTAGGCTCTCAAAAAAATCTAGACATAAGACATTTTAAACTCGTTTTAATGTCATTTTGCAGAAAAATAATTGGCCTTTCGAATGCAATAAACCGTTGTTCAATTGGTGCATTTGTTACTTTTTAACGGAAGTACGAAAAAAATGAAAAAGACTTTTGCATCAACCTAATAAAACAGCATTTATCGTATATCTTTAATCGCACCTTGTCAATCGTTTGCTCCTTCGTCATCCATTGAAGTGCTAACGAGGTTGATTTGACGGTAAACTTGATGAAAAGCTTGCTAAAAATTTGTTTTTCAAAAACTTCAATGGATTCCTTCAAATTTTCACCTCTTTTGTCCTTTCTGCATCCCTTTAGGCGTTTCTATTATCAAATTTTCTCCTTTATATTTTTTCTCGGCGGGATGAATTTTCCATGAAGATGCTTGGCCATTCAAAGTGATCGAATGAATCTCACAGTCACGAGTGTCGAATGACTGAAATGGATTGAAATGAGGAAAGAAAATTTGGGAAGTTTTAGCTTTACTAAAGTAAACGAATCTCAGAGTTTTGTGATTTGTTTACTTTAGAATTTCTTTTACATTTCCTTTAGAATTATTAGAAAGAATTGAATACAACAATTCAACAATTCAAGAATACAACAATCCAACAATCCAACAATTCAACATTTCAACAATTCAACAATTCAACAATTCAAGAATGAATTCAACAACTTCACCCAATTTGTAAACTTTCAAGAATAAAGAAAACATTTCAAGAGTTCTCAATTGTGATTTACAATTGATAGATTGTGAATTCTCAGTCTAACAACTGTCTAACAATAAGAATATCAAGTACTTGTCGGATATAAATCCACAAAGACTCATCTTGGTGAAGTATCCGCATCCAAATCTTCTCGGTTATCGATTTTCGTTCTACTGATCGACTGATCACATCAGGCGAGCGCTCTACTTCACTGAACATAACCACTCCCCACAAGTTGTCAGCTCCTTGCTTAACCGAGTTGAGTCTCTGTGGATGTACCACCGACAAGTACCCAGTATCAATATCAAGTTGTCAGCTTCTTGCTTAGCCGAGTTGAATCTCTGTGGATGTATCATCGACATCACCGACACCGAATTTCAATGTCATCACCGACAAGTACCGAATTTCAATGTCATCAACTGCTTATTCCCTTCGTCATCAATAAAATGAGTCATCAACAACAAAACAAACAATAAAACAAAACGTCATCAACAACAACATCAACAACATCAACAAAATGAGCACTTGAGTTCATAAAAACTTAAGGAAAATCTACGAAAACTTCTTCAAAACACTGACAACAGCTTTTAATAGATTTTCGATAAAAAAAAACAGTTTTAAACTTCAACTTGAACTTTTCCAAGTCGGCAAACAACTCACAATAAGTTGCACTCCATCTTGCAACACTTCCAACTCATACTCTGCTTCGCTTTCCATCGTTCTCTCATCCATATCAACAACATATTTCAAATCGATATTCGTCACAGTAATCTCTGTGAAATTCGCATAACTTGCCGGATCTTTTTTCGTCGGTTCCGCTTTTTTCACCATTTTCAAAGATTTGATCTGAATTTCTTTTAAAAAATTGTACAAAAACCGGGAGTGGGACAAATGCGACCTTTTTTTGCGCACCCGGACATTTGCGCAACTTTTTTTCCGCACCTTGCCCATTAGCGCACCTTTTTTCGCGTTTTAAAAAAGCTCTAAAAGCTAATATTAACCAATTTCTATTCCAAAAGTTGTTTTTCTAGGTAATTTGAGGGTGTCGAATTCAAATTTTGACATATCAGAGCTTGTGGAAGCGAACGGACGGAGTTATACAAAGAGAAAATATTGGAACCGTATTAGATCAAAATAGGAAACGTATTGGAACCGTATTGGATCAAAAAAAGAATCGTATTGGAACCGTATTGGAACCGTATTAGATCAAGATAGAAACCGTATTGGAACCGTATTGGAACCGTATTGCATCAAAAAAAGAACCCTAATGGAACCGTATTGGAACCGTATTAGATCAAGATAGGAACCGTATTGGAACCGTATTGGAACCGTATTGCATCAAAAAAAGAACCCTAATGGAACCGTATTGGAACCGTATTAGATCAAGATAGGAACCGTATTGGAACCGTATTGGAACCGTATTGCATCAAAAAAAGAACCCTAATGGAACCGTATTGGAACCGTATTAGATCAAAAAAAGAACCGTATTGGAACCGTATTAGATCAAAAAAGAACCGTATTGGAACCGTATTGCATCAAAACAAGAACCGTAATGGAACCGTATTGGAACCGTATTAGATCAAAATAGGAACCGTATTGGAACCGTATTGGAGACAGAGACAATTTTCTGTAATGTGACCCAGCCTTTTTGTCTTTCAAATTGGTTCCACAAGCTCTGATATGTCAAAATTTCGATTCTACGCCCTAAAATTACCTAGAAAAACAACTTTTGGAATAGAAATTGGTTAATATTAGCTTTTTAGAGCTTTTTTAAAACGTGAAAAAAGGTGCGCTAATGGGGAAGGTGCGGAAAAAAAGGTGCGCAAATGTCCGGGTGCGCAAAAAAAGGTCGCATTTGTCCCACTCCCCAAAAACCATAAACAATCTTTGCAAACAAAAGTTTTGAACAAAAAATTTCGCATTTTCCTTGTTGTTTTGAGTCTTTTCTCCTCGAATTTTCCTTTTTCTTATCAATTTTCGTGGAAATTTGTCAGTTTCAGGGATTTTCGAAGGGGATTTTGCGTCAAAATCACTGATTAGTTTGACTTCTTGGAAAAATTCATCAAGAAATTGCACGTTTCCATGAAATCTTTGAAAAGCTTTATTTCAGCAATGGAATCTTACAAGTGAAACTAAAGACAAAAAGCTATGATGGAATGAGAATTTCGAGAAAAATCGTGATTTATTGTGTTGCTTGCCATTTGAAGGCTTTGGTGCACCAGGGTTTTGCCTGTTCGGCGGTGGTCTTAGCTGGTGAGGCGGCAGCGGCTTCAAGAAGCTCTCCAACCTAAAAATTCGTTTAATTGTTCAAAGTGATTGTAAGCCTGAATAGATTCGAGCTATTTTCGAGCTATTGTCGATCGATTGTCGGAAAAATGCTAAAATTAGAGCTATTAGCTAAGCTATTACTCAAGTTTGAACGAATTGTAAGCATGGATAGCTAGGCGATGATTGAAGGCTTAGATTCGTAGCTCTTTCTACTCTCTCTTTCTACTCTCTCTTTCTATTCTCTCTTTCTATTCTATTCGTTATATTCATGACTTGAAAAGTACTCAAGTTTCTATCGATTCTAAAAGTAACCCTTTGCGTATAGGATTTTAAACAAGTCAATCAGAAAACAAAGGCTCACCTTCTTCTCAATGTCATCGTACGATGCACCGGCCTCTTTAAGCTTTTTCACCTCACCGACTTTCTCCTCTCCAATTGCGGCTAAACTTTTGATGAAAATGGGTTTTCTAGGTAAATCGACGGCTTAACCTTTATCGCAAATTGATAATTCAAATTTATCTAACAAAAACTCACTTCCGAAGATGTGCTTGCACGCCTCTTTGACCTTGTTAACAGCTTCTTTCTTGGAGTCTCCTGAGATCTCTTGGAAGTACTCATCGACCTAAATTTATACATATTAGACTAAAGTTTTTGATTAACATTTTTTAAAGGATGCAAAAATCTGCTGTACTTGATTCTTTTTTAAATCTAATTGTAAACTTTACTTGAAACAAATCGAGTTCATTTCTTTTCAGGGTTACAGTAGCTTTTACTAGCTACACGTTTTACAATTGTACAAACAAACAGTCTTTCAAACTCCAATTTTTTTCTACCTTCTTGAAGAGAGCATCCTTGTCATTCTCCAAAGCTTTCAACGCGGTTTTTTGCTCAGCGGACAACCAGGTAAGCACTTTGTCCAAAGCTAAGTCCAAGTTGTAGGTGACTTCACGGCGCTTGCTGAAGAGAAAGATTGATATTTGATAGATTAAATCTTTGATACTCAAGGGTCACAAAAATCTCGATAAATCCAGTTTTTTGCAAATATTAATTCCATTTTAAAGTTTATTGCAAGGATTTTTCGTTTTCCTGTCAATTGTGAGTAGTATAAATCGGCACTGAACATCGACAGCCATATTGTTGTCTACAAAGGAAAAGATAGATTTTGTTGAGTTGTCTTGTAGCTGCTAATGGATATCGAAGCTATCATTTGCTTGCATTCATCGATGTTGTAAAGAATTTCGTACAATATTCTTGCTTTTTCCCCAAAATACCAGATTTCCATTCACTTTTCAACACGCACTCACCGTCCAGCAGTAGCAGCAGCCTCAGCGTGTTTCCATTGGAAGACTTTCTTGCACGATGGTTTCACCTTAAGAGCAACTTTCTTGGCCTCTGAATCAGTAGCAGCCTCGAGGAAAGTGTCAACCTAAAAATCACTGTTTGCTCATGTCAACTGTTTGCTAAAAATTTCTAATCGATGCTCAGTTCTGATAGTCGTTATGCAATGATCTCTTTACCTTAGCCTCAACTGCGTCAAGTCCAGCGCCGCTCTCTTTGAGCTTCTTGATTTGCGAGGCGTTCTCATCTCCGATCGCATCTGAAAAAAGCATCTATTGTGTACAAATCAAACTTCAAATTGGGTTTTAATGAATTGCCAAGTCGATTTTTCTAATCACCTACCAGTGATGATGTGTTTGCAAGCCTTGATGAGTTGATCAGCGGCTTCTCCTTTCTTGTCGTGTCCCTTGAAGTACTCCTCGACCTAGAATAGATTTTTGAATATCTTACGGCTATTCTTATCAAGCTATCTAACAATTTTCCCATACCTTAGTCAAAAGAGCATCCTTGTCATTCTCCAATCCCTTCAACGTCGTCTTTTGCTCCTCGGAGAGCCATGGGAGGACCTAAATTTCAATTTTTAAACTATACAATAGTTAGTTCATTTATCTAAGTGTTATTTAGCAATATATGTATGATTATATTCAAACTAAGAATGGAATTAGGGTACCTTGGCGATTAAGGTGTCCACAGAGTAGTCATGAGCCTCGTGTCCCTCGTGGTGATCACGGCGAACACTAAATCACAATGATTTTAGAGGTATCACTAATTAACTTTTATTTGGCTTTAAATTCAGCTTTATAGATTTAATTGACTTTCTTTTAAACCCACCGAGCAGCGGCAGCGGTGGCGGCCTCAGCGTGTTTCCATTGGAAGACTTTCTTGCACGATGGTTTCACCTTAACAGCGACTTTCTTGGCCTCTGAATCAGTAGCAGCCTCGAGGAAAGTGTCAACCTGAAGGTTTAGAGATTTACATTGTATAAGAAATGATATGAAATCAATCAGTTGCCAACCTTGGCCTCAATTGCGTCAAGTCCAGCGCCGCTCTCTTTGAGCTTCTTGATTTGCGAGGCATTCTCATCTCCGATCGCATCTGAAAAATCTCATTTGAAAATTGTCTCTAAACAAGTTTAGCTGTTAGTTTTAAAGCTTCTTAACAAAAAAGTTGACAATCTCACCAGTGATGATGTGTTTGCAAGCCTTGATGAGTTGATCAGCGGCTTCTCCTTTCTTGTCGTGTCCCTTGAAGTACTCCTCGACCTAGAATAGATTTATGAATATCTTACGGCTATTCTTATCAAGCTATCTATCAATTTTCCCATACCTTAGTCAAAAGAGCATCCTTGTCATTCTCCAATCCCTTCAACGTCGTCTTTTGCTCCTCGGAGAGCCACGGGAGGACCTAAATTTCAATTTTTAAACTATACAATAGTTAGTTCATTTATCTAAGTGTTATTTAGCAATATATGTATGATTATATTCAAACTAAGCATAGAATTAGGGTACCTTGGCGATTAAGGTATCCACAGAGTAGTCATGAGCCTCGTGTCCTTCGTGGTGATCACGGCGAACTCTGAAACGACTTTAGATGAATATTTACGAGTGTTTAAAACTTTGAAAGTCCCTCAAATTACCGTAATCATAAATTTTCATTGTATTTGAGTATCAAAAAGAAAGAAATCAAATTCTAAGAGTCTAGAAACTGCTCAAATCTTTTAGTACAAACTACGATATCAAATCTACGAGAATCCAGTGCAAAACCTGCTAGATTTGTATCATTGAACACTGCTAGTTTGCTAGTTTGCTAATATACTAGTTTATCAAAAATAAAACAACTTATTTCTACTAAAGTAACTGTAGTATTCATTACCCAAATTCATTACCCAAATTCCCAAAGAACCCACCTGACACTAGCAGCAGAGGCAAGGCAAACAAGTAGTGGAAGAACGAGAAGAGATCGCATCGTTTATGTGTTGATTACCTAAACGAATAAGCGATACTTATACCCGATTTGTTTATCAAATTACAAAAAGAAGTCAAGAAAAGGATAAAAGAAAGAAAAAAAGCCGCCCTTTTCGGTGTCAATGATCATCTTTTGGCTAACATTTGGCTTTTATAGTCGATTTTCTGAAAGAGACCATGGTCCAAACAATTAGTCAAAAGAGAGTGTTTGTGAATTTCAAAAGGGGAAAGGGACGTGGTCAGTCAGTTTACAGCCATCGGCCTATCCATCCAAAGATAAACTACCACTTTCTCTTTTGCTTTTTCCTTTCCTATGGCCAGGCACTTTGGGACTTTGAAGTCAATGTGAAATGCGAGTGAAATCGAGGGAAAAAGACCCGAAAAGCACCCGAATTGGAGAGATTTATTGCCTTTCTTTTCCCAGATACTTTGTTTGGATCTTTTTGATGTTTGGATGTGATGTGTCCCTTGTGTCCATTTCAGCCATTTCAGCTATTTCAGTGTGTTCATTGGGCACACTGAAATGGCAGAGATTTATTGCCGAAAAAAAAATGGCTGTTGTTTGTGTCCCCGACTGCTGTTTGGGCACAAAGGCTTTGTGGATTTAATGGGAAATCTTTGAACTGGTAAAAATGCAAAAATCTTCATGCAATCTTTCAATAAAACAAATACCTAGTTAAAAAGTTTAAAGTTAACAAAAAACTTAAAGTTTACCATGAGAAAAATTCTAAGCATCGCTGTTTTTCAACACAATTTTGTATCTGAAAAGGATGAGTAATTGACAAAAACTAGAAATTAGGTATTTGAATAAATTGTTAACTTTCAAGTTTATGCTCGTGCAAATTAGCTTTTTTTTCGACTTTAAAGAAGCATTTATTCAAACACTTAACAAAACATTAGCAAACAAAAACCCTAAGCTTTGTAACACAACAATTGTAAAATGTGAACCAAAAGATCTAAAGGGGATTTTGGTCGATTCAATACAGCTAATTTTCGTCTATCTTGAAAACATTTGCGGAAATTTTTTATTTGTAATGTTTTCCATTCAAATTAAAATTGCAAAATCGAAATGAATCGGCCTGGTACCAATGATACCGGAGAAGGAAAGAAATTGTTGAAAAGAGACGATTGACTTATATACAGACGTCTTCCTGCTACATAGAAACGCATTGACACAAGGGGAAGTGAGGCTCTTTATAAAAAGAGACTCGACGTCCGACGTCTTCCCCTAAATCTGAACACTACTTGAAATCGAAAAAGCGAGAAAAAAAAGACGAAAATTATCTGTTTCCATAGTCTATTCGTTAAAATAATCGAATTTTTGTAAAACAATTGCAAAATAAAGTAATTCTTGTGAGTGGTTCAAGTGTTTTTGAAAAAAAGCTTATTTGGCGCAAATGATACAGGGCGCAAATGAAATTGACGCAAAGAATTCTGACGCAAAAAAACACGGCGCTTTTGTTAGCACCTCGGGGATAGGCTACTTTGCGCCAAATTTTTTGCGCAACTGGGTCATTTGTGCAACTAGGTCTTTTGCGCAACTCGCCAGAACTTTCTTCTAAGTCGACCAATCTTTATGGTATTGGTGTCATTTTGTTACACTTATTGAGATATACAAAATGAAACCAAAACCATAAAGATTGGCTTACTTAGAAGAAAGTTATGGCGAATTGCGCAAACGATCTAGTTGCGCAAATGAAATTGCGGAAATTAGCCTACCCTGCACCTCGGAAATTGTAATAAAATTAAAGTAGCTGATAACAAATGCAAATAGGGATGTAGAATCCGAATTTGAGCACTCAAAGAGCTTTTGACTTTTCGGAATAACAAAAAAAAAATTAATCTGTCCCTGCAGTGCTGTGATTTACAAAAACCCAAATTTTTCTCTCATTTCTGTATTTTCAATGGCGATTGGGACAAATGCGACCTTTTTTTGCGCACCTGGACATTTGCGCACCTTTTTTTTTGGTGGAAAAGGCCTTAGGAAAGGTCGTAGAGCTTCAAAAATGTTTTCATAGAAGGGAATCGTATGCGTAGATTCCGAATTTCGACAAATCAGACCTCGCTGATACGTCAAATTTGGGCTAAAGGCAAAAACTACACAACTCAACGCTTTTCCGCAGCTTTTGCCTTTTAGCCCAAATTTGACGTGTCAGCGAGGTCTGATTTGTCGAGATTCGGAATCTACGCATAGGATTCCCTTATATGGAAATATTTTCGAAGCTCTACGGCCTTGCCTAAGGCCTTTTCCAGCAAAAAAAAAGGTGCGCAAATGTCCAGTTGCGCAAAAAAAAGGTCGCATTTGTTCCACTCCCCTCATTTCTGTATTTTCAATGGCGATTGAGCAAGTTTTTGGCACAAATTCACTCATTTTATTTATTTCACGTACAGCAATCTTTTTTGTGTACTTTGAAATCATGGCAGAAATCACAAATCACAAAGTGTAGAGAAGAGGGGTAAAAAAAAAAAAGAAGTGAAGCCGAAAAAAGCCGAAAAAAGAAGTGGCAAATGTTTACGAAAAAAAAAATGGTTTATCTGAAAATGGGAAAAAAATCACGAAGACTTTGTGTGTATATTTAGAAGTTTTAAAAAAAAAGCAAAGTGAAACCATTCTTGGAGCAATGAATGGAAAAATTTTGCATTTGATATGTACAATATCGATCACAATTCGTTGATATGGTAAAGGAAATTTGAGGGGTTTTTCTTCTCTAAAATGTGCCCACTTCAATGAAAAGATTACGGTAGTTTTTGGCACATTTTAGACATTCGATAGGGAAATCAAACTGTTCTTGATGCTGATGAAAAGATTTTTCTAAAAGATGCGCTTAAGAAAAAGCTATTGAAGCTAAAGAAGCTAAAGAAGCTGAAGAAGCTAAAGAAGCTGAAGAAGCTAAAGAAGCTAAAGAAGCTATTGAAGCTATTGAAGCTAAAGAAGCTATTGAAGCTATTGATGCTAAAGAAGCTATAAAGAAGCTATTGATGCTAAAGAAGCTATTGAAGCTAAAGAAGCTATTGATGCTAAAGAAGCTATTGATGCTAAAGAAGCTAAAGAAGCTAAAGAAGCTAAAGAAGCTAAAGAAGCTATTGAAGCTAAAGAAGCTATTGATGCTAAAGAAGCTATTGTAATTCGGCTGGTGAGACTTCAGACTATTCCTTCAAGCTTTAGACTTTAGGCCATTCCTCAGCCGGACTTGAGACTTAAACTTTAAAAAATAAACATATTAAGGGAGCTTTTCAAGCACATCTTTTAGAAAACACAGTTCAATGGTACCTAAAAAATAAATTATCATATAGTAGCCTAGAAACGAGGGGAAAATATGCAGTTTTAAAGGAGACGAGGAAAAAATTGAACCCTTTACTAGTTTTAATTTTAAAAAATCAACCTTTTTCATGATTTATTTCTTTATTTTTACAAGTTAACCGTCTGTTCCTTAAAGAAATTCGTAAGGGAATCGTAATTTTTCGCGATCCATGCCACTTTTTGTTTCCCAATCGCGATCGACTCGTCGAATGAATGTTTTCCGATGTCTGTCTTCAGACTTCGTTGGAACGTTTCCAACTGAAGGTTTTTTTTAATTTTCGCTTCATTTCAAATCTTTTCTAGGTCCTAGATATACTCTGAGTTCTAGGACTGAGCAATACTTGTCAATTATCCAAGATAACTTAACCGCCATAACTTAAGAGTGCTTAACAAGTTCAGCACTTGACTGACAAGTCCAGCACTTGACTGACAAGTTCAGCCCTTGCCTGACAAGTTCAGCCCTTGCTTAACAAGTTCAGCCCTTGCTTAACAAGTTCAGCACTTGCTTTACAAGTTTAGCACTGCTTTACAAGTTCAGCACTTGCTTAACAAGTTCAGCACTTGTTAACTGAAATTCAGAGAATAACTGAAATATCAATTTAATACCGTAGCCTTTGTAAGTTAACGAATTCAGTAACTTTTTCAACTCGCAACTTTCACCTGTTTGATTTGTCGTTGATTTCTGATCGGACTCGCGCAATACTTGAGCACTCGGCGAATGGTGGCTGGATCGGTTTTGAGGCTAGAAATAACAAATGCTTAGCTTAAAATATCTCAAACCTTGCATAGATATCATCCCATTTATCAAGAAGATATTCAAAGATGAATTCTCGGCCAGTCGGATTGCTGGAAACATATTGAAAGACCGAGTCCACATCTTGAAGCCGGACGACGTTTAATGGCCAGTTTAAGGCATGGGAAAGGAGTCTAAAAGTTGAAATTTATCAAATTCTTGAAGAGAACCAAATCTTAGGAGAAAAGGAAGGAAATCTGTAGAGAAAAGGAAGGAAATCTGTAGAGAAATGGAACCAAATCTGCAGAGAAAAGGAAAAATCTGTAGAGAAAAGGAACCAAATCTGTAGAGAAAAGGAACTAAATCTGTAGAGAAAAGGAAGGAAATCTGTAGAGAAAAGGAACCAAATCTGTAGAGAAAAGGAACCAAATCTGTAGAGAAAAGGAAGAAAACCTGCAGGGGAAAAGGAAGGAAATCTGTAGCGAAAAGGAACCAAATCTTTGGAGAAAAAAAATCTATATATCAAGCGATTATTGTACTTAATTCGATTCACTTACTCTTTCAGAATGTCAACATCTCGACTACAGGACAACGCGTAAAGGAGTGAAGTCTTCTCAACCTTAAAGAGAGTGATTGAAGGAAATTTAAGCTAAAGCTATGATAAAGCTATGTTAATGCTAAGTATCTAGTTATGTATCTAGGTATTTTGCTATACCTGATTGCTTTCCCGTTGATAAGCATCAAAAACTTGACTCCAAACGGCTCGATCCCCAGCACTCACTCCTTCACAATAAATCGCTGAACGGAGGGGAACGGAGACTCTGAAAGGAAAGGGTTTACATTGATTTCGGTTATTGAATTTAAAACAAAAACCCACTTGCTGCATTTGCTGGCCATCACTTGAGAATCTTGACATTTTTCGATGAATTCTTTTTTGAAATGAGAAACGAATTTTTCCAGACATTCCGGATCCCTTGCCGCACATGTGAAAGCGATCACACGTGATTCGAGTTGGCTAAAATTGATAGAGCTGACAGCTGATAAACACAACTCTTCTTTAACTAATGATCACTAGAACTGGTCGCGTCCGTTTCCTTCCTATTTGCGTTGCTATTTTGCAATTATTCGCGTCGCATTTTTCGCCCTTTTCTCCCTTCCCGAAATTATTTTTTTTTGGTCTGGGGTTTTTTGCCTTCCCTCTTGGGGGACTTTGTTGTTTCATTTTTGATGCACATGCTGTGTTTGTAATAGGTATTGTTGCATTTCGGTTCTGTACTAATAAACAGTAACGTTATAAATTCACTTTACTTTATGCTACCCTTCAGGTTTTAAATCCTGTTTAGATAACTGGTTTAACATTGTAGAGAGACTATTTTACTAACATTTGTGTCACCATCGACGTAGTATCAATCCGATCCGTACTCTTCTCAAGAGTATTAATCTATTGTTGGATGCTATGTGTCCTTGTTACGTTAATGGCGCTTTTGGGGAAACCCTTTTTAACCTTTTGTGCAATTCGGCTATTCTGAAGCAGTAACGAAGCAGTAACGAAGCAGTAACATCCTCGCTGGCTATTCTGAAGCAGTAACGAAGCAGTAACGAAGCAGTAACATCCTCGCCGGCTATTCTGAAGCAGTAACGAAGCAGTAACATCCTCGCTGGCTATTCTGAAGCAGTAACGAAGCAGTAACATCCTCGCTGGCTATTCTGAAGCAGTAACGAAGCAGTAACGAAGAGTTCCTCGCCGGCATTCTGAAGCAGTAACGAAGCAGTAACATCCTCGCTGGCTATTCTGAAGCAGTAACGAAGCAGTAACATCCTCGCTGGCTATTCTGAAGCAGTAACATCCTCGATGATAAGGTTAAAGCGGGTCGCACCGCAAACTAACTAATGATCTAAGCTTATCAAGAATTGGTTTTTATTTCAAAAAGTTGAAACAACTCACTTCTCAAAGAAGCGATCATCGTTCAAATACGTAGCTGAAACATGTTCAATCGATGATTTCTCGTATTGAGTTTTGAGAAGATTTCGGAGAAAAATCTGGAATGAAATGTTTGAATTTCAATAGATCAGTGAGAAATTTGAAGTTTTCACAAGATTCCACTCACCCTCAAATACTTAATCTCCGGCTCTGATCCATAATAGTTAGCGATTTTCTTAATCGAATCGATTCCCATATCCCACGGGAGAAATTCGGTCTCTTTTTGGAGGTAATTCGTCAGATTGAATGGCACCTGAATTTCCCTTTTAAATTTTAAATTTCTTAAGGTTTATTAGAGCTAATTCTTGGCTTTCTATTTACCCGATAGTCGATCATTCCAGCCTCAGCGGCGGCAAAAGCGTCCGAGATGAGACGAGTCCGAGATTTCGTTGAATATACCTAAAGTTAGTGAATTGTTCTCCGAGTTTGTTAAAATCGAATATGCAATGAAAATCATTTCTTTTCGTTACCATTGGATTCTGAACGAGTTGCGTGATGATGTCATTCCAAAGCTCTCCATCGTAGTTCACTCGGTAGAAGCCCCGGGATTCGTAGTTGAGAATTGGGACCACATTTTTTGGCGCACCAAGGATCAGATTTGAATCTGAAGGTTTCGTTTTTGACTTTAGAAATCGTTGATTCAGTTTTTCGAGTAATTTTTGATGTTACTTACCGTAAATACTGTACTAGTACCCCACCCTCATAATGACGGTGCGAAGTGTTGCGTAGTCTAGCTTTGAACGAGGTTTTTCTCGATGCTGGTTTATGCTACAATGCGCGCTTAGGTATCAAAAAATAGCCCTGAATTTCAGCTATTTTTTGATACCAAAGACGCATTTTTTGAAAGTACGGGCGCTTTGAAAAAAATGAAATACTAAAAACCTTCTGCGACTACGCGACTGTACGAGGGGGATGGGGTACTATTACAGTATTTACGGTAAGCTTTTTTTTTGAGTTAAACTGACCTCTTGGTAGCCAGGCGAAATGAATTTGATTCTCGTCATCTCCACCCCGACTATACCAAACGGGAACATCCCATTGGAAACTAAAAATTGAGAATATTTTACGATAATTTCTCTAGTAAACTCTAGGGAATTACGTTAGCTTTTTTTGAGCACAAGACATGGGAAATTCGAGGCAAAATCGCGTGCGGAATCTTTCCGGTTAGCGAGGGTAGGGGTAACTTTTTTGGTCAACTTGCAACCCGATTTTATATAAATTTTTCTTAATAACTTTTGATAAAACAAATATTTTCTGAAAGCTAACGTTCTAAGCTATCTAAATCTTTTTAAAACTCTCTGTTCTGACAAGTGGAAGATGTCTAAAAATCAGCTGAAAGTAGGCCAAAAAAAACTACTTCCCTCCCCACTGGAAAGATCCTCGGCACCGTTTGGGGCGACAATATTTTGGCCAATAATTTTTGCATTGATTTACTTGTTTTTGCATTATATAGAGCATCTTATGGGCTATATTTTGACATGTAATAAATAGCAAAATCTCCTGTGGATGAACGAGAAAAATACGTTTGAACCGTCGCCTTGACCCGAGGAGGCTTTCTGGTCGTTGCGACGGGTCAAACGTTTTTATTTTGTTCAATTCAAAAAGACATTTAGCAGGATTATATGTCAAAATGTAGCCCATACAATGCTCTAAAATTAATGTGAAAATAATTAGAATAATAGCTTTTTTTGGTAAAAACTTTTGGCCAAAATATCGTCGCCCCGATTTTCCACCATTTAGCTCCGAAGCTCACCCGAATTCCGGTTTGCTGTACTTCTCTTGATCAAGTGCATTGCTTAATTTGAATCGTGATTGATCGATTCGAACCATTCGATCATTCTCACGCTTCATCGTCAACACTGGATAACCCATCTAAAAATGAAAAAAATTCGAAATTCTTGAAATCATTTACTTGCTCAGTCCACTGTTTCGCCAAATTCTTCACATTCAAACGTTTTCCATCAGGACCTGATACCGTAAGCTATATTTCTTTTTACACCTTAGCTACAGTACTCCTAAGGAGTTAAAGTCGGTGAAATAATCGGTTTTCAATCCAAATTCAATTCAACTTTCTCAACAAACCGATTGTCTTTGGTGTAACGAAGTCATTAAGTGCTTCAAAAAGATCACTCGCTTCCGCATTATCGTATGAGAATTTTTTCAAGTAACTCTAAAAAAAACAAAGGTTTTCTAAAGAAATTAATGAAACCTTGATTGCTGAATCAAAAACTGAAGCTCCTAATGTGTTTCGAATCATTGAGATGACGGATGAACCCTAGAATTTGATATAAATTCATTGACAACTTTCTATTGGATTGGTGAATTGAAAACTGCGGGACTTTGAACTAAAATTTATTCAACATAAAACCATCAATTCATTCCAAATAATTTCCATTATTATTGACGACTTCTGCCCATTTTACAGGCAATTTGCGGATTCTTCTTTCGTAGTAGGATTTTGGTTTGTGTGTGAGACAAGTGTGAGACTCAAAAATGGAGGACTGGAGATGTCCCTAGAGGACGTTTGAGCACTTTCTTCAAAAGAAACCCATTTTGGTGTCAATAGAAAAGTTGTAGAGAATCAAAAATCAGACTTATATCCAAATTTCCAAAAAGATACACTTAGTAGTTTCGCTTAAAATGCAAGTTTTGTGAAACATCCGTAAATTTCCCATTTCTTGAAAAACAGTTTTTGAATCGTTCTGAAAATTTGGATATAAGCTTGATTTTTGATTCTCTACAACTTTTCCATTGACACCAAAATGGATTTCTTTTGTAGAAAGTGCTCAAACTGTCACATATGACAATAGCCGGCAATTTTTCAATTCACCAACCCATTCTAGATTCAAAAAATTTGTTTAGATTTGAATTTTATCGATTATAGCTTATAGATTTGAATCTAAACATGAATTTTTGATATTTAATTCCTTTTTCAATCACCTTTTCATACGTGATCCCATCAAAAGCTTCCTCAACTTCGGAGGCTCGATCGATTTTGAATGAAAGTGGATGTGAGGTGGGTAAAGCATCCTCACGAAACGCTGACTCTTGACCATCCATCAAAAAAGTCTCATTCTAAAGTTTGTTTTAATGAAAGACTATCTCTTCAAAAAAACAAACCATTCTGAATTTCCCATCGCTGATGAAATCGGTGCCTAGATACTCGACAAATGCCGCAAAACCCTCATTCAGCCACAAGTCTGACCACCATTTCATTGTCACCAAATTGCCAAACCACTAAAGTGACTTTTCATTATGACAGAAAATTTAGTAATGTTACCTGATGAGCTAACTCATGAGCCACAACAACAGCCACACGTTGCTTTTGCTCAGGTTTGTAGAGAGATGCATCATAGAGTAGAGAGTTTTCTCTAGATGAGTCACTCATCGACAGATTTTCAAGATACGGTAACGTAGTAAGTAAAGCTTTTAGATGCTACAAATGTCCTCTACAAATGCCTCTACAATACTCTAATACTTTTACTCTTTTACTGTTTTCATTTTTTTTCTCACCGATATGTGATGAGTCCCCAGTTCTCCATTGCACCAGCCGCGAAATCGGGAAGAGCTACCATGTCTGAATGTTTTTAAGTTCATCTAGCTTCATGAAATGCAAAATTTAGATCAAAATTTTCATTGCCATTAATCTAAACGTTCAAAAAACAGAAGAAAAAGAACTTGCTAACGAAAAGAAGGCAAAGCACATCGATTACACCCCTGTGTAAATTTTTTTTTTCTTTAAATCAAAAATCCGAACACTACAAATTTTAAGTTAGGCCCAAAAATGAACGGAAAAATAAAATGATCCGAAAAGCATCATCCAAAATTTCAGAATTAAAGGCGGCGACTTTGATGTTAGTGAAATTTCATATTTCATCGAACCATAAAGTGTTATATGTCATTCAATAGCTCTTTTCACGCTCTTTTAGAATACTGAATTGAGTTTTTGTGGAATTCTATTTTCCCATGAAATTTTTTTTGAATATTCTGCGCCGAAAAGTCAAAATAATTTTTTTTCACGAAAATCTAGCTGATAAACTAGGCTCAAAAAGCAAATTTCCGAATTCCACGCAAAAAGTTAGTCGGGAATTTTTTTAAAATTTTGTTTTTTGGTCAATGGAAACGCGAGCTCTGAAACCTAGGTTTTTTAGAAGTGCGCGGTTATATGGCCCGCGCGCACCTTTGATGTTGGTAAAATTTTTCTTTTGTGTCAAATCATCAAGTGTTATATATCATTCGAAAGCATTTTTATGTGTTTAAACATGGCGGAAAGAATTTCCCATAAAATTTGACTTTTTATTAGTTTTCTCCGATTTTATAATCTGGAATGCAGTTTTTTTCTGGTTCTGCGGTACTTGCAGATCTGGTATAGTCTAGAAAAAATTTATTCTATTTATAAGCATGAATTAGACAAGAAAAAGAATCACAATTGAACATTAAGCAAAAAGGAGGAAATTAAGATGTCATATTTCCATCATCATTGAGGAGAACAACATAACCGAGCCACTTGAGCGAGCTCATTAGTCGCTCTTCTGGTGGTCCTCTCTTGTTTCGAGCAAATTCAGATTCTAGCCTGCTGTGAACTGCCTCAATGCCCTCTTCGGATGCATTTCCGATGAATTTATGCTCATGGACAAATGGGCCAAGATGGAAGAGTAGAGCATGGACCAGTACACTTTGTCCAAAACCACCAACTTTTTTCTAGTTCATCGCAAAGAATCGCTGTTTGGCAGCAGTTTCTGCTTTTGAATGTTTGCCTTTGCAAGCCAAATCTTTTATTTCTTTATCCGAAAGAACACTTTTAGTGGTTGAAACCATTTGAGACCATTTGTTGAACTCACGTAATACAGAAATGACTACTTGATAGGAACGGGAGGAAGAAACGACTGCGAAATCCGGAAATCACTGAGGATCGACAGAGATTCTTTCTATCGTTTCCGTTGAAACGAGCATAGATAATCCCATCACTCTTCCGATTCACATCCAATTTCCATTTTCGACAAACATCTTGGAAAGTCTGAGAGGACCCTTCGAGTTTCATCAATTGTTCAAAAAGTTGGTTTCCAATCTTGATTTTTGCATGAAGTATTGGGGAATTACCAAACTTCAAGAAACATTTAATAGATTTTCTTTTTTGCCTGCAGACCTTTTACTTTTTGAAATCATCGCTTCCACCGAAGGGTCACCCGATCAGCATATTGTTGAAAATCAATTGAATCCTTATCAGCGGATGGTTTTTTGTCAAACCTCTTGTTGCACCATAAACATCCAAACATCATCGCACAGGAAAGACCAAAATTGGTGTTCAAGAAAGATAGATCTCCACCGAGAAAAACCATATATCCGGCTTGCACCAAAGTCTCAAAGTTTTTCCAAATCCTCTTTTCCTTCAGCGAGTCGTAGGAATCTGAACCTTCCCAAACTTGTAATGGAAGACACTTGCGAGACGAGCACGATTTTTCGCAGATTAGGAATGAAATGGATGAAATAACTCGACCTTTTCAACAGCTTTCAACATAGCTTCCAATCTTACTCCTTCTTGAGAACTATTTCATATCTGACAAACTGGTCCAGAGTCTTCTTGGCCTTTTCGATAGTTTGCTGTGAGCCAATGGTTATCCCTTGGTTTGACTGAAGAAAATGGTTTACAGATAATAGTCCTTTATTTGATAGATTGGCACTTTTTTTTCATACCGAGCAGAGCTTCTGGAGTTGGAGGAGTCGGTGATTTGGTTGGAAGATGTGAGGTTGAAGCAACAGAATCATTATCTGTTGGCTTTGCTTTTGCCACATAGACGGGTTTTGACGATTTTGCTCGGCTCTTTTCATTATTTTTCAGAATCCTTGCCTCCAGTGCTCCTTTCAAATGTGCTTTCCTGTCGAATTCTTTTTTTTTTTGATTGTCTGCGGATCGCGATGAGCTTTCTTCTTTTGATTGCACAGGATTTGCAAGAACTTTCCCACTTCGTAATCCGTGCATGTTGTTTTGATTCGTTTGGCGTCCATGTTCCAAGTTGGCACTTCTAGACTTTTTGGCTTCTGATGTTCGTCCCATCTGCAAATTATAACTTTTGTTTTGAAAGTGTAGGAAATACGAATGTAATAAGAAAAATAATAATAAGCTAATAATCAAAAAATAAATAATCGGGAAGCAAAATTGTCTGTAACTAAATGATTTTCTCCTGCGATTGACATTTATAACTTTATCATCTGTCATGCCTTTGGCATAGTAATTTATCGAGTAATTGTCAAGGCAGTCTGTATTTGTCTGTGCACCTGGGTTGCCTACCCGAGATTGACAAATACTCTCAATTTCAACTTTCCTGGAACTCTTTCTTCAAAAAAAATTGCGTTTTTCACTTTTTTTAGAATAAATTTTTTCTAGACTATACCAGATCTGCAAGTACCGCAGAACCAGAAAAAACTGCATTCAGATTATAAAATCGGAGAAAACTAATAAAAGTCAAATTTTATGGGAAATTCTTTCCGCCATGTTTAAACACATAAAAATGCTTTCGAATGATATATAACACTTGATGATTTGACACAAAAGAAAAATTTTACCAACATCAAAGGTGCGCGCGGGCCATATAACCGCGCACTTCTAAAAAACCTAGGTTTCAGAGCTCGCGTTTCCATTGACCAAAAAACAAAATTTTAAAAAAATTCCCGACTAACTTTTTGCGTGGAATTCGGAAATTTGCTTTTTGAGCCTAGTTTATCAGCTAGATTTTCGTGAAAAAAAATTATTTTGACTTTTCGGCGCAGAATATTCAAAAAAAATTTCATGGGAAAATAGAATTCCACAAAAACTCAATTCAGTATTCTAAAAGAGCGTGATAAGAGGTATTGAATGACATATAACTATTGAATTATAGCTATTGAATTATAGCTATATAGCATATAGCTATTGGATGACATGGTTCGATGGTTTATAGTTCGATGAAATATGAAAGTTCACTAACATCAAAGTCGCCGCCTTTAATTCTGAAATTTTGGATGATGCTTTTCGGATCATTTTATTTTTCCGTTCATTTTTGGGCCTAACTTAAAATTTGTAGTGTTCGGATTTTTGATTTAAAGACGATTATTTTTGTAACCTATGTGCAAAGTCTACTGCTTTACGAACTCTACTGCTTTACGAACTCTACTGCTTTACGAACTCTACTGCTTTACGAAGTCTACTGCTTTACGAAGTCTACTGCTTTATGAAATCTACTGCTTTACGAACTCGACTGCTTTACGAAGTCTACTGCTACTGCTTTTGCTTCTTGGCACCAATTGTTTTGAAGTTTTGAAGATAATGAGTTTTTTTGAACTCATACTCAGCTACTTTTCATTGTTACCTTGCTTTTCAAGCGGAAATGGTATTCCATAGAATTCCTCATAATGCTCAATGCATTTGATTCCCGCCTCAAGTGCGTACTTCGTCTCATCCTTTGCCTCAGGTCTTGACCAAACACGGAACTAAAAATCGTCTTATACTAAACTTTACTAAACTTTGCTACTGTTTACTACAATTTTTCTACTATATTATATGTTCTAAAGTCGAAAATCAACAATTCCAAGTACCCACCCGAGTTCCCGATTTCGTTTGCCCTTCATTGTACTCGAATTCGGAAATGATCGCCGCCAAGAGATACGACGACATTTTTGGAGTCGATTTGAACTTTGACTCGATCCATTGATCGTCCAAACTGAAATAAAGGCTCTGAAGAATGTTATGAAAATGATTTGACTATCAAAATAAGGTAAAGTTTCAATTTCTCACTCACTTGATGATCGTTTCCTCGAGACTGTTCGCGAGGGCGCTCGTTCCTTTTGGGTGAACGATTGTCACCGTCCAGTTAGCCTAAGAAATTGTTTTTTAACGATGCAATACAATAAAAACACTCGTTAGCCGGATTCCTTCACAAAATTTATGAAACTAAGTTTTTGAATCAACTTTTCAACTTAATCATCATCCGTTATCAATTAAACGCTTTTATTTCAAAGATTTCTCATCATTATTGCCTTTTATAGTATAAACTCTATATCATAACTTTAAGAAACTCAAAGTAATGTTGTTTTCTAAAGTATAACTCTGAAAAAATGTAAAAAAAGAAAAAACCAAAAGATCATTCCGTTGCCGGGAATCGAACCCGGGCCTTATGGGTGAGAGCCATAAATCCTAACCACTAGACCACAACGGACATGTTGGCCGAACTGTCATTTGCCTCTTAAAAAGATCCCCAAGTCGATTAGCTTTTGATAAGACAAACTGACAGTTCTCGATAAAACCAAGCGCCGCGTTTTTTTGCGCCAAATTTACGCTTATCAAAAACCACTGTAACAAATCATCTTTTTCTCAACTTTTTTCCAGTTTTCTGCTTCACAATTTTATTTCTCACCGTTTTCAATTAAAAAAAAACATTTAAATACCCATAAAGACCCAAAAAAAGTCATTTTTAAGCCTCCGATTGGGCCTTTTACTCTTTAAATCAATCTTATACCATTTACATATCCAGTGAAGGCGGCAAAATAGCAAGCAATGAGGAAAAACTGCGAAAAAATATCAAGGGTCAATCAGATAGGAAAGTGATAGGAAAGTGTGTTGAAAAGGGCAAATAATTTAGCGCCTTTTTGCTGCCCAAAACCAGAAACTCCGTACCCATTATCAGACATCAAACATTACCATTAAAACATAAACATCAAAAACATTCTTCAAGAAACATTAATTAGTGTTCAACCTTGAAAGTCGGTTCATCAAAGCATGAATTAACTAATTTAGCGCCTTTTTGCTGCCCAAAACCAGAAACTCCGTACCAATTATCAGACATAGAACATTACCACTAAAACATACCGTATTTACTCTATTAGTGGGGTCCTCTCTAATAGTGGGGTCCTCTCTAATAGTGGGGTCGTCTGGAGGGGGGTTGAAAAAATAGTGGGGTCCTCTCTAATATTGGTAACGAAAGTGATACATCAATTGTTGATCTCTTGGATTAGTTCTTTTACTGTTTGTTATGTTTTGTTACGGTTAAGCTAAATAAAATTGAAGCCAAACTTGTTTTTTCAAGAATTTCGGAGAAAAATTGATATCTTTTCAACTTAAAACTTTGGTTTTATGTTCTTTTAAATTTCTCTAATAGTGGGGTCGTCTGGAAGGGGATTGAAAAAATAGTGGGGGACCCCACTAATAGAGTAAATACGGTAAACATTAAAAACATATTCAATAAACATAAACTAGTGCTCAACCTTGAAAGCCGGTTCATCAAAGCATGGCACCATTCTCCTGGCATCTGTTGGCTCCATTTGTGTTGTGGCGATGATTCTAAAGCATTGAATAATTTATTCGAAATGTGCAATCACACACTTTCTAATGCACGGAATCAAACCTTAGTGATGGGATTTTGAATTGAGTTCAAGTTTGAGTTCAAATTGAATACAAAACGAACTTTTCGACGCCATCCGTGTGCTTGTAACGACTTTGATACAATCCGCCCAGTGAATTGTCGATTGGACCCGTGTAGATTAGCTAAATTTCCATCAAATTTCATCAAATCTCATCAAAATTAAAGAATTTTCGAGTAGTTTCTCAATCTGGCCATCAATTTACCGTCAAAACAACGTTGCTGCCGATTTCTAGCACTTTTCCCAATTGAATCGTCACCATTTCCAGCTCGTCGTCGACTTTTGTCGAGACCACATTGATTGGGGCATTGTTCTGAATTCGTTTTGTTTCTTTGTGTTTTCTTTTTTTTTCCTGACCATTGTCACAAAAACATCTGTTATATTCAATTTTTTTATGTTGAGAACAATTCGTGGTGCTGGGAGAAGCACGGATATCCGTGTGACAAGTGTCGCCTCGAAGGTGAGATTCTTCTCAGCTGCGATCTCGGCTCCATAGCCGGGTAGGTAAACCTGAAAGATGAAATGTTGTTGATCGCTAGCAGATCGCTGAAATAGGATTGCTAGCAAAAAAGCTTACAATTAGAGGGTGTTCCTTTCGAGTAAGTAAATACTCGAGTAAAGCTTGCATGCGTAATTTTTACTCGATTAATCGACCCTTTTTTTGGTCGAATAACTACGAGTAATCCTCTTTACAATAGTAAATTGAATATCTTTAAATTTGAAAGGAATTTGTCGTCAAATCAGTTAAACAGCTGAATATCATGAAAAGGAGGCCTACATAAATCGGGGGTTAGGCTAGTTTCCGCAATTTTTTTGAGCAACTAGGTCGTTTGCGCAACTCACCAGAACTTTCTTCTAAGTGAATCAATCTTTATGATGTTGGTTTCATTTTGTAGATCTCAATAAGTGCAACAAAATGACACAAAAACCATAAAGATTGGCCGACTTAGAAAAAAGTTCTGGCCTGTCTCCATGGCCCTGTTGCGCAAAAAAAAATTGCCGAAATTAGCCTAACCCTAAAATCGGTGCTTGTAATTTTTTGCGCTATTGTTTTGCAATAATTTCCACTAAAAGTACTGTAATTTTTCCCGGGCTTAAGCTTTAAAAAAAAAAGGCATTACTCAAGAGGAAAACACTCTACTTACGACTACCATAATACCCTTAATATTATTATATAATTCTGCATTAGATTGTTTAATTTGTTTTTCTTTTTATCTAACTTCTCGATTTAATCGGATGTACAATTTAAATCATCGATCGATCGATCCGAAAACGGCAAATAAACTTTAAAGTTGCATGAAAAAGCAAAAATTTTAACCAAGATTTAAATCTAACACATTTTAAAGCGGAAATGTTTAGTTAACAGATTTTCATTAAGATTCCATTAAGAAGATTCCTTGCTCTAACTTCTTTTTCATTCCCCTCACCTTCATATTGAGATCATAGCTCTCCGGTTGGAGATCTTTCGGTAGTCGAAGTTTCTCAGCTGGTACTGAGGGTTCTTTATCGATGACGTCAACTAGATCCTTTTCCAAGCCACTAAAATCAATTTGTAATTAGAGATTTGTTTTGAAAAAAAAAAACCTTTAAAATATCATGCGAGACAACCACCACCAAAGAAAAATATGGGTACCTCAGAAAAAAAATAACTTACGGATCAACATCTCTCTTCACACGGATTCGGCTAGAAATCGTAGTGGAAAGATATTTTCAAATAGGAACTTTTAAAGAAAGAAAGATTGATTCTTTTTTAAGTCATTTCTTGAGTTTTAAAACTACCGTCAATACTGTAATTGTACCTCACCCGCATAACGACGGTGCGGAGTGTTGCGTAGTCTAGCTTTGAACGAGGTTTTTCTCGACACTGGTTTATGCTACAATGCGCGTTTAGTTATCAAAAAATAGCTGAAATTCAGAGCTATTTTTTTGTGAGCATTTATGAGCAAAGAGCATTGAAGTTTTCGAGCGGTTGCTTTAGAAAGCTCTTGATGTACGATGGCTACTTTGTTCCTAGCTGGAATTAGTTAATTTCGATTGAATTTTTCATTCTACATGTCTTTAGATTAGGGTTCGTTTTCCGGCTTTTATGCTGAGTCTCGCTAGTTTTTTTTTGTATATAAGCTATTACCGTAAATACTGTAATAGTACCCCAGCCCCATAATGACGGTGCGGAGTGTTGCGTAGTCTAGCTTTGAACGCGTTTTTCTCGACACTGGTTTATGCTACAATGCGCGCTTGGGTATCAAAAAATAGCCCTGAATTTCAGCTATTTTTTGATACCAAAGACGTATTTTTTGAAAGTACGGGCGCTTTGAAAAAACTTGAAAAAATGCGAATGCGGCTTTTGAAAAAAAATACTAAAAAACTTTTGCGACTACGCGACTGTACGAGGGGGGATGGGGTACGATTACAGTATTTACGGTATTTATCAATCAATTGAGTTAAAGAAATGCTTGATAAACCTTTTTTCTTTATCCATTTCTATATAAAAGCTTATTAACTTTACCAAAGAATTGACAAATTTAGTGACAATTTGTTTTTAATCCAGGTATGAATGAAAATAAATGAATTCAGGTTAGCTTTGCTATTGCTGGTTTTAAGCTCCTTTAAGTTAAATTTTATAAAAACAATTTCGAATAAATCTTACCTTGTCTCAAAAGTGTTTTTCGTGAAGAAATATGTGAGTAGAATGGCACAAAGAAGTGCGAGAGAAACAGCGAAAACGATGAAGAGAAGAGAACGGGGAGTCAGATTCAACTCACGGCGACAGCTCATCTTCATTTTCTCCTCATTTTCTCCTTTCATTCTGAATTGATTAAATGGATTAGATTAAAGAAATCAATCTAATTCTAGATCAATTTAGATATAGAAACAATTAAATTGGCAAGAAAGTTCTCGGAAAAAGTTTGCACAATGATTTCTCAAAAATCAATCCATCGATCCATCCTAGATTTTTTTAATAAACTTGGCTATATTTTAAAAAGTGTTTTTAGCAAAAAATTACAGTGGATTTCAGGGAAAATAAGAGATTTCTTTAGCTGAAGATAAGAGATTTCTTATCTTCAGCTTGATCACTTTTTAAGTGATCAGCTTTTAGACAAGCTTTTTATGGGTTAATGAATAGGCAATCGGTTCTTTTTCGCATATCTTTACAGAAAAATATTCAGTAAATTCAGAAATTAAATTCGAATTAATTAGCGAAAAAAAATTTCATTTCTTTATATAGAGTTTCGTTATAGAGATCGATTGTATTGTGAGTGACAGGATTTCTTTTGAAAGTATGACAAATGATGCTCGAAACATTCTCAGAATACAACTTTATAGCCTATTGTCGTCGTACTAAAGCATTAATGAAAAGAAAATACTTTTTTTTTAGGTTTATAAACAAAAGCTCTAACGTTCTACAGTTCTACATTACTCAGAGTGGAACGAAAGATTACTATTTTTCACTTAAATCTTTCTCTTTTTATTCAACTAGTGAAATCGTAGCTTTAAAATTTGACTTAAAGCTTTAAAGCAGCCATCAACAAAGCCTTAAAGCCTTGAGAAAGCTTTAAAAGATGATTTAAAGCCTTAAAGTAGCCATCAACAAAGCCTTAAAGCCTTGAGAAAGCTTTAAAAGATGATTTAAAGCCTTAAAGTAGCCATCAACAAAGCCTTAAAGCCTTGAGAAAGCTTTAAAAGATGATTTAAAGCCTTAAAGTAGCCATCAACAAAGCCTTAAAGCCAAGAGAAAGCTTTAAAAGATGATTTAAAGCCTTAAAGTAGCCATCAACAAAGCCTTAAAGCCAAGAGAAAGCTTTAAAAGATGATTTAAAACGATTTAAAGCCTTAAAGAAGCTTTAAAAAAGCCTTCCAGCCTTAAGAAAGCTTTAAAAGATGCTTTAAAGCCTTAAAGCAGCCATCAACAAAGCCTTAAAGCCAAGAGAAAACAAAATTTAAACAAAAAAAATAAAAGTAATGCTTGTTTTTAAGAGACTAATAGTAGCGATTTATTACAAAATTTCTCAAAATAAATCTTTCACCCTTTGACATTTCCTGATAATGTGAGCAAATAAACGAGGAAGAAATGAGGGATTAAAAGAAATCAAAAACATTTTCACCTAAATGACTAGAATTCCTAGATTTTCACCTAAATGACGCTTAACTTTATGATAGAAATTTGAAAAATTTTCAAAAAACACCTTTGCATGGAATTTTAATGAGGAAAAAAAATCTATTTTTGAGGTTTTTCTTTCTGTCTTTTCTGTCATAAACAATTTTAAGCTGGATTACAAAATGGGAAAACATTGATAGATTCGGGGAAATGAAATTGTAATATTTGAAATATTTGATGAAATTGTAACATCAACATATTGATATGCTTGCAAATTGGATTTGGAGCACTTTGTGCTCTGAATTATCTAAACAATCCCTGTTTAGCGCAACGTTTTCCTTATTTTATTGCTTTTCATTGTAAGAAAACGATGAAGACCGTTTAGGAAAGAGTGTGTTTAGGAAGCTGAAAGCACAAAGTACGAGAGAACAAATCTATTATAATTTCAAGACTATGCTATTTTGAGTAGAATAATGAATTAGACATGGTTCGGATCAGGATCGATCTAATAGATCTGATCCAATAGCTCCGACCGATCAGATCTAATAGCTCCGACCGATCCGATAGGTCCAACCGATCCGATCCAATCGACCCGACCGATCCGGCTAGCTCGATCCGATCCGATATGACCAATCGGGTTTCCAGATTAAATTAACATTTTACATTTACTATTTACAAAATACAAGCTAAAGCTCTTTCTATTTTGCGCTGCTTTTCTGTTAACGAAAACCGTGTTTTCTATTTTGCAATCAAGCACGCAAATTACTGCGCGATATTTGTCCGCCCGAACGACAAAAACATTTGTATCTTGCTTGTCATTCTTAATCCATGACTTATTTGCTTTTCTTTTTAACTTGTAAGAGTTTTAATTGAATTTTTCTAGAATAGGCGGCGATGGTTGAGTTTATAAATTGATCTATCGGATCTATCGGCTTTGAATCAATTAAACATTAATCAATTTGAGATCTGAACGAGAAACTGGAGTTTTGTCGCAGCTCTAAGTAGAGATAACACATCGGACTGATCGAGCTAGGCTGATCGGATCGATCCGTCCGATCGATCGAGCTAGGCTGATCGGATCGATCCGTCCGATCGATCGGGCTAGGCTGATCGGATCGATCCGTCCGATCGATCGAGCTAGGCTGATCGGATCGATCCGTCCGATCGATCGGGCTAGGCTGATCGGATCGATCCGTCCGATCGATCGGGCTAGGCTGATCGGATCGATCCGTCCGATCGATCGGGCTAGGCTGATCGGATCGATCCGTCCGATCGATCGGGCTAGGCTGATCGGATCGATCCGTCCGATCCGATCGGATCGGATCAGCCTAGCCCGATTCGAGTCGATCTGATTTTGCAAAAGAAACGTTTCTATAATGAACTTGTTGAAATGAGAACTGTTATTTGATCAAAAAAAGGTGATAAATGAGAATAGTAAGTGAGAGAAACGTTTGTATCCTCTTTCATTCGTCGTTTCAGGGATCAGTCTGATTATTCTTTTCTCTCGAAAAAATTCTCCTAAAAATATTTGATTTGATGGGGAGATTTTGACCAAAAATCATATGTCGAATTTCGAAATTTTTCAATTTAAAGAGTTTTGACAAAAAAAGTGATTCTCTGTCAAATGATTTAGTCACTTTAAAGCTTTAAAACTTTAAAATTTAAAACGAAAAAGTTTTTGGAAAAGGCGTTTGTTTTTTTTTTTGTTTAAAAGACAAAACAAAATTTGAGAAAAGAAAGAAAAGAAAGTGATTTTTGAAAAGTTTTCAAATGAAAGAGATTCAAAAGAGATTTTTCTTAAAGTCTCAAAGTCAACGACCTCTCTTTTTCTTTCTTTTTCTCTTTTTCCCTTTTGAAGAAGCTTGTTTTAACCATTTCATGATAGCTTTTTGCCTTTTTGAGTCAATTTCTCACCATCTCTCAGAAAAAGAAAAAGAAAAAGAAAAGAAAAAGAAAAAGAAAAAGAAAAAGAAAACGGAGCTGAGGAAATCAACAAAAAAAGAAAAGGGAAATGAGACGAGGGTCTTAAAGGGTCACGACTAACAATTCGCACAACAAAGGAAAAGGGAAAAGCTTGAGTGAACGGACAAAATGACCAGATTAGTTTAATCCATCTAAAATCTCTTGCTTTAAGTAAATATCTTGAATAACATAGAATTGTAGGATTGGATTCAATTGTAGGATTCAATTTCAAAGTGAGATTAGATAAATGGAATAGTTTTTGATGGATTTCCAAAGTGTTTGATGAATTACGAGAAAAGAGAAAAAGTATCACAAGAAAGTAAGAAAGAGAAAAGTATCTCAGAGAAAGTATCACAAGATTCAACTCTAGATAATGGGAATTTTCGTTTAACAGAATTGCATTACTTTAAAAAGATTGTTTAAATCAACAAAAACTATGAAAAGTTTCAGAATAAATTTAAAAAACGGTTCGATCCGATAGCTCCGACCGATCAGATCCGATAGCTCCGACCGATCAGATCCAATAGCTCCGACCGATCAGGTCCAATAGCTCCGACCGATCAGATCCAATAGCTCCGCCCGATCAGGTCCAATAGCTCCGACCGATCAGATCCAATAGCTCCGCCCGATCAGGTCCAATAGCTCCGACCGATCAGGTCCAATAGCTCCGACCGATCAGGTCCAATAGCTCCGACCGATCAGATCCAATAGAATCCGATAGATCTGACCAATCCGATAGATCCGACCAATCCGATAGATCCGACCGATCAGATCCAATAGATCCGACCAATCCGATCCGATAGATAAGCAATTATGTAATTGTGCATTTTTAAAGGTTTATTTTCAATTTTAAAGCTTATTTTGAAGCGAATTTTGAAGCTTATTTTGAAAAACCTTTTTAAAGTCTACTCATTCATTGTCTAAAAAGAGTCAAAGCCAGACAAGAAGATTAAATAAAATAAAGCCTCAAATAATGGCTCAAATTTCTGAGAGATTCTCTTTTATATCTCTTTCTTTCTTTCTTTTTTTTCTTGCGCACTCTTCCTTTTATGACTGTAATTAATAAAAATCCCCACTCCAGGACACAAATTGGCTGCGCCAGAAAGGAAAAAACCCGTTTTTCCTGATTTCGAACATTTTGTGGAGAAGATTAAAGCTGAATGGCGTTTGATCGAGTGAATCAATCTCGAACTTAATCTCAAAATCAAGGATTTCAATTAGAGAGCACTTCTATAGGACAAATTTAGCTCATTTTTGCGTGTCTAACTCATTTTTGCACCAAAGTGATGCATCGGCTTTCCAATCTGGATGTCACACTGTCAGATTCAAACATTTTCGCACACTCACTTGACAACTTTGATGCACAGTCAAGCGAGTCAAGTTAAAGCCAGTAAAGCTAGTCAAGCGAGTCAAATTAAAATCATTAATAGCTTGTTGATAGCTTGCTGAATAAAAAAAGCTCAATATAGAGTTTGACAACTAAAAATAGGCCGGATTAGCTAGAATTCTAGAACATAGATTGAAAGATTTGATTACTCATTGTTAGCTTATTCAAAATTTGTACAATTTCAAAGAATTGGAAGAATTGAAAGGATTGAAAGGATTGAAAAATGCTTAATTGAAAGGAAAACTATTTGGTTGAGGAAAAAGGAATGTCGCTTTTTGAAGTCCCGTTGTTTGGCAATTTTCCAGTTCTTTGCACACTCACTTGGCAACTTTAATGCACAGTCAAGCGAGTCAAATTAAAGTCATTAATAGCTTGCTGAATAAAAAAAGCTCAATCTAGAGTTTGACAACTAAAAATAGGCCGGATTAGCTAGAATTCTAGAACGTAGATTGAAAGATTTGATTACTCATTGTTAGCTTATTCAAAATTTGAACAATTTCAAGGAATGAAAGAATTGAAAAATGCTTAATTGAAAGGAAAACTATTAGGTTGAGGAAAAAGTAATGTCGCTTTTTGAATTCCCGTTCTTTGGCAATTTTCCAGTTCGTTGCTGATGCGATTTGTTCATCAGACACTCTATACTTTCATATTATATTTGATTTTTACAAATTTAACAATTATTTCAGGTAAAAAATGCAAGACGAAAAGTTTCGACTTCGAGCCGCTTTGTGATATGGTTTTAAACAAGGGGAAACACTTTGTTAAAAATCATACCACATCAGTCCGCACCCGGCCTCATCAGATTATTTTTTGTTTCGGTCGTTGAAGAGTTTCCTTATGGGAGAAAAGTTCGAGAATCATGCACAGAACAAAAAAAAGCAGTTGGCACTTATTTTGGCTCGAAAACTTCACATTTTTTTGAGGATGGGATCGGGGACTTGCGAATTGAGAATTGAGAATTGCGAATTGCGAATTGCGAATTGTGAATTGCGGATTGCGAATGACGAATTGTGAATTGCGGATTGCTAATGGCGAATTGTGAATTGCGAATTGAGAATTACGATTGCGAATTGCGAATTACGAATTGCGAATTGCGAATGGCGAATTGTGAATTACGAATCGAATTACGTATTACGAATTGCGAATTGCGAATTGAGAATTGCGAATTGCGAATTGCGAATTGCGAATTGCGAATTGCGAATTGTGAATGGCGAATTGTGAATTACGAATTGCGAATTGCGAATTGCGAATTGCGAATTGCTAATTACGAATTGCGAAAGATGGGAACAAGTCAATAATAATGGAGGATCTCTCATTGATTGATGTGCGTTTGTTTATGTTTTTAGCAATAAACAGTTTTGTGACAAAAGGCGACATTACTTTTTGCTCAACCAAATACCTAAAAAGCATTGCTGATTGAAAACTTTTTAAATGGTTTGGGAAAGAAAAAAAGGAAAACATGAAAACATGAAAACATGAAAGCATGAAAAACTCTCGAACTCTCGAAGAAGCCTATGAATGTGCGATGAATCTACGATGAATGTACTCTGCAATTCTCTAAAATCATTCAAAAAACGTTTATCAAGACATAAAAAAAGGGAAAATAAAGAGAAAAATTGAGAATTCGGCAAAAAAAGATTGAAAATTCAATCGGAAACATCTGGATTTATTTGAAAGAAAAAGGGATCATTTGATTGAAAAATCCGGTCGAAATCTTTAAAGAAAAGAAAAGAAAAGAAAAAAAGATATGGCTCAAACAGAAATGGCATATGAAAATTGTTGAGAAACTGCGTAGGATTAGTAAAAAAAGCTTAAAAAGCTTTAAAAAAGCTTAAAAAGCTTTAAAAGCTTTAAAAAAGCTTTAAAAAGCTTAAAAAAAGCTTAAAAAGCTTAAAAAAAGCCTAAAAAACCTTAAAAAGCTTTAAAAAAGCTTAAAAAAGCTTTAAAAAAGCTTAAAAGCTTTAAAAAGCTTTAAAAAGCTTTAAAAAGCTTTAAAAAGCTTAAAGAAAGTATAAAAAAAGCCTAAAAAACCTTAAAAAGCTTTAAAAAATGCCTTTTAACAAGAATGAGAAAAACGGCTGTAAAAATGATATGTTTTAATCACAGAAACACAAGAAAAATCGTTAACCGGGCATTCAATGAAAGGCAATTTTGTGGTGGGTTACTAAAGAAAAACATCTTAAACCGGCTTAAAGCTTAAAAAAAAAGTTTTTAAACCGGGATTTTCTGTAACCGAAGAGAAATTTTGGTCTTTTCTTGAATCAGGGATATTTCCTACCGTAAATCCTGTAATAGTACCGCACCTGGATGATGACGGTGCGGAGTGTTGCGTAGTCTAGCTTTGAACGAGGTTTTTCTCGATGCTGGTTTATGCTACAATGCGCGCTTTGGTATCAAAAAATAGCCCTGAATTCCAGCTATTTTTTGATACTAAAGACACATCTTTTGAAAGTACGGATGCTTTGAAAAAAAATGAAATACTAAAAAACTTTTGCGACTACGCGGCTGTACGAGGGCGGTGGGGTACTAGTATAGTATTTACGGTAGCTAAATCTAAATCTAATACAGTATTTACGGTATTTATCAATCAATTGAGTTAAAGAAATGATTGATAAACCTTTTTTCTTTATCCATTTCTACATAAAAAGCCTATTAACGTCGAGAAAAACGCGTTCAAAGCTAGACTACGCAACGCTCCGCACCGTCATTATGGGCGGTGGGGTACTATTACAGTATTAACGGTATGTTTCTAAATTTCTTCACTATATGTACAAAGAAAATGTGAGTTGGAGGAATGGGGAAAAAAAGGAATTTGAATGTTCTTTATACTCAGAAAAACGTGAACGCACGATTTTTGACGTACTGAAACTGGAAAAGAGATGATTTCAGTGCACTGTTCAATTGAAACTGGAAAACGGTGCGCTCTTTCAGTCAACGATTCTCCATTTCCGAATTTAAAGAACACTTTGAGCTTCAGATGAATTTTCGCTTTTTCGAATATTCAATTGAACATTTTAAACTGTAACTGAGGAAAATTTGTTGCAATTTCAGATTCTCCATGTTTTTTTTTTACTATAAACTTCCAGCTCCATCAAAATGGAGTTGTCGTGGATGAGTGAGCGTCTCAATCTTGCAATCCGCCCATGCCACACCGGCGCCAGCTCTAGAAATTTAAAACAATAAGATTCCATTAGGTTTTGGTTATTTGTTTTTTATGATATGAAGTTGAGTACTAAATTTTGCACTCTTCATTTCATTATAAGGGGCCCTCATGGTGTATTGGTTAAGTTCTCACTTCCAAACTGAGGGTGTGGGGTTCGGCCCCCCTAGGGTTCTCTTCCCTAGCCCGTGCGCCCAGACTAGAGGTCTCTTCTCTAGAGCTGACTAGAGATCCCTTCTCTAGCGGAGTTCACTCTTCCACTGGGTTGGCCCATTCATGGCCTGAGGTTATTAAAGCAAGAAGCCTATCTTCTATCTATCTTCTTTTCTCCCCGCCTCCACATCGCCGAGTAAAATATCTCATCTTTCTCTATGTATTTATGTGTAGATTTGTGTATTGTCTGACTGATTACGCTTTATTTCATGTCCTGAATAAAGCATGAATATATATTATCTAAATGAAGTCTCTTTCATTATCTAAATGAGTCTTAAATTACCAAAAAAAGAAATTACCAAAGCAATTTCTTTTAAAACTTTATTTCATTTGATAGCTAGAGATTTGAGAAATAGAAAGATGAATTTCGGTGAGAAACTTAGTTTGATTGAGAACTTAGTACTCAATCTGTTAGTTTCCCCAAAAATCACCTGCACTCTTTGATATTCGCGACGAGAGTCCACGAATTTGTCGACGGATCATAAGTCTCCACCGAGTCCAGGTAGTAATGCTAAATGGGAAAGAAGGCTTTCAATCAAGACCGTAATGTTTAGTGTTTCATTTTTGAAACATCTGCATATCTAAAAGATGTCACTTTTCTGCACAAAACTCACCCCATCATGGCCGCCAATCGCGTAGACAAGACCGGCCATCGCCGCCACACCGACACCACCTAAGCATTTTTCTTGTTGTTGCAAATTGTTATTGTAGGTACAGTCTCCCCGTATTTTCCCGTATTTTCCCTAATAGTAGTACACCAAAAAGCGTTGCTGAAATTGCTTGAAATCTCGAGAATCGCTTATCAGAACCTGATGGAGTCTCATGCTGAGATCTCATGCTGATGATCAGGGCTGTTTCTAGGGCCGATTTTCTAGGCCAAGCTAGGCTTTGGCTTAGCTTTGGCTTTTTGGAAAAATCCAGCTAAAGATTTGCTAGAAAACTAGATGAAATGCAGTGGAGTGATCTCATGCTGATGATCAGAGCCTGATGATGTTTCTAGGACCGATTTTCTAGGCCAAGCTAGGCTTTGGCTTTTTGGAACAACCCAGCTAAAGATTTGCATTCAACTATTGTTTTGCCTTGATTGCATTGCTTGCATTGCTTGCATTGCTTGCATTGCTTGCATTGCTTGCATTGCTTGCATTGCTTACATTGCTTGCATTGCTTGCATTGCTTGCATTGCTTGCATTGCTTGCATTGCTTGCATTGCTTGCATTGCATTGCTTGCATTGCTTGCATTGCTTGCTTGCATTGCTTGCATTGCTTGCATTGCTTGCATTGCTTGCATTGCTTGCATTGCTTGCATTGCTTGCATTGCTTGCATTGCTTGCATTGCTTGCATTGCTTGCATTGCTTGCATTGCTTGCATTGCTTGCATTTGCTTAGCTTCAGCTGTCAAATCTGAAATTCTGGTGAGATCATCTCAGAATCAACAAGTTTACCATCAAAGCTGCCTACATCGGATCTTAATATTTCTGGATTTTCTTGAATTTCTGTATTTACCGTATTTTCCCTAATAGTAGTACACCCAAAAGCGTTGCTGAAATTGCTTGAAATCTCGAGAATCGCTTATCAAAACCTATTGATGTAGGATGAGAAAATGTAGCTGATGAGATCTTGTGGAGATGAGGATTCGAGTGTTGAGTTTCTTTTAAAAACTTGGAAACCGTAAAATAGTCATTAACTCGGCTGGGCTGAGAAAATACGATAATTAACTCGAAAAATTTTGATCTTAAAATCTAAATCCTAGGTTCTCAAGCCTTGATATATAACAGGTTTTTCTTAGGTCAAATTCATTGCTTCAAAGCACTTTTTGGTTGGTTCTAACTAGTAAAATTTTCTCCATCTTTCACAATGATATAATAAAATTTTTATACACGTTTACTTATTGTCTCCGATTGACCAATCAGAAATTGCTACATCAGGGGAAATGGGCAATGAATGGGCAAGAGCAACTGAACAAATATAGACTCATTATTTCAAATCCCCCATTAGGAATAGCCAAAGTCAACCAAAGCTAAAGTCAAAGCCACAAACCATTTCCCTGTCATACCTATTACAATGAGGATTTTTCTGGTGAGTTTCTTTTCATTTCCTTTTCTTATGAATCCAGATGTTCTTTGCTTTGATGAATGGTGTGCTTTGTGGAAGTCATTGGGGAGACTACATTCATCACTGTTCTTCCGGATTGCCAGCACTTGAAAGTCAGTTGGGAAATGAAATTTTGAGAGAACAAAAAAAAATGATCGTTGATAAAATTAGATAGTTTTTGAGCCCATAGTTCTAAACCTTTACTTTAAACAATTTACTCAAAAACCCTATTTCAGCCGTCTATCGGGATTCGCTATCTAATTCTGAACTAGCTAGTTAGCTAGAGTTTTAATTTAATAAAATGATAAATTCTTTTGCATTTTAAAGTAATAAAAGATTGTTCTAGGTGTGTAGTGAGTCTTAAGAAAGTCTTAGAAAAGCCTTAAAAGCCTTAAAAAGCCTTTAAAAGTCTTAGGAAAGACTTAAAAAGTCTTTAAAAGCCTTAAAAGCCTTAAGAAAGAGTTAAAGAGCCCTAAAAGCCTTAAGAAAGACTTAAAAAGCCTTAGAAAGACTTAAAAAGCCTTAAAAAGCCTTAAGGAAGACTTAAAAAGCCTTAGAAAGCCTTAAAAGCCTTAGGAGCTCTAAAAAGCCTTAAAAATCTTAGAAAAGCCTTTAAAACATTATTAGAAAGACTTAAAAAGCCTTTAAAACCTTTAAAACCTTAAAAAGTCTTTAAAACCTTTAAAACCTTTAAAACCTTTAAAACCTTTAAAACCTTTAAAACCTTAAAAAGCCATAAAAGCCATAAAGGCCTTTAAACCTTTAAAAAAAACCGTTTCAGAATGCGATCGAGACTACAACGCTGACATTGGTTGGTCATGCAAAAAGGAGCCAAGACTCAGGTATGGAATTAAGCCTTATATAATGTTAAAATATAAAAATCTAATTTCTTAATCCTTAAAGACTTAGCAATGATCTAGATGGAGTCAATTTCTGTAATTTAGATGCGAAAAATTCGATGGTGAGTACTGGTGCTGTCCGCCGAGGGGAGATGAGCTATGAGTTGAAAAATGGAAAAGCAAATGAAGCAAATAGAATTCATTATCTAATTCATTATCTAATTCGTTGTCGAATTCATTTTTTTTTTTTTTTTACGATTTCCCAATAAAATTTGAAAGCTTTTTACAAATAAAATAATAAACAATAAACCAACCTCTTGGACAACTCATCGGCGCTAATTGAGTCCACTGATCAGTGTGCGGATCGTAACGCTCAACGGTGGAAAGCGGAGAGTTATCATCGAAGCCTCCAACTGCATACAGACATCCATCAAGGACACAAATACCAGCTCCAGCTCTGGAATTTGAAATTTACAACTAAAAAACTAACAAATCTTTCTGTCTATTTGAATTAAAGAAATAAAAAAAGCAAAAAAAGTAAAAAGAATTTTCCATTTAAATTTCGTCGTTTTGAAAAGTCTAAAAAATAAATTCAAGTTTCTGATTTTGCAGATTTCCTATCGATAAATAAACCTGCGATTTCCCATCGGTGACACTGTTTTCCATTTGTCGATGAAAGGATCGTACCGTTCGCATGAGTCCAACGACGAGCCACCATCATTCCCCCCAACAGCATATAGATATTTGCCTGGAATATGATTTCTTTGATATTTTTTGATTTTTTGATTTTTTGATAAAATAATAAACAATTTTGTTACTTTAGAAAAACACACAGTCAGTAAAACATTTTGTTTAATCATTTTCTGGATATCATTGTCGATTCTATAATAAAAAAGTGAAGGAATTGGCAAGAAAATTGAGTTCCGGAGAGGGGATTCAAGCGTCCACCTTTATTTTTGCTTTTGCTTTTGCTTTTGCTTTTGCTTTTGCTTTTGCTTTTGCTTCATTGCTCTAACCATCTATTCGGTACCTTAACTGCCAGGAGAAATAAGGGAAGACAAGGGGAAGAAGAAAGGAAGTAAGAAAGGAAGGAAAAAAGTAAGGAAGAAAGAAAGCTTAATATTGAATCTCAGACAATTCACAGCGCAACCCACCAACAGCCACCACTCCAACTCCGCCTCTTCTCGTGTTCATGGAAGCGACACTCGTCCAGTGATCTGATTCAATGTCATAGCGCTCAACTACCTAAATTTTACACAATATTTAAATTAGTCTTGCTTTTGATGATCGATCTACTTGCTTTTGACGATCGATGAGTCATGATTTTTCTCATGATCATGACCGACCGAGGTTTCATGACCGAGGTTGCATGACCGAGGTTTCATGATCGAGGTTTCATGATCGAGGTTTCATGATCGAGGTTTCATGATCGAGGTTTCATGACCGAGGGTTTCATGACTGAGGTTTCATGACTGAGGTTTCATGACTGAGGTTTCATGATCGAAGACCAAAAGGTAGATTTGGCTATGGTTAAACAAGACTATCTAATAGTTACCCTGTACTAGACATGGGAAAATTCCTATCCAAACCTAATACCACCTTTGTTTTCTTGGCCGCTTGCTCTGTAACTTGATTTCTTTTAGCCGATTGCCTTGTAGTCAAAGATAGAAATCAAAATTTTCATCTTGTAGACAAAATTTCAAAGCAATCGGCCAAGGCTGAGACGGCTGAGAAAACAAAAGTTGAACTAGGTTTTGATTGAAACATTTCTATGTTTAGCCCAGCATATATCACACAAATGTTTCAACCATTGCCCACTCAGATTCCCCTTTCAAACTCACATCAAAGCACGTATTATCATCCAATCCACCAACTGCGTAGATCACTCCACAGAGTGTCCCAACCGCAATCCCTCGTCTAGCCGTATTCATCGCTGATACCTGAATATCTCATAGGACTAGGATAAAAGCAACTATTTGATAGTTGAATCTTTTCCTTAACAACTCTCAGCTCACCTCAGTCCATTTGTTCCTTAATGGATCAAAGGATTCAGCTGAGTCCAAATGCTTCTCTCCATCATGACCACCAATAGCAAATCTGAAAGATTCATCATTTTTTTCTCATTAGATCTAAAAACATACAATTTCCCAAGTGCACTAACCACTCCAACATGTCGCCTTCTTGATCTCATCTCGGGAACCTAAAGAAATTCTTGGAATTTTTCAACTTTTCTTGTCAAACCGCAAGCCATCGATCTCTTCGAAAATCGTAGGCTTCAACGGTTTTAAATGGATCTCCAGAGGTACCTAAAGAAAATGTGTTTTTACGGATATTGCAAAGCAAAACCTCTTCCACCAACACAGAAAATGACACCGGCAAGACTCTTTCTCGGTCGGGATCTAAAATTCTAGATATAAAGCGTTCAAAATGAGCTAAGATATAACTAAAACATGATCAAGTCAAAGGGAAAAGCAGGCTAGAGTTTGACCGAACCCAGAGGAGGCCAGGTCGGGTAGACCAGGTCAGGTAGACAAGGCCAGGTCGGGTAGACCAGGTCAGGTAGACCAGGTCAGGTAGACAAGGTCAGGTAGACAAGGCCAGGTCGAATAGATCAAACAAGACCAGGAACAAGCCAAGTCAGATCCAAGCCATACCAAGTTAAGTCAAACCAGCACTTCTAGCTATTCATTTAACAATCGTACCTTCTTGTTCGATAAATTGGAGAGTAGAGACTGATCGACGAGGAGACAATACTGCCACGGGTACAATGACTGCCTGGAAAGATGGATAGATTCTTTGTAAGCACTCAAGAAATAATAAACCCACCTCCAGGCTCTCCCTCATTCACATCTCGTAGCAAATCCATCATCGCCTCTGATACAATGTCCTTGCAGGATTGATTTTCCTGAAGATTAGAGTCATTAGAGTTTCTTCAACTTTAATACTTTGATAAGCGGCTCTTCATAAACAACAGTGATGAGAAATGAGAGCGGAAGTTGAGTGAGTCGGACACAATGGAGGAGATCGGCGAGGTGGTTGATCCGACTCGCGATTTCCTCTTTCACCCATTCGATTGCCGCCTCGTAAACCTTAGAAATCTTGGCATTCAATGGTTTCGATATAAAATACAAATTTTAGAAATATTTCTGAAACAAAAAGACTTTCTGGACAGCCGAATACATGGATAGATTGAATGCTCATTTAGTTTCTGTTTTGTTTTTCAAAGTCTAATTGAAGCTTGAAGCATTAGCTTGAAGCATTGACTTGAAGCATTCGCTTGAAGGATTGGCTTGAAGGATTGGCTTCAAGCATTGGCTTGAAGTATTGGCTTGAAGGATTGGCTTCAAGCTTTGGTTTGAAGTTGAAGGATTGGCTTCAAGGATTGGCTTGAAGCATTGGCTTGAAGCATTGGCTTCAGGCATTGGTTTGAAGCATTGGCTTCAAGCATTGGCTTGAAGGATTGGCTTCAAGGATTGGCTTCAAGCATTGACTTGAAGGAATTGACTTCAAGCATTGGATTCAAGCATTAGCTGAAGACCAAAGTCACCTTCTGATCTATCTGGTTTTCGAATTGTCCCTTTTCAAATCAAAGTTTAACAAAACTAGTGCTCAATTCGATCTTCAACAATCTTCGAGCTTTAACTCACCTCTTGCTCCGAATCGACTTTCAGATCCGCTCTCGACAATATACATTGCAAATGCGTGAACGAGATTGACAGAAACTCTGGGACTTTTATTAACTCCTAAAATTCAATTTTATTTGTCATTTCTAGTATCTTTACCTGAAAGTGATCAGTGGCAAAATCAACAGTACTCGTCAACAAATTCGTACAATTGTAAAGCTCAGCAAATTGCCTTGAATGAATCTTTCATTATTCAATCATTCAAATCTCAATCACCTAATCAATAAACAATTCGATGTGGTTAAGTATTGAGTCATGAAATCTTGACAAGCCGAGCAAACACGATCCATCTAAAAGATTGAATTTGAGAAAATCATAAAAATTGATACCTGTAGAACAGCTGCTGCAAAGATTAACTCCTGTACATTTTCAGTACTAATTGAGATCTCAGCCGAGTAGATATAATCGATTAACAAACGCATTGCCGGAGCAGAGATATCCTAAAATATTAGAAAGATAAACTTGAATTTAAGAAAAGATATCTCTTCAAATCCTTTAAATCTTAAAAGCACAAAAGCAATAGCTTTCAATTTTCAATGTCCAAATCAATCAAATGAACCAATCATTGGATCAATTGAACCAATCATTGGAACCAATCATTGGAACCAACCATTGGAACCAATCAATTGAACCAATCATTGGAACCAATCAATTGAACCAATCATTGGAACCAATCATTGGAACCAATCATTGGAACCAATCATTGGAACCAATCATTGGAACCAATCATTGGAACCAATCAATTGGAACCAATCATTGGAACCAATCATTGAATCATTGGAACCAATCAATTGAACCAATCATTGGAACCAATCAATCAATTGAACCAATCAAACAAAATCAAAAAAATCAAAATTCTAGTCTAATCACAAAGCTTTTACGATTACAAACCAATAATCAACCTTGTTTTCAGCATTTTTTCATTTACTTTCATTTACTTACATTTATTTTCACTTTCCCCGTTCGCGCCTCCATTGTATCATAGGTAAACATTGCCCGAAAATATGGACTCGCTGCGGCAAGAACGATCCGATGTGCCCGAATTATTTCCTCATCTACCTAAAAGATTATAGATTATTTTAAATCTATTTGAATTTCTTTGAATCTCTTTGTCTTACTTCAATCTCAATGTCGAACATCACTCCTTGTTTCCGTAGCTCGCAAAGATTCAAGTATAAATCCTAAAAGAAGATTTCTATTTTCAAAAACTATCCTTTTACCTCTGGCAATTTGACGTCCGGAAATGGCATCAATTTCGTGGGTGCAAGGGGGAAAGTTTGAAGTGGTAGAGATGGTTTTATTTTTGAATCCAGTGAAGGCAGTAATGGGGATTCTGATTAGTTGATGATTTTTGAAAAACTACTTTATTTCAATTGAAACTAACCGAATTTCTCTTCGACATTTGTTTGCCGATGACCGAAGAGTGACGACTGCTCGACTTTAATCGTTTGTGATTGTGGAAGGGGAGAACCGAAAAGAGCCAATCGATAGGGTTGAGTGGATGAGGATTGATTGTCAATGATTTGCTCGTCTTGATCACATTCCTCTCCAATCTCCATCCGATTCGACTCTCCAATCGATGGAGAAGCCATTCGGGACACTGAAAATGGGATTCGATTCGATCGATTCGATCGTTTTCAATGCGTTTGAAAGAAGAGAAATTTTGAATGAATTATGGCAGATATATGAAATATTTTTGAACTCCAATCGAGCTTTCGAATCGTTTTTTTTGGTTTTGTCAAAATATTGGAGAGTTGGAATTTGAATTGAATAAGGAAAGTGATAAGGAAAGTCTTCGTTAAGGAAAGTGTTCGTTAAGGAAAGTGTTCGTTAAGGAAAGTGTTCGTTAAGGAAAGTCTTCGCTAAGGAAAGTCTTCGTTAAGGAAAGTCTTCGTTAAGGAAACTGTTCGTTAAGGAAAGTGTTCGTTAAGGAAAGTCTTCGTTAAGGAAAGTGTTCGTGAATGCCTAATTTTTTCAAATTCATTCAGAAAATCTTGAGAAATTTCCACAAATTCTAATAAGCGTTGAAAGGAAACGTGCATAACCCAAAAGAAAACCCTTCTTTTCGGCGTTCGTAAACAAGAACACCTGATCAAATGGGATGAAAGGAGAGGCTCATTGCAATGATATCAATCTCCTTCAGAACTTTTTCCCGATTTGTGTGAAAATGAATGAGTTGCTAGGAGTTGGTAAACAGAGAAATTTCATTGTAAAGTCTTGTTCATTGATTCATGAATCATCAAGAGATTTTGAACTGTTTTTTTGGAGAGGTATGGGGTAGAAATATGTCATTAAGTCAAATTTCGCTTTTGAAATCATTGAAGGGGTAAGAGGGGTAGGAGCGGCAGGAGTGCAGCGATTACCCTGACTACTCCGCCTCCCGGGCGCCTCCACGCCCTCAAATTCGACTGTACTCCCACCAGAAATCCCATATTAGACATCGGGTCGCCAAATGCATTTTAGAAAACGACTTTTGCTTTCTAAAACGTGGATACAATGTGATTTTAAGCTTTAGAAAATAAAAGACGTTTGCTAAAATGACCCGATGTCAAATATAGGATTTCTGGTGGGAGTACAGTCGAATTTGGAAGCGTGGAGGCGCCTGAGTAGTCAGGGTAATCCCCACTCCTTCTCCTACCCCTCTTAACCCTTCAACGATTCCAAAAGCGAAGCACCTTATACCAGAAGGCTTTGCCAAATAACGAGCGATTACCCGCCAGCACAAAGAACAGATCTCCAGTCATTTAAATAGCGATTTCTCTTTTGCTTGGCACACAGAATCCCTACAAAATCCACAACAAAAGAGAAATGACTGGAGATCTGTTCTTTGTGCTGGCGGGTAATCGCTCGTTATTTGGCAAACCTTTCTAGTATAGGGTGCTTCGCTTTTGGAATCATTGAAGGGGTAAGAGGGGTAGGAGCGGCAGGAGTGTAGCGATTACCCTGACTACTCCGGCTCCAGGGCGCCTCCACGCTTCCAAATTCGACTGTACTTCCGCCAGAAATCCCTACAAAATCCACAACTTTTCAAGTCATTAAAAATCGATTCAAAATTTTAATTCCAAATTCTAAAGTGATTATGCAATATGAGACTGAAAAGAGAGTGAAAAAAAGAAAAAAAAAACTGTTTTCCTGTTGAATCTCCTCAACAGGAGAACAGGAGAACAGCCGGTTCTTTCTCGAAAACCCGAACTCAAAGCTTTTTTAGAGGTTTTGGAACAAGACAATGAGCTGTGGTCAATTAAAAAAAATGACAATCATACTGAAAAAAAAGTCAAGCAAGAATCGAATATAGAAAGAAAGAAGGGGAAAGGGGAAAAAGAAAAAAAATCAAGTAGACAAGGTAAAGTTTCAGGAAAGAGACGTTAAAATTTATTTAAACTTTATTTTGAAATATTGAAAGATATGAAAAACTTGAGTCCCAAAAAAGATAAATGCCTTGCAAAAAAAGCTATTTTTTAAGCGCTTTTTAGATTAAAAGCTTTTACTTTTATAGTAAAAGAAACGTTTTTCAATACAAACAAAGCTACCGTAAATACTGTAATAGTACTCCCCTCGTACAGTCGCGTAGTCGCAAAAGTTTTTTAGTATTTCATTTTTTTTCAAAGCACCCGTACTTTCAAAAAATGCGTCTTTGGTATCAAAAAATAGCTCTGAATTTCAGCTATCTTTTGATACCTAAACGCGCATTGTAGCATAAACCAGTGTCGAGAAAAACGCGTCCAAAGCTAGACTACGCAACACTCCGATCCGTTAGATTCAATCTAAATTAACTAATTTCAGCTGGGAACAAAGTAGCCATCGTACATCAAGAGCTTTCTAAAGCAACCGCTCGAAAACATCAATGCTCTTTGCTCATAAATGCTCACAAAAAAATAGCTCTGAATTTCAGCTATCTTTTGATACCTAAACGCGCATTGTAGCATAAACCAGTGTCGAGAAAAACGCGTTCAAAGCTAGACTACGCAACACTCCGCACCGTCATTATGGGGCTGGGGTACTATTACAGTATTTACGGTAGCTATTTGTTAAAAACGAAAAAGAACGTCTTGCAATGATAAAAAAATGAAACAGAAGAAAAATAAAGAGGAGATTTTTGTGGAAAAGACGGGAAAAGAAGAGATTTTCACGCTTTTTGCTTTTCTTTTCTTTTCTTTTCTTTTTCGTTTTGTGGCACGGAGAAAGCATATGCCCGTGTGTGTAAAACAAGCCTTTTTTTGCTTCTTTTTCCCATTTTTTTTCTTTTCTTTGACCTTATTCCATTTTGCCTCATTTTCTCAAAAAAAAACTCGCTTCAAGATTATCTTTGATTTGGAGAACTGATTGATGTATTAATGATAAAAATGACACTTGAAAAATGATAAAAATGACATTGAATAATTAAGTTCTTTACTTAAAATATCAATCAAGCTACGTACAGTACTGGACAATGAAATATGATATTTGAAAAAAAAGATCGTCACTTTCGCCATTCCCGGATGGCCAAAAATCATCTAGAAATGGTCAAACTTCTAAAAACATTCAGCTTAACTTGAAAATCTTCACTACAAGCTTTAGCTAGTAAACAAGATCTAGCTATTTACAGAAGAATGCTTGCTATGAAATAGATTATTTGATATTAAAGGATTAGATCGAATTGGTTTAAATAGTTTCTTAAAGGATTCGGTTTTTCAATACAGTACTTGACAATAGAATATGCTTTTGATATCAGAAAAAAGCCCGGAATTTCGCGCGTCTGCTCCCTTGTCTTTGCGTTTAAACTATTAGTGTTATACATTTTCTGAAAGCTCTTTTCAAGGGCTACACAATGGTAATATTAATATTTAGAAAGACGGGAAAAACGCGGGTCAAGGGAGTTACGACTACGCAATATCACATTCTTTCCGCACCGTACCAATACGAGAATTGATAATTTTAAGCAGCTAAACTGTTTTCGTTAAAGAAAACTAAGCTTACTAATATAGAAAATGATAAACTAATGGGTAAATGATGAAAATTTATTCAATTTAATTTAATTAATTTTTAAAATGAGTTGTGATAAAGACTTTTTTCATTTTTTTAAAAGCAAATAGAGCTCTGATTTGACGATTAAAAGGATTTCGAGAAAAAAAAGCAACAAAAAGTTTTTAATTAGGGAATGTTGTTAACTTATCGCGGCTTTTGACTCGAGAAATAGCCTATCTGATGCAGTTTTTCACGCTGATTCCGAATCTGCAATCAGTTTTTGCCAAGCGCTTCTCTATCGTAAGATTTGGTGAATTCCGATGATCAATGAGGGGCTTTTTTTAAATCAACTTAATCAAATAGCATAAAACAAAGGTTTTTCAAAGCTTTTTGTACAAAAACTGGATTTAATTCAGCAGCCACTAGTTCATTAATTTAGCATTCAATTAAAAGCGTCAACTTTGTAAAGAAAATGCAAGGTTAAACAATCTTTTTTTCCGCTGAAACCGAACAAATCGATTAGGTAAAAAATTGCTTAGACTTTGGCAAGAAAAGAGAAACAAAAAACAAGTGATTTACTGGAAGAAAGATGAACAAGCAGACAAAAGAAATGCTGATGGCAAAAAAAAAGATATGACTAAAGGAAAAGAAAATGAAAATGCCTTACAGACAAGAAAAAGAGAAAGCAAAAGTGTCGACCTTGGCGCAAAGCCAGTTTTCAATTTCGCTGAGCAATTTTTGGGTAAAATTATAAACCCATTAAAGATCTACGAAAATGAAATGAAAAGATTTGATGATATGATATCACAAAATCAGTTTATTGGCTGTTTTCAGCAGCTCGCTGGAGAATGGAGAAAAAGCTCTGCTCATCCTCCAGCAGGATATAAATACATCATTTAACACGTTGACGACAATGGCGTTTTTGCACAAAAAATCGCATGGGACAACGTTGTTTTCGAGAAAAAATGTCCTGACATCAGGTGACAATGTCTGATGGCGAAAAAAGTGTGTCTGACCTCCAGCAAGGATATTACAATGTCTCAACAGTGTTAAACCAGAACCCACAAAACTCATCAATTGGAGATTAGTGTTGGCAAAAGATCAGCTAGTAAAGAAAGGATATAAAGCTATCAAACGGGAGATTAAGTTATGAATTTTAGGCTTATTCAAAGAAATTTTTGCGCATCACACTAAAATGCACTAAACTACCGTAACCCTCCAATATTTTTTTGGCAATTAGCCAAATTTGTTTGTTTTTTTTGGACTCAACATTTGGAATTAAAGTTAAGTTTATTTTAGCCATTTTTTTTGAACAGATCGCTTTGTTAGAAGGATTTTTACAGAAAGATGGAGGGAGCAATGTCGAAAAACGACTAATGACCAATGGACAATGGACAAAATTGATTCAAACAACAACAACAATAACAGCAACAATGAAATCTACCGGCACCCACAATATTTTTTTGGCAATTAGCCAAATTTGTTTGTATTTTTTTTTATTTTTCATTATTTTGTTTTTGATCAACTCAACATTTGGAATTAAAGTTAAGTTTATTTTAGTCATTTTTTTTGAACAAATCGCTTTGTTAGAAGGATTTTTACAGAAAGATGGAGGGAGCAATGTCGAACAACGACTAATGACCAATGGACAATGGCCAAAATTGATTCAAACAACAACAGCAGCAACAATGAAATCAACCGTAGGTGATTTGCAGCCACGATTTCTTAAAGAATTTCTTTATTGAACCTTTGAATTGTTCTTGATTTGATCTTGATTTAGAACAATGCAAAGTGATCTAAATCCAAAGCAAAGTCATCTAAATCCAATGCAAAGTGATCTAAATCCAAAGCAAAGTCATCTAAATCGTGGAATAGGGTTTAATTTGATGAGTTATTTGAATCGAATCAACCCTGAATAAATAGCCTAGCAATGCCGGAGTCAAACAACAATGAACAACAATTGAAAAAGATCAATGTGGGTGATGTGTGGGAGGGGACTATCCGGGGGTTGCCCTTCCCTTTCCCTCCTTTTCCCATTCTCTTCGCTCTTCAATTCTCAAGTGTCTCTGCAAGGCAACAACTCAATTAGCCTCCTCTCAGACATAGGCACATTTATTCACCGGCAAAAAAGAAAGATTGCCCATATTTTGATAGAAATTCTCGCCTTAATCACTGCATGCAATGGGAATGACTTTTCAAAGACCTTTGAAGCCATCAAACGCTCAAAATAGAACTTAAAAAGTTCAAATTAAAAATGATATGGTTAAAAACTTTTAGATTAAATAAAATTGAGAGGAATTCCTTTTAGTCAGCTGGGAAAACAATTCTCAGCACTTTGAATCTTTTTTAGACTCAAAAAAAAGCAAATTTGTGAGGAATGAGGAAAGTTGAGCAATGCAAAGCAATGAGATTGATTTTTGAATTTAGAGCTAGAGCTTAAGTAGAGCTTTCAGCGGGATGAAGGGCATCCTTAATGCTTTGTTTCACAAAAAACATCTGGATTTTGGCTTGTTGTTGAAAGTTAAGGAGAAATTGTTAACAATTCTTCTCATAACAACCTGAATTGCGTCTCAGCGACGGAGCTCCATCAAGAACATTTGACGAAATGAATGATCTAGGATTCGTGAGCGCACTTCTAGCGGATTTCTGTCGAAAAACGGGAAATGGTGGAGAAGAGGACCGGGAACGACCTGAAGATTTCGATTTTAACGATCCTAATCTTATCTCGTATTGCAATACCTGTGAAAACAGAAGAATGAGTGGCCTGCTGTTCGTCTTGACTTTCAATAGTTTGACGGCTAACCGTAGTTGTCGGCCACCTCACCACACGGCACTGAAAAAGTTTATCATTGTTTTTTGCTTTACCTTACATTTTTAGAAAATATTTCATAATATTGCTTTGAAGAAAGGTCACCAAAAAAAAAAACAAAATGATGCTGGGAAAAAGATAGAAAATAGCACTAATCAATCTTTTTTCAATCAATCAATCAATCAATCAAAGCTTCAAAAGAATCCGTACTAATGTCTACCATTTAGACCATTTAGGATCTCTAGAAAATGATCGAAATCTGAACAATATTACAATATTACCCCATCGTGTGAGAGTTCATTTGAAAGCTCAAAAAGTCAGCTAGGGGGGGCGGCAAGTGTCAAAGTTGTCAAAGAAATGTGTGCTGAAATATTTGGTCGCGACTTTCTCTGTTAATTTCTGTCAATTACCGCTAATTACCGTTAAGAAATTACTCTTTTTTTACAAAATGAGCGAAATTGTTTACCCGTTGAAGTTAAACGATCAATATGAGGTCGGTATCGAAAGCTTTAATCAATAGCTATTAAGGAATCGGGTAGAAGATCTCGAAAATGTTACAATTTTCGAGAAATTTAGAAACGCCACCACCAAGGTCAATTCACCGTTAAGCATCTTTAGTCTACCGTTCAATCTTTCAACAGCTACAGCTATAGTTTGAGCTCAAAATTCGCATAAAGCAATGAAACAAATGAATACACAATCGTTCAATCAATTTCTATCAGTTCTATCAGTTTTATTGAATTTCGCAAGAAGTTTACATTTTTCATTTCGATTTTTCATCAGTTACACTAAAAGTCAAGTCTACCGTTCAATCTTTCAAGTAAAGTATTTCAATTTTTGAGTAGTTAAGATGAAAATTGAAATAAAACAATGAAAGGGAATGGATATAATTGCTATTGAAGATTGCCATTAGAAATAAGCGCTCAACGCTATTGAAGATTGCCATTGGAAATAAGCGTTCAACGCCTTGTTGGGATGTGTGTAGGGAAAAGGGGAAAAGATGAAGCGAGAGGAAAGGCAAGTGAAAAGGAAAAGAGAAAAGACAATGAAAGAAGAGAAGGGAAAAGAGAAGAATGGGAGGGGAAAGACCGGTTGTCCATCCCATCCACCCATTCTCCTTCAATTCCCCGGCCATTCGAATCGTGTTGTCCATTGGCCATTTTCTTGAATGTGCTGCCAAGAATGAAAATTCACTCCTTTATTATTTACTTGACTGTTATCAGCCTCAAAAACGCCCGAATATTTGAACAATTTTGATAAAACCATAGTTAGAAGTTAGATTTTCAAGTACGTTCAAGTTCAATTTAAAAAACAAATCTTATCCCTTTCAACAAATGATTCAAACTTCAAGAACCTATTAAATCACTAATAAACAATCGATACCCACAAAATTCTATTAATGTTGAAATTCAAAGGAGAAAAAAAACACAAGAAAACAAACATTGCCGAAGAGGAGAAGAATTGACAATGAATGAATGGATGACGTGTGAATGGGTGTAGAGAAACCGACAAGAGAAACCGACAAGAGATCCCTTCCAATGACAACTATTTCTTTTCTTATCGAATTCCCCCATCATCAAGTCTTTTCTCTTACGAGATGGTAACTTGATACCAAAAAGAATCCTTTTTTTCCCCTCAATAAGAGTCGAACCTTAGCAGGTGATTTGTTTACGAATCAAAAAATGATAGGAGAAATTCGTTTCGCTGCCATTGTTAGACTTTGAGTTAGATTTTCCATTAGAATTTCACTGGCACTTTGCATTCAATTCACATTTGAACGGTTCAAATCAAAAGCTAAAACTTTTTCAATCAAGAAAATTGAAAATTAATCAAAATCCATAACCTAACCATTTTTCTATTTAAAATGTAAAATATCATAAAAAAAAATAAACCAGAAAAGAGTCTTGCAAAACCTAAACAGCTATTTAGCAAGCAAAAAGCAAAAAAGCAAAAAGAACTATGATTTTTTGATATGATATTGAAGTAAGAAATTTGCGAAATCGTTTTCAGAGTTTGAACAAAGATATTGGGGACAAATGGACAAATGGCACAGAAAAGGAAAGGAGGGCAGGAATTGAGCAACGATTAATCGAAGAGAGCCGCCTTTTCACTCGCCCCCTCCTTTTCCGTCTTTGCTTCTCTCCCGAAAAGTAAATCCACACAAGCACAAACTTGCGAAAAAACTAGAGACCATGATAACAAAGTAATCCTTGTCCGACTGATAGATAATTTGCAATCGAGTTGCTTTTTGAGTATTCATTATGTAAGCTCAAGCTTTCAGCTTTTTCAATGTGATAAAGATATTCAGATATAGGCTCGATAAAGTGCGAGTCAAGAAGCTTGGCTTTACAGTAGTTAAGTCCGTCAAATTCCACAAATCCTCACTAAAAAAATCTTGACCTGTACTCGATGCGAAGAATTCGGCGGCTTTTGTCCCTGCGAGGTCGCCATCGGAAATCACTGAATGGCCAAACCAAAAGCTTTCCACAAATTCAATTAGCCTAGAAAAATGAGTGAAATGACTGAGCCACGAGTCAAAGGACATCGAAAAAAGAAGCTGAGAAGAGAAAAAAAAGGAAGAAAGAAGAAGAGCAGTCGGTCCGTTTGTTGGCGAAGAGAAGGGAAAGGCACAGGAGAGCCAACGGGAGCAAACATACACAGAGACACAGCAGGGCAATCTCTCTTTCATCTATTCAACCCTCACTTTGACAGTTCTCCCCATCGGCACACAATGTGCATGGGGGAGAAGAGTGAACGAGAGTTCGCTTTTCTTTTCTCTTTCAATCACGAGTGAACACACCTTCTCGACAATTTGATTAGCTTGCTGCCAAGATTCACACAGACCGGTCATCACACATTACCTAACCATTCTCCTGTCACTTTGACTTCAATAGTCAATTTTTAAAGCTAGAGCACTAAACAACCGGAATAAGCATAAGCTCAAGACTCGAAAAACCCACAAACGACGTTAACTGTAATCGAATCCAAAAGATGAGACCTAGCTACGATAGATTATGGTAGAAGCTTTATTATGTGCCTGCTAGAACCTGTAAAATTTTGTTTCAAAATTTACAAAAAACTTCCGGGATTCTCCTCTTGCCTTTATTTTTGCTCTTAAACTGTAACTTTTATTCGCTAAAAATAACAAAGTCCCAATATTTACACGTCAGAATCGTCCAATTTTTGCCTTTTCTCCGGCACTTCGGCATCTTTTGATTCTTCAGTCGGAGGTCGCAGTGCGTAACGGCTTTTTCGTTGAAATCCATGCACAACTCCAGCCAATATTGTCGTCTTCACAATCTAAACTTATTTGTTAGGTAATGAAAAAATAGAAAATCATGAATTCACCAAGAGCATTCAGGTTTTAAGTTTAGTTACAGTTTTGCATAACGTACCTGAACAATGAAGGTAACATCCGGATCCGAAAGATTGACTTTTGCCGCAGGACAAAGCGCAACCACCGCATCGTCGAGCATCTCGAGAGCGTTATCCCTTTTGATCGAATCGTTGTTTCGTGCCTAAAATAAGAAAAATAGCCTAAGCTTTATTCGTATCAAAGACAAAGGATCCAACTGGATAACCGCATGTGAAAATTACCTTAAAATCCAATGCATACGTCGGATAGATACCATCTTTTTCAACCAAGTATTTCTTCACAAGCTAAAAATTCAATTAGCAAAAGCAAAAGGCAATAATGTTACCTCAGGAATGATTTTATTTAATTGCGTAAGTTCTGCTGCTTCCGTTCGTTCCACTGGCAACACTCGTTGAATGAATCGACATCGTTGTTCTTTCTGGCAGAGATCGACAAGCTTTGCGGCAAGTGTTGAGGCATCGACATCTGAAAAACAATATACAACAATATGAAAAACAATCTCTTCTCCAGATTATTATGATCTAAAAATAGCAAAGACACACCTGGTATACTGACGAAAAGGTTATTTTTGACTCCTGTTGGTCGTTGTTTTCGTTGGTTCCACTTGCCTCCTTTACTTCTCATTTCAGCGCATTCTTTCTCAAGTGCTGCATCATCGTCTTCTTGTTCGGCGGCCGCTTTCTTTTCATCAACTAAACTGAAACATCTATTTTAACAGTTCAAAAATAATTAGTTTAATGCTTAAGAACATTTTTCATCAATTTAATACCTAGGTATTAAATAGTATATAGTAAATACCGTATTTCTTCAAATAGAAGACCGGGTAAAGAGTATGATCGCGTACTCCTGCGTAGCAGCCCTTTTTAAAATTCCTTTTCTGCGTAAAAGCTTTCAATGAAGTGCTATAGAGCTGGAAAATTACTCAAAAATACCACATGAGCTAACAGATTTTTGAGCCATTTTCCAGCTCTATAGCACTTGATCGAAAGCTTTTATGCAGAAAAGAAATTTTAAAAAGGGCTGCTATGCAGGAGTATGCGATGATACTCTTTACCCGGTCTTCTATTCGAAGAAATACGGTAGTCAATTTTTTAAGGTTTAAAGTTATTTTCCAAAAACTCACAGCCACACAGTTGATCAATCAATGAATAGGCTTCGGCAATGGCTCGTCGCTCATCTTGATGACACGTGAAGAGCAATCCGCTGAGACCAGGCTCGACCGATTTTTGTTTGGTGCTAAATTAAAAAATGAGTTCATTGTAAATGGTATAATCACTCGACTTGAGCGAAAAAACGCTTAAATTAGCAACAAACGGCCAAAACAGTCCATTACCTTGGCATTTCAATGTAAAATGTCAACAAATCATCTTGAATTAGCCCCAAAAACGCCAACACTTATCTCCTTTTACACATGCTTATTCCAACCTGGATTGCATAAAAAAACGAACTTGTGGTTCCACGCTCCCTTTCCGAAGTGCTTTCGTTTCCCATTTCGGTGCGCCATTCGAGATTCTACCTGGAATCGGTAATTGTGAATTTTCCAGAATATTTCACATTGGAGCTTTCGAAAAGGAAGTATCAAAATATTAACTAACAGTCCGGTTTATACCTTCAAAAAAAAACAAACAATCCAAAGATAATCACTACATGTTGTTGTAACGGCTTCTTCCTTTTGAATCATCGTAAAATATTTTATTCAAAATTGATATACCAATATAAATAAAAGACATTAACAAGATTTCGAAACAACAAAATGGAAATAACTATCGGAGATCGAAATTGCAAGAAAATTTTACAAAATGACGAAGAGAAATAATTTAAGAAGTCGTCCCACAGAAGATGACGAGAATAGATTTGGGTTGTTTATCCACGGAAAGCGCCGCCGGGTCGAGACATTCCACGGGGTCCACCACGCATACCCGAACCCCGTCTGAAAGCCGTACCACGTCCACGACCACCACCCCGCGACTGCTCGATCCCACCGAGACCCATGCCGACGGCTCCCTAAACAGATCAAAGTTAGTTTTCCAATGAGCACTCTAATAAAAGCTAATAAAAACATTTTTGGTACCTAGGACTTCTGTATTTCAGTTTCGAAAGCAAAAATTTCATAACTTTCAATTCATGTTTGTTTTTAGCCTTAACTAGAAGGCATCACCACTTAAAAGGTGTCGACCTTCCATTAAACAATCATTTTTGACAATTCTTACAAAAAAGTTCAACACAAACCTTTTGTGCACGTCCGATATTTTTAAACATTGGGGCATTCTTGAGCATGTCGGGCAGCACCATGAAGCGAATTTTCGATCCTCGCACGAACACATTCTCCAATTGATGCGTTCTGCCGTCTCGGAAAGTGACGCAAACGTCGGCCATTTGGCAGTTCATGTTGTCCTCGGCTTCCAATAGCTTTCCTCGATATACCTAAATACAAACATTGTTCGATTAAAGATTAGTTTTTTTCATTTTGAAGCGACTACTTTAACCGTTATACGTACTCACAATCAACATTTTCTCAATAATGTTCTTTATGGTCTAATAAAGACCTTGCATTAATGCAAAAGTTAGATGAGTTGCATAACAAGAACTTTAGCTATAAAGGGCGATTATCGCTATCTTTAACTAAAACATTTCCACATTCAAAATCTAGGAGTTAGAAGTTATACGAGTTCCACAACAAGAACTAAGGCCAAGAAAGTCAAACGAGTCTAAATTATATATATCAAAAAACCAAACGCACCTCCCCAGTTGTGGTCTCGAGCGAAACGATGTGTCCCTCGGCCTCGTGCAAAATTTTGATCGGCACTCCAACGGACACCATTTTTCTATCTGAAAATTGAAAAATTAGATCAATAACAGAAAGAGCTAATAAAAACAATAAAATAAACAAAAAATGTTGATGTATTTCGGAAAAAAACGAGAGAACAATTCGAATTTGATGAAAAGAGCGCGGGCGAAAAGTAGAGGAAAGTGTACACGACGCACCGTATTACACCCAAACGATTTCATCCAAGAAATAGGAAAAACGTGAAAAGGCATATAAAAAAGGCTTGGCTAATGGGTGATCGGTGACGTTTTACAATGTGTGTGTAAAAGTTCCCCTGAAATCTTTTGAAATTCTTGATTCTTGTTTTGAAATCATAGCTAGCGCTATGTCACGACTTTTTCTTTAATTTTAAACAATTCATAGAATTTTTGTGTTCAATAGTTGTTCGATGCTCTTAAAAAAGTGAACGCTGATTCTTAAAGATGGCGGGATAGGCTAATATCAGCCATTTTATTTGCGCAACTCGTCATAACGTGGAAAATGACCTTTTTCCTCGCCCCCTTCTTTCCTTTTCTCTTCCCTTTTTTCTCTCCCCCCCCCCCTCTTCTAAGTGGGTCAATCTTTATTTATTTTGGAGTCATTTTGTTGCATTTACTGAGATCTACAAAATGACCCCAAAATAAATAAAGATTTACGCACTTAGAAGAAAGTTATGACGAGTTGCGCAAATAAAATGGTGGAAATTAGCCTGTCCCAAAATGGCAAATTTTCGCAAAAAGGAGAATAAAGTACAGTAGGATCATGTAATTTTGAGCAACTTTTAGAAAGCAGGGCATTCATTTTCATTCCCCGAAATGGTTTGAAAGTTCTTTTCTCTTGTTTCTCATAATATTCAATTCATATTTCTGTTCTTGAGTCGTCAAGAATCTTGAGCTTTTAAAGCATTCAGAAATCTTAAAATATTAAATTCTTAAATTCCATTGATCTCCACTTTTCTCTTATCAATAACTTTTCAGGGTCTTTTACGGCAAAAAAAGAGATCAAAGTTGATGGTGAAAAGACGGTAAATTATCTAAAGATGAGGTGGAGTCATCCAAAGAATTTCTTCATCATCACCCTTTTGGGAATATTTGTATTGGTGAGCTTCTACCTATATGGATCGCTCGATAGTGCAACGACGGAACAAAGGGAGGACACGGTTCGGCATTTGGTCAGTTAAACAAGAAGAATTGAGGAATTGAGGTTAAGCTCGTTTATCGACTGTTTAGTAAAATAGAAAATCTGCGTAATTTCAAAGTTTACAGGATTAAATGAGTAGGCAAATGACAAGAGTTTTTATTCTTGTCCAACGGTCAAGAGTTTTTATTCTTTTATCAGAAATAAACAGGAATAAACCCTCACAGAAATAAACCGATTGATCGAATAAAGATAGAAATAGGATTATGGTGTTTTTAAGTTTTTAGAAAACAAATTTCCAGATGGAAGTCGATCGTTTAAAGCAGAAAATCGGCGCCTTGCAGAATCAGCTGCATTCAAACTCAGATAAGATGGAAAAGATGCGAAACGAGTTGAAACAATCGGAAAAACAAAGAAAGGATTTGGAAATTAGTGAGAAAACTAATTGTTTAGTGATAAGAAACGAGTTTTAGAAAACGAGAATGATATTTTTGATGCAAGGGAGAACGCGGATGCTGCTTTAGTGGTAATCAGTTTAATTAAACAGGAAACTTTATGAATTTACAGAATCGATTAGATCAAGATTTGAAAGGAGATGATGAAAAAGAGAACAAAGAAGTACTGGATATGCCAGGTAAATGAAATCACAGCTGAAATTTTCTAGGTAAATGGATTGTGAGGAGGAAGATTCTGTCATACCAGCAGGTTGAACTTCTTGAACTGAAATAGAACTTCTTTAACAGTTATTACGGTACTTATACTTAGATTTAGCTACCGTAAATACTGTAATAGTACCCCATCCCCACTCGTACAGTCGCGTAGTCGCAAAAGTTTTTTATTTCATTTTTTTCAAAGCATCCGTACTTTCAAAAAATACGTCTTTGGTATTAAAAGATAGCTCTGGATTTCAGCTATTTTTTGATACCTAAGCGCACATTATAGCATAAGCTAGTGTCGAGAAATACGCGTTCAAAGTTGGACTACGCAACACTCCGCACCGTCATTATGGGGGTGGGGTACAATTACAGGATTTACGGTTGGTTCTTCTTGACAAAAGCAGGGTTACTTGTTGGCAAAGTTCTGCAAAGCGAAGCCAACTTCAAAAGTTGCCAAATTTTAGAAAATAGTTTACTCGATAAAAACCCTAATCTAAAGAAATGTAGAATGAAAAATTCAATCTAAATTAACTAATTCCAGCTGGGAACAAAGTAGCCATCGTACATCAAGAGCTTTCTAAAGCAACCGCTCGAAAACATCAATGCTCTTTCATGGCCAACTACAGCAATGCAAAAACGAATGTGCAAATGCTAGACATGTACTCGATTATGTCTTTCGAGAATGTTGATGGAGGAGTGTGGAAACAGGGATGGCAGGTTGGACAGCAATCTTTCTATTAATCTTTCTATTAATCTTTCTATTGCTCATTCAATTATTCAGGTCACTTATAAGCCAGAGTCAGTGAAAATCGAGAAAAAACTGGAAGTGATTTTGATTCCACACTCACACTGTGATCCAGGATGGATTATGACATTCGAGAGTTATTACACTGAACGAACGAGAAATATTTTGAATGGAATGGCAAAACATTTACAAATGAAACCGGATATGAGATTTATTTATGCAGAAGTGAGTGGATGAGATTTACCTTACAAAAATCGGTGTTCAGATGAGTTTCTTCGAAAGATGGTGGGCTGAACAGGATGAGGGAACGCGGGAGAGAGTTCGAGGGTGAGTTGAAGCTGGGGATCGTACTAAGATCGTACTAACAAAGCGACCAGTACTAACAAAGCGACCAGTATTAACAAAGCGACCAGTACTAACAAAGCAACCAGTACTAACAAAGCAACCAGTACTAACAAAGCGGCCAGGTCAGGCAAGAGGCCAAGTTCTGATCTGGATTGGTCTGACTTTACTGCTTGACTCATGAAAGACCTGATCCACCTGATTCACTAAATGCTTGTCCCGCCTTCGCTAGCTCAGGATCCAGTTGGAACTACCAATTCGAACTACCAGTAATTAGACTCAAAAAATAAACTAACTTTTAAGATACTCAGCCATGTGCGGATTGTGTCTACTAATCTTTCTTTCAGCTATCTGAAATCCGGGCAATTCGAGATCGTTACGGGTGGTTGGGTGATGTCGGACGAGGCGAACGCTCATTTCTATTCGATTATCACCGAACTCATTGAAGGTCACGAGTTCATTCAGAACCATATTGGAACAGGTAAACACAATGAAATTTCAATCAATTCAATAATTCAATAATATTAGGTTGTCCAATAAGTAATGCGTGTTTTGACACGATTTTCAAAATATCACAAAATTAACAAAAGAGAACTTTATTAATCGATATATTCTCCACAACAATCAACAACATTTCTCCATCGTCCGAGCAAAGAGTGAAGTCCGTCATAATAGAATGAAGCTGGTTTCGATGAGAAGAAATCGTCGAGCCATTTTTGCACCTCGTC